GAGCCAGGACGACCAATGCTGGTGCAACTGGCAGAGGTCCTGACCAGACCCAGGCACTGACTTTTATTAGCAATCAATTGGGGTAAAGGTGAGCTATCTGTGGTTTCTATGGAAATTAATGTAAGCAAGGCTCATAAAGGACAAGACAAAGCATTCTCGAATTAGGAACAGAATAGATAAAATATACAGTTGTAAGTAGAACGTTGTCCTTCTAGTCTGAAGGTTTTAGTTGTGGGAACAGAATTTGGGTGTGAGTTACTCAGCACGGATGCTTCAGATGGACTCACTGCTATAAACAATTCGACTGTGGGGTTCGCTCCTCTCAGCCCGCCTTGGGCATGATCAATGTCGCAGTCCTCTGCAGATCTGTGGGTTCCCGGCCCACGTCTTCGGCCTGTGTTCCCCACACCATTGCACTTTCCAGACCGAGTTCTTTGTCTTCCTCTGCTACTGCTTGGGTAAAACTTCTCAGCCAAGTTCCTGAATAGAAGATCATAAAATTCATTTATCAGGTGACAACCACCATCAGTTTAGTAGAATACAGCAATGGAGAAAATACTAAAATGTTCTGTGCATTAAACAGAAGGATCCATTCCCCAAGCGTCTGAGTGTGTGTGTGTCGCACAGCTGAGCGTATGGGGAGGCGTGACCTGCGGACCCCACAGTGGAGAGTGTGGAGTCTCAGCTCCCAAGGGCAGCCCCACATCCACACAGGTGCGAGCCCAGGACACAGTCTCCTTGTTCAGACTGGCAGACATCATGAACCAAAAGACATTCTACAGTAAGTTTCAGAATAAATCATCTTTTCATTTTAATAACTTCATGAAAGAATGGGCTACCCAAACACTGAGAATTTGTCACTTAAATTTTTTCCTCTTTAAATGGACTTCATCAAAATGAAAAGTAAACAGGCCCCATTGTACCTTGCTGGAAAGTGTTTCCATGGCATCATGATAACCTGTTACAGGAAATGCATGCAGGGACCCAGGGCTGAGCAGCCACAGCTGTGAACGTGGCACTGCAATGCTTGAGGTCCTAGTGAATTTACTCCTGGCCACACGGGCTCGTTCACACCAAGTCACCGCAGACACAGAGCAAGGCGCCGCTGCCACATGGCATGGACAGCACGGAACGCAAGGGCTAGCACCGCTGTGCATCACAGACACCTACCCTGCACAGGCTGTGCACGGCAGGAGAAGTGGAATCGCCTGCCAAGGTGACAGGGACAGCAGACGTCTGAGACGCTGTGCACCCCAAAGGGCAGCAAAGGGGAGAGCAGGCTCACTCTGGCAGGCCCGGCCCAAGTCTGGGTCGTCTCTGTGCATCTCCCAGAGTGCAGCGTGTAGTGATCAGGTGCACGTGGCTCTGCTGTGGGCCAAGACACTCAAGGGGGGCAGACACGGAGCCCTTGAGCCCATGGGACATCCCAGACCACGAGGGACGCCTGCTGAGGGAGGCCCCCCATCCCGCAAGCCAGTGGCCACTTCTCCTCCTCCAGGAACCAATGTGCCCTCAGGAGCAGTCCAGGCTGAGCAGCAACCATTGGAGAGAAGGGGGCGAGTTGGGAACTTCACCTGGGCACCACAGCACCGGGGGCACCGGGTCTGCCCAGGCCGAAGACAGGCGGGACCCAGCGCTGGGCAGGCAGGGCCTCGGGCCTGCAGGACAGGGGCTGCCTCGGCCCGGCCACCCCAGGCCACTGTGTAAGACTGAACAACAGTTACTCCATCTTTGTAATAGGGCCCCAACTTGTCTGCTTCTGTTATGGATCACCAGGTAGACATCGAGTTCCAGGGATGTGCTTGTTGTTGTGCCAGGAAGGTCTGTTGTGTGCGTAGTGTTCTGTCATGCTTGCCCAACTCCATATCTGAATATGTTATCTTAAGGACAATCTGTAAAAGGTCTGTTTTATCTCTCTCCTCCGCTTTTGTATTTCTGCTTGCCAACTTCCCCTGAGACCCCCTATAAAAACAGCCTCGGACTCTGAGCCAGTTGCCTCTCTAAGCTACTTTGCTTTGGGAGTGCCGTCTGGCCAGACTAATAAAGGTCTGTTTTACTTTCCAACTTGTCCGGTGTGTTCCTTCCCAGGTGTTCTTCACTGCAGTCAGCTCCTCAGAGCGTTTGGTAAGGCCCTCGGTCTTACAACTTGCTGGCACCCTGCCACGGCCCACCATGCCCCTGCCAGTCGCTCCGGACAGTGCTCGAGCCAGCATGGGTCAGCTTGGGCACGGGGTGGGGTGTTGTGCAGTGGACACCTGGCCGGCTTCCCAGCACTCAAGATGACACCCAGCTCTCCGTGAGGCTCCACAGCCCTGCCGGTCCCTACGACTTCCCATCGCACCTGCACGTGGCTTTGGCACTCAGACCTCATGGCCTCCAGCTCCATGCAGCCCCAGGTGACCTCCCCAGGACTTCACCACGTCCCCTGCACCCATCAGGGTTCCCCAGTGAAGCAGAACCCACGGAGGTGTCTTGGTGTGTGCATCCTCACGGGCTTGTCTGAGGGGCCGGCCCCCGGCTGTGTGGACGGTGGTCTCACAGGCCCTTCTTCCTGGAGTCGGCTCTGTTTCAGCTCCGAGGGCTTCATGGCGGCAGGACCCCTTGCTCCTCACGTCTGCAGCTGCTGGTGCTGATCACACAGCATGCGCATCCTCACAGCAGCCCGGGACTCTGCGGTAATCAGCTGGTGCCCGGCCTGGCCACCTGGCACACACGGCGTCTTGCTGTCCCTCAGCCGGGTTCCCCTGCCCTCCTGCTGGCTGGCACTGCCTCAGCCCTCAGTGCTCACATGGGCGCCATGCTGTGTGTCACCAGCAGGGCGGCCCCAGCTGTGCCGGGCCTTGGCACAGGTGGCCGTGCCCCAGGATCAGGCCCAGTGATGGGATGCGGGCAGGACAGGGTGCAGTGTCCCTGACAGGGACGGTCCAGTGTCGGCCACCCAAGGTCACCCCAGGGGCCGCCAGGGACAGCAGCGCCCTATGGTGGCAATCTTCCCCTGGAGCCTTGGCCAGCTGAGTCTCCTGTGGGGCCCAGGGCCAAGCATCAGACTGCAGCCCACATGGTCACCAGCACGGCCAGGGACCTGGGCCCAGGGCCAGGAAGGACAGCAGGGCTGGGCGGAGCACACTCGGCCATTCCTGACACCTCGCCCGACCCCCACCTGCGGTGCTATTTGGTGCCTCTGACACCAGCAGCCCAAAACGGGGGTGGTGGTGTCAGAGGAGCTGCGGCCGAAGGGCCCAGCCCTGTCTCACTCAGTGCCCAGTGGGCTCAGCTCCTCCCAGCTGGCCTGGTCTGCCTGGCCTTGGCTGTTGCCCTGGTCCCTGGGGAGGTCACAGCATGGGCCAAGAGCAGCTCTCAAGGTGCACGGTGTCCTCCAGCGAGCTCTGACCAATCCCCATGCTCTCATTTGTGTCTTGGGAAAGCTTTAAAGCCTGTTTTGTTTTCTTAACTCAAAGTGACCAGCACAGCCTTGCCACGCCCACCTGGATGTGTCGGCACAGGCAGAGGGCTCCACACTGTCTGCACAGTCATGCGTGGCTCAACCTGAGATGGGGCAGTGTCCAGGCCCGGTGCCATCCGGGGAGTGCTCGGAACAGGGGAGCCGGGGTAGCAGCACCCATGCGGCTCAGTGGGGCAGGCACGTGTATGGACCCATGTGGCCCAGACAGCAGGCCCAGCCACAGCCACCCGGAGCTGCTCAGGGCCCAGCGCGTGGCCAGGCCTCTGCACACTGTGGGAGGTGTGGACGCTCCTGCATCAGCTCCCTCAGGCTGCGCGTCAGGGCCAGGCTCCGCCAATCCTCCTTCCTTCATCTCCTCCACACACCCCAGCTCCAACCCTGAGCTCCTGTGTTCCCTTTCATATCCCGCCTGGAGGAGAAACAGAAACCTGGAGGCACTTGCGGATGAAAAGGGTTTGAGAGTTGTGGGGTGCCAAAGGAGGAGATCTGTCCTGTAATTGCTTAAAAAATAAACTTTCAGGAGGAAATGTTGCACACACCTGTAGTCCCAGCACTCTGGGAGGCTGAGGCAGGAGGATTCCAAGTTGCAGCCCCACCTGGGCAATTTACTGAGACGCTGTCTCAAAATAGAAAGGGCTGGCAATGTAGCTCTGCGTGAAAGTCTCTGGGTTCAATCTCAGTAATGAAAAAAATCGAAAGATCCAGAAAGTAGCAAAAGGAGAGGAGGACAGGGGAGGCCCCTCGTGTCCCCCTCCTCCCTGGACGCTTCCAGCGGCCCCAGTCCACTGACCCGTGACTCTGATGTCTGTGCTCTCAGACCCCAATTCATCCGCCTGGCGCTGCCCCCAAGTCTGTTCAGGCGCCCACTGCACACAGGGCGGTGCTGCCCCAGACTAAGGTCAGTGAGGTGGGAGGTGGATGCGGGTGGTGCACACACGGCCTGCACTGGGGACACCCAGCAGCCTCTCTGTCCGCGTGTGCCTGGCAGGGGAGCCCAGGCCCCACCCCTGCAGCTCCACCACCCAGCGCCAGCTCCTGGGGCCTGGCTCTCGCAGGAGTGGCAGGAGCAGGACTGACTGGGCTCAGCCACCCTCGGCATCGGAGCGACCTCAGCGGGTTGTGTCCAGAAGCCCTGGCCGCTCCGCTCCAGGGCTGCCCCAGAAGGTGCTAACCACTATTGGGGGACGACGGGCATCGCCATCATCCCCACGCTTGTTTCCGGCCCCGGGGGGTGCTGATGTCCTTAGCTGGCAGCAGTCGCAGCAGGCTGGACGCACACAGACGTTCCGACCGTGCTGAAAGGGGCCAGTCTGAAGCCCGACAGCGCACGGGGGCAGGGAAGACCCCGGCCGGGGTGCGGCAGCTGCCAGGGTGCGGCAGCTGCCAGGGTGCGGCAGCTGCCAGGGTGCGGCAGCTGCCAGGGTGCGGCAGCTGCCAGGGTGCGGCAGCTGCCAGGGTGGATCCCAGGGCTATGCGTGCCTATGCGTGTGCGTGCGCATGCGTGTGTGACTTAAACCCATTTCCCCTCCAGGGTCAGGACAGGAGAGACCAGGGCGGCTCAGGCGCGTGGTCGAGGCAGGCAGGGCACTGGGGAGATGGGCGGGGCTCGGGACTCAGCACCCCTGGTCTGGGCACCTTGCCGGGCACTGGGCAGAGGACTCCCGAGGGGCGAAGAGGAGGCGACACCCAGGCATGGACACTCCGGGGGTGGAGGAGGACCTGGGCTTGGATCCACGGAGGGAAGCAGCTGCGCCCTGCTGGTGGCGATGGGGGGACAGACTCCAAAGAGGGAGCCTGACCGGGGCCTCGTTCAACACACGGCGCGCAGAGGCGGGGGCAGGCGGGTGAGTCAGGAGAGCAAAGTAGTGATGGAGTCCCGGAGACCTGCAGGGCGGGGGTGGGTTGGGGGTGGGGAGGCAGTAACCTTAACCCTAACCCAGGCCTGTGCGGCCGCCGGGGGACAGCTTCGGGCCCCAGAGCCCCACACACAGCGTGGGGTCACCCAGCCAGGAGGGGCGCCCTGGCTCCCAGGCCCTCTGTGACGGCCCCGCCTCTGCACATCCACAGCACAGCGGGGACCCTGAGCTGGGGCCTCACGGGGGACGTGCACAGCCCCAGACTCGAGGACCTGCAGACCCAGCCCCGGGGGAGCCCAGGGCGGAGGACAGGACTCGCTTTCCATTCCCGACAGGTGGGGTGGGGACCTGTGACCCCTCGGGGAGCCTGGAGCTCTATGGACAAGCCCTACACCGCTCAGGCGCGGGCATGCGCGCGCGCGCACACACACACACACGCACACACGCACACATGGCAAGATGTGAGCCTCTGGCCCTCTGCGCCTCCTGTCACTCGATGTCCCCGCACTGCGTGGGAGAGAGGGAGCCAGACCTCACCCCGGCCCACACAGCTACTCCGTCAGGGCGTCAGGCACAGAGCGCCGAGAGGGTATAGCTAAGCGGGCGTAGGGCTCTGTTTTGTGCAGTAAAGAATCGGCCTCTTAGATAAATACCAGTGGGCTCCAGCATCTATCTGCGAATTTTCTCTTTCAGATGAAAGATCTCTGAAGACAAATTGGATGATGCATATGTGGATTCTGTTTCACTTGGTGTTTAGCTTTTCCCCCCTCTTGCTGCATATTTATCCTCTTTCAGGTTCCAAAGTCCGGTAGGTGCTTTTTAAAATTTTTTTCTGTTTTACTGAGACAGGCCCTCCCTATGTAGCCCAAGCTGGCCTCAAACTCACACGATCCTCCTGCCTTAGCCTCCTGAATGCTGGGATTACAGGTATGCACAATGACGCTGGGCTTTACTTCAGTTTTGATCAGAGTTTACTTCCCACCTAAATCAAGAATATCTGTTTCTATCCTGGCTGCAGTGTACTCCTGCTGACTGGACCTCAGAAAATACTACTAAGGTCTGAGGATCTAAAATAGAAGATTAGATGTAGAAAACATTTTCAAATCATGCCCCATATTTGCTGCTGTGTTATAAACCCACCTTTTTGTTTCTTTCCAGGTGGAGTAGATCTTGTGTACCTCAGACTGTTCCAGTTTGTCAACAAATTAGAAATTCTTTTCTATTTATCAAAAAAAAAAAAGAATCTCTTCTTGGAAAGATAGAAAACAAGCTTATACAAGTCAAATAATTTTTGAAAGATAAAAAGATTTAATGTCTTTTTAGAAATTATTTTGCTGCTGTGTGAATAGTTTTAAATCTTTTTTCTATTTTTAAACCATATTCTTTAATCAGTTTTCGGAGTTTGTCTTTTAGATCCTCCAAACTGATGCTGAGTGCTGTGAGCCCTGTCTTTCCTGGCTCTCTGATACTTAAGGTTCATGAACAAAGGTTGATTTTCTGATAGATTTATCTAAAATATTTGGAAAATCAAGGGGAATTCTTAAATTTTCATCTATCATATTTGCAAATTATCTTGTAATCCCCAATGACACATACAAGCAAAGATGTTTCTAGAATATGAACAATTAAGTGTGATATTTAATTCAATATAACTGACAGTATTTTTTCAATTTGTGTGCAATTCTTCTGCACTGCTTTTATGAACTAAAGCTTAGACCTTAATGTTCTTATTCTGAGGAAAAACGAGAAAACAGAAAGGATTTTGTGGTTCTTTGCTTGAAGCTTGTGGAGTTTGTTATTTAAGATGCTGGGCCCAGAAGGATCTTCACCGTCTGTTAGCACTGGTCCCCACTCACTACCTGGGGCGTGCGCGCCAGTGTGAATCTTGGTGACGCGAAGTAAATGTCCCTGTTTCAGCGCAGCTTTGCTGGCGATCGCTCTACCATGGCTCTGGTGCTGAGAACCCTGATCACGTGGTGAGAGGCTGAAGCAGGCCATTGCCTCCTGACATGAGTTTCGGCACAATCCGAGGAACTGAAATTTCATGCAAGTGCGGAAATATTCACCCCAGTGACATACACACAACTTTCAGGCTCATTCTGTTCATTAAATTTTTCCCCTAAGTCTGTTCAAAATGAAGATTGTTTACATTTGATGACCCAAAATCAACCTGTATTTGGTTGAAAACAGCCAAATGGCTACCGTCAACATGCCTGTGAATTCGGTTCAGAAAGTATAAAGCCTCAGTATTTTCAGTATTTGACACAGGCAAAAGTCGTCCTCTCTGCAGTACTCTAACTCAAGTGTACAAATACTGAGCAGCACACGGTAACAAACCTTTCTGTCCAGTTTTTCATATGCAACATTTCAGGGCCATGGTTTTGCCCACGGCACGCTATGTCCACTCAATTCAGTAAATCCTTTTCGGGTCACTTTGCTCCCCTCACGTCTCGCTGTGAAATCCAGCGCAGGAGAGAGTGGGCAGCTGCACGGGGCAGGAAGTGGGGGGTGTCACACGGGCGCTAGGCTCGCCCTGGGGCTGCTGCCGCAGAAGGGACCCGGATGCCGATGCCGCGCCTCTGCCCACCGGCCAGCTCCTCCACTGCCCGGAGCCCACAGAGCCCCAGGCCCCTGCGTGACTTTAGAGAACCACAGGACGCAGCTCAGGCACGGAAGGCAGCGACAGAGACACACGCACGGCCACGCAGAACGGGCATTCTCGGTCTGCCCAGTTCGGACCAGGCTCGGGCCCAGGATTCTCCGGGTTTGACCACAGAAGAGCTGCTAAGGCTGAAAGGACGCCAGGGACCCTTCGAGAGAGGACGCTGGGGTGCTGGGGCCTGGAGGACAGGCGCTTGGGAGCCAGGGACGCTGAGGTCAGGGCTGGGCCCAGAGGCGCCCTTGGGTGGGGGTGGGGCCACGCTGCTCCCTGAGGACCTCGGTGCCATGTTTGTCCTCTTTCAAATTCAGCATGATGTGAATGCTGTTGGGGTTAGGGTCAGGGTTCCAGGGTCCTTTGATGTCGTTCAGGTCATTTATCCAGCATCTTCTTCTTTGAGGTCAGGTTGCACACTAGTGGACTGGACTAGGACGGACTTCCTCACCTCATTTAAAATGCCAATCATTTGCAGGTGCTTGGCATTTAGAGATATGGTACCCAGTCAGTAGTGCTGTTTAAGAGTAGAAATCTTTGCGACTTGTGGATTTATATCACTGGAAGAAAAATACAATGCAATTTTGTGGATTTATTTTATATTTTTAGAGCTCTTAGAAGTTCAGGAGCCTGGAAGAACAACAGGCATAGGGAGTAAAAAGCTTTGGAACCCCAGGCCACTTTGGCTAGTCTAGAAGATTTGGAAGTTTTTAAATCTACAGCTTCTTCAAAATTACTTTCTCTAAGTCACAATTTCCTTATCTCCTGTCTTCTATCCTTATTTCTTCTATCCTACCTCAGTTCCCTCTACCAAAAAAATGCCCTTTCTTCGTTTTTCTTGCGAAGTCCTCTTCGTCCTTTAAAGCCCTGCTCAGCACTCAGAGGGGGAGCCTGGGAACTAGCAAGACAGAGGAGCCGGTGGCAGCAGGGCGATCGGGGTCTGGGCCCTCGCAGACTCAGACAGACAGCAGTACAGCAGCCTGCGGTGCCCCGTTCATGTGCATGCCTGCTTTTCAGCACCTCCAAAGCCTGCACCCCAGCTGCTAGTCCTAAAGCTTGGTGCCTCTCACCCCCACACACACACTCCCAGTCTGCACAACCCCTCTGACCATGTGACCTCACCACAGGCACCCAAGGCTGCTTTAGCCCAGAGCACAGGCCATTCCCTGGCTGGCAGCAGGTGTCTGTAGGAGGCTGAGGCAGGACAGACAGGTGGCATCTCTGTTCGGAATCACCGTCCCTGGCAGTCACCCTGGACTCCGAGAAGGACAGATCTGGTCAACAAACCCCCTGTGAGGTGTGGGAGCCACCCGGGCAAGGCACCCGTCACCTCTCCAGCACGGCTGGCCTGGCCCATCCTGGGACCCAGCCATCCAAGACTGCTGGGCCGTGCATTCTCTGGTCCTGTCTCCTGACCTGGAGCTTGGGTGGTGGCAGCCCCTGCTCCGAACCAAACCCCTCCTCCTGCCTCCCCTCCACCTGCTCTGCAATGGCACCTTGGGGTAGGGGCAGAACTCAGTCTAGGGGACCCCAGAGCTGGGTGCTTTGCCCCAAAGAACAGGAACAATGTTGGATGAGTGGCATAGACCTCTCTGCACCTCTGTTTCTCCCTCCGTGTGAGAGGATGGAAGGAGTCCTGCCCTGCCCGTGTGTGGGTCGGCAGTGTAGCCCAATTCCATGTCTTCAGCCCTTATTTGAAAAGTAACAAGCAAGTGCAAAGATCAGGGAAGAATAGTCCTCAGAGCTGTCAGTGTGGTCGAGCTCTGAAGCTGTGTTTCCTCAGGTCTTTCCTGAGGTGTGAGGTGCGACCTCCTCTGCCCCTAAGCACCTCACCTCAGCAAGAGTCCGTCGCACTGTTGGCAGCAAAGCATTCGCCAATTTCTCCATCACAATGGCCTGCTTTTCCTCCTGGCTCAGACTCCAAGGAGCACAGGAAGAGCTGACTGGCTCCATGCGGGACGGAAGGCATGGGCCTGCCCGGATCAGTGCCGGGAGCTGGGCCGAATGGGTGGAGCTCAGCTCCGTGCCATGCTTGGGCACTGGGCGACTATAAATCCTGCTGTGTGTGCTGCTCTGGCAGCGTGGGCTTCCCCGAGGTGCGGCTCTGCCAGACCTGCTGAGAAGACACAGCTGTTCCCCTGGGGTTGTCTGGCGAGATGCTGCCCCTCTCCAGTTCTGACGAGCTGATTTTCTTTGTGAATGGGAGAAAGGTATGTTGGTGATGTGATCCGTAGGAATTTTCGTATATTCATTAACATGAATTCCATAAGAGCCAACCTTCGCCCCACTGGGACACCATTTCTTATTCCTTTAGCCTCCCTCTCTCTCCCTCTCTCCCTCTCTCATCTTTTTCAAGTCATATGTGAGGGTATGAACTTGAGCATGAGTCTTTAATTCAAGTTTTAGTGCCAATTTTTCAAAACATGGGGACCTCTACTTAATTCTTATTTTTCTTTTGGAGTCAGTAAGGAGGAAATTCTCTTATTTCATCAGGTTTGTTTTCTGGTTTTTGCGGGGTGAGAAACTGCCATCCTTCCTGCACAGGGAGGTCAGGTCACCAGAGCTTTGGAGCAGGCAGCATTGCTGACACAGAAGATGGTGGTAGCAAAGGACCCAAGGATGGTTTTGCTTGGCCTTACTAAGTTCCTGCCTGCAGCAGCAGTGGGTGACTCTGTCCCCTGCAGCGGAGAGCAACTGTGGCCCAGGGGCGGGGCTGACTATTCTGGGCAATTAGCAAAAACCAGCAAAATAATAAAGCAGAAAGTGATGTGAGAAAGTGATATGTTGCAAGGTTTTGCCCCTCACTCCTCAGTTGTGCTGATGCCCGCGTCCTCTCTGAAGGAGGAAACAGCTTCGCAGGAGGCCCAGAGCCTGGGCAGCTCTGCCCTCAAACAGCAGGAACAAAGAAACCAGGCTCCCAAACACGAGGGGGGGGGCACAGGACCTGGGTAGGGACAGCCGGGCGGCAGTCACAGGCAGTCGCTGAGGGACCACCTGCGGTCTCCCAGCCGGGACGTCCTGCATGAGTGGCGGCCTCACTGCTGGGCCTCGTCCACGCTCACTCTCCTTCGCCATGGTGCAACTGTCATCCCTCTCCAGTGTGCCAGTCTTTGGAAACCAGAGCCCATATTTTGGTGTTTTTAGCTCTTTCTATTTCACAAATTTTTAGGATGCTACAGATGGCAAAAGAGGGAGAGTCATAACGCTGCTGGCTGACCCTGAGTCTGGGGCAGGGTTGATTTAGGGTTTCGCTTTTGTTTTCTTCCTGCAGGGCTGGGGCTCGAACCCAGGGCTGTGGGAATGTGAGGCACTAGGCAGGGACTTGTGCAGGGAGCCACCCCAGCCCAGGGACCACTCTCGGTGGCTATGACTGGCCACCCATCCGCCCTAGACTTGGGGCGCAGGCCCGCTGACAGGTGCTGCCTGACGGAGCCACACCCTGGCACAGCCTTCCAAGGCCCAGAACTGCAGTTTTTCTCTATTTTCTGCATTCTCTTCCACAAGCACCCACTCTTGTGCGTTTTGAATCTATCTTGCCCATCTACTTCCTATGTGGCCTTCTAGAAATACAGGTGCTTGTGCACAAATGTATGAACCACAGCGGACACGGATGATGCTGTGGGCTGAGCCTCCTTCGTCTCTTTGGTGACTCTGCCCTGGCTTTGGGGTCCGTGCTTCACTCCAAATGCTGAGCTCACAGTGCTCCGGGCTGCAGTGTGCTCCCGTGCTGGCACAGGGTGCTTCCAGTTCCCAGGAAGCAGATTCTGTGGGTCCTGCCGGAGGCTTTCCAGAGCCCACACAAGCCACAGTGCCCTGCTTCACAGCACAGGGGTGGGTCCTTGCTGAGACAGGCACGCCTGTTCGGCCACCAGAGGCTCTCAGTCTTGTTCATCCGAGGCTGTGTACTGGCATCTCTGTCCCCTAGCGAGTTCTCTTCCTCACAGACCAACAGAGGCACTGTCTCCTCACGCGCTTCCCACAGTAGTTAAATGCTCGCCAAGTCCAAGTTGCAGCTGCAGACTTTCATCCCGTCCCCTTTGTGGGGATCACTGCTCTGTTGTATGCTCTGGGGACCTGAGGCAGAGTCGTGCTGGAGGGGACAGCACGGGCCAGGCGGCCCTGGCAGGCTGCCGGGTGCTTGGTATTGTTCACTGTTGCCTTGGAAAGTTGCTCCAGAGAACCCAGTCCTCCACCATCAGGCCACATGCCAAGAATACTGGGACACAGAAGCAGGTGCCGGCCACCCTGCCTTTGCTCTTCTTCCCACCTGGGAACGATTTCCACAGCCACACAAATGTGCAGTGTCAGCAAAGCGTCCCCTTGCTCCGCTGCCTCCCCGGTGTCTCCACTCTCAGTCTGTGCACACCAAGAGTCACGGCTCGAGGCACTGAGCTCATGCTCAGCATCATAAATCTATGGCATGAGAGGAGGCCTGGAAGAGGAGGCAGCAGGGGAAGGACAGCGGGGCTGGCTGCCGTGTTCCTGGGAGGGTTCAGCCCTCTGCAGGGGAACGGTGTCCCTGCTCTCGGGCAGGTGTCTTTCCAACACGCCCCTCTCCTGGCCCGGCTGTCCCTGGGGAGCCTGGCTGTGCCCTGTAGGGCTGAGAAGGCAGGTGGCTGTGCCCATTGGCAACGACACCCCGAGCACCCTGAGCCGGGGGGCGGGGGGGCAGAGCTGCCAGGCGCCTGCTTTCCCTCGCTGGGGCTCCGATTCCGGGGGGCAGAGTGAGTCAGCAGCAGGCGGGGGCTGCAAGCCCCAGACTCCAGGAAACCTTCTCTGGCCAGCCTTTCACAATTGCCTCTGCTGTGACCATTCTCGTCAATTTCCAGGTGAGTCGGGGAATAATCACCATGGAGGTAGGAAATCCAGAGACATTGAAATAGTGTCTCCCCACTGCTCTACAGCTCTGGTTCAGGTGTTTGGGAAGCTGTCTGTGTTGCTTTCTCCTCACAGAGCCAGCACTGTCTGGAAGGTGTCTGGACAGCAGCGGCATGGCTGCCTTCGGTGGCCACATCTGAACCCTCTCCTGTCTCTGGCAGGTGGTGGAGCAGAAGCCCGACCCTGAGGTCAGCCTGCTGTTCTACTTGCGGAGAGTCTGTATCCTTTTGCTGTACTGTGACCCCTCCACGCTGGGTGGCAGAATGTGAACGTTCTAGGAGCAACCAAGGGAGTCACCTGTGGTCTAGATAAGTAACTTCCTGTCCATCTGTAGGGTCCACTCAGAGCCAGAGGCCACATGTATTCGTCCATGCCGTTTGCTGTATTTTTCCACTGAACAAAAGTGCCAGAGACTCCCGCAGTAAGTGTCCAGTCCCCACCTGCCCAACATACGATGCCGGCCTGACAAGAAATACGCTAAAAGACAGAACTAAGAGAGAGAAAGTGGGGTGCAGAAACAACCAATGCTGGGGTACCCGACAAAGGCGCTGGCCAGGCCCAGGCACGGACTTTATTGGCAATCAATGGGGGTAAAGGCGCCATGTGGTTTCTATGGAAATTAATGTAAACAGGGCTCATAAAGGCCAAGACAAAGCATTCTCAAATCAGGAACAGAATAGACAAAATATATGGTTGTAATTAGAACGTTGTCCTTCTAGTCTGAAGGTTTAGCTGTGGGAATGGAATCTGGGTTCAAGTTACTCTGACCTCGGCATGTGGGCTTCAGCCAGACTCACTGCTATAAACAAGCCAGTTGTGGGGCTAGCTCTGCACAGCCTGCCTTGGGCATAATTGATATTACGGTCCTCTGCACAAAACCAAAAGCCACCTATGAGTACACTCATTTTAGAGAAACCATTTCAACTTTTGAACCCCAAGCCCACCCTGATGACGATTCCACATTCAGGCGTGTGGATGGAAACGCGTCCCGCCCACTGCATCCAGCCAGGTGTTCAGGGCACGGTCACCGAGCTTAGCAGCCCACAAGACATTTTACGATTTGGCCCTCGCCCTTGCACAGTTCTTATCAGAGTGCACAGTGTCATTCACAGATCTCCAGTTCCAAGTGTAGCCAGTGTGCTCCCAGCTCTCAGCTCTGGCCTGGATGCCCGCTCCTCCAAACCCTCACGCAGACGTTCAGTGCGGAGGAGTGGCTGTGTCAGAGACCACACTAGTCCACGGTTCAGCTGCATCCCACATGTGCAAGGACGGGTGCAGCAGGCTGTGCTCTGGCATTCAGTTTTGCACTGACACGGCTCCTGGCTCAGTGCCGTCCTGCAGGCATGTGGGTGCCATCAGTTGGGGACGCTGGGCGATGGGTCCACAGGATGGTCTGTACTGTTCCCAAGGCTCTGAGCAGCTGTGGAGATTTAGCTGAAATAGTTCTACAGGTCTATAGTTTTCCCCTTAAGTTGTATCTTCCATGTGGTGTCAGCTTCAGGCTCCTGAAAACCCCAATTTCCTGCTGACTTAGCCTCTGGCTTAGGAGTCATCCCAGACTGAGATGCACCCACACAAGGAGCAGAATGTGTCTGGAGATGTCCCCGTTTCCCTTCCCCTGCCCACAGTCAGGGATCCCACGGAGGCCGACTGCCCTGCCCAGACCTGCCTGGGCATCGATCCTGTCACTCTTCCCTCTGCGTCTCTGTCAGTTTAAGCAATCTGATGTGCAGCCCAAATAACAAGTCAGAGTGAATGGCTGGTGGCTACTTGGGGCTGCACACACAGCTTCTTAGAGTTGTTAATCTCCCTGAGATCCTGGCTCTAGGACAAAGCTAGGGTTGTCTCAGACGCACCCCAATTAACTTCCACCACAGCCCTGCTGTCACCTGCAGTTCTTATAATTCTTATGTTATTCACCTAACAAATCCTGTTGGGCCCAGGTGTTCAGAATAGCCTAGACACACCCGGCCTCTGCCCTTAGCCTAGAGAGGAGGAAGTGTGATGGGAGCCATGTTGGAGGCAGAGGGCGCCATCTTGAAAGCAGACAGGTGCACCACGTTGGGGCCAGAGAGGGGAGGAATAGGCTGGGGAGGAAGCAAAAGGCCAGGGTTGAGTAGTTCTCAGGGCAAAGCGAGCCTTGGGGTCAGTCAGCAGCAGCTGCCCAGAGGCAAAAGAATACAGTGCTCTTGAGGGACGGAAAGAAGTTTGTCCTGACTGATGTGAAAAGTTGAAGGTGAGAATGGGAGGATGTGACAGGAAGTGAAGGAAACCCAGCAAAAGACCAGGCCTGGCTCTAACATCACAATGCCTGCCATGCTGGCTGCCCCCATAGTCTCAGGGAAACTTCTGGATATTCTTTAGAACCCTGAGAAAGCTCATCTTCGTAAGGGACCAAAAAATAAGCTAAGATGTACTGCTTGTTTTGACCAGAGTAAGGGTTTCTGTATTTCACATATAAAAAGTGCAGTCCACCCAGTTAAATTTGAATTTGAATGCACAGGACATATTTATACTCAAATAGTATCCATTGTTTTTCTGAAATTCAAATTTAACTGAGGATCCTACGTTTTATGTGACAACTCTGCCTAAAAGTGAGCCTCAGGATGAGCTAACAGGACACAGAAGGACCTGCTGGGCCTAGGAGTCAGGGTGCGCTGTGTCCAGAGGACAGAGGAGCCAACTGAGCCAGATTCTCCCTTCTCGCCCACAACAGCCCTAAAATGCACATCGCAGAACTGTCCTCAGCACTGACAGAGTGACTAGAGACCCTGTCCACCAGCCAGAAGAAACCTGGCTCCTTCACTTGGAAGTGACAGGATGCCAAAAGCAGAGACTAAGGCTTTGCTGCCCTTCACACCCAAATCAATGGAGCACCCAGAGGGACACCCCACAGGACTCGGGTGGAAGGTCTGGCCCGACGGGGCAGTCAGGGCCCTTGGTGTGGGGCAGGCGTGCGTGCAGCCCTTCTGGGTTCTGCAGAGAACTCAGCTCCTCACTGCAGCAACCAAGGGCGCCCTGACTCTTCCTCACCTCCTGCTGGCCATTGATCTTCAAAATGAGAATTACCCTCAGCCTCCAGCTCCACCCAAGTGAGTAATGAGCTCCACCCATGAAATCCTCCTTAGGCTTCACCCAGAAAATGTCCCAAGCAAATTTCAGTCAACTCTTGGATGCAGTTCCAGTAGAACTTGAGGTGGAGGATTTGCATAATATTTGTTCGCCCTTCATGAAAATATGCAAATATCTTACTGGAAGAAGACAGTGACTGTAGACTTTGCCAGCTCAGGAGGCACAGGTATCCCATTAGCATTTATTAAACCCATGAAAGGTGAGAGCCTTGTGGTGCTGCACCATTGAAAGTTCAGTCTCCCTGGGGATTTTCCCAAGTCCTCCACAAGCCCCTTCCCCGGCTCCATGGTGGGATCCCTCCAGGTTCAGCTCCATCATCCACAGCGAGGCCGAGCTCTGGCGACAGCTGCGGGCTGCTAGCGGCGCTGCTCACCTGGCCCCAGTGATGCGAGGCTCCAAAGCCTTCGCTCTCCCATGTAGGCAAATCTGCAGGCCACTCCCTGTGCGATGCGAACGGCTTGGCTTCAAGGTGCTGCCCTGCCCCCCTGGGAATGCCACCTTATGACCTCTCTAAAATCTGAAAAATTTTATCATCAGAAATGAATCTGGGTCTGAGGTTTTCAGATAGGCAAAGGTGACTGTGGAGTTCTCATCTTTCCTCAATGAGCTCATTTTCAAATTTTTATCAGTCCAGGTTTGCAGGACATAACAGTCACAGGCCTGGGAGTGTGGTAGTTGGTGCACGGGCATCACGCGGCTTCATGCTTCTCGCTCCCCTCCCTCTCCTCCCTCCTTCTCACATCCCTTGGTCTCCTCCCCATTTGCAAAAGTTCTATCTCCCTGTTTCCTGTCATCTATCTTTTCTTTTGCTCTTTAATTTACTTATACTTTGGGTTTCTCATTTAAGAGAAACCCTGGGTAGCCTAGCTTGCCTGTCTGATTTACTTCACTCATGCCCTCATCTATACCCAAAAGGCTGAACAATCTCTCTAAGCAAGAAACAGTGCCAACTGGGCACCAGATCTGGAATCGTGTGCCTGCTCCAGTTGCCGGGGCCCCTTTCCTTGACTCCTTCCCTCCAGTGCGTCTCACAGGCACGAAATTCGCCTGTGGAGAAGGTGGCTGTGGCGCCTGCACCGTCATGGTGTCCAGATACAACGCCATGAGCAAGGAGATCCAGTATCCTTTGTGTGGCCCCTGCTCACCCCAGGCAGCCAACACACACGCTGCTGGGCCCCGGGGTGTTCTCCATGCAGCAGATCCCACCCTGTGCACACGCCCGGCCTCCTCTGCTTCGGAATGGGAGGCCTTTCGGCAGGGAGTGGGTCGTGGACAGCAGTGAGCGTCCTGGGGGAACAGGGTCTCCACACACCAAGAGTCCTCTGCCCAGCAGCTGTGCCAGCTTCGCCCTGGAGGCAAAGGCCAAGGGGACGTCCAATAGGCCCCGAGGTTTGTGTGGTGACAGTGATGCAGGGCTCCACCAGGGAACTGGGAAGGGGAGGAACGCAGGGGCCGAGGATACGTAGCACTGGGGCGATTCACCGTGGGCCCTGGACGTCCAGCAGGCACCCAGCAGGCAGCTGCCACGGGCGGGGAGCAGCCTCCTCTGGAGCTGTGGTCCATCAGAGGCTGTGAACAGGAACAATAACCGGCCAGCAGCTATCGCTATTTACTGCACATCAGGCCCTGTTGAAAGTAGCTTATGTATTATCACATTCACTTTGCCAAGCAACTTCAGATAGGCAGTACTGTCGGTGACCTTTCAGAAAGAGGAAATTGAACTTAATAGGTTTAAATAACGAGTTGGCAATCAAGGCAGCTTTTCAGCCCAGGCCACCTGGAAGGCAGTAGGACTGGAGGAAGCTCAGGGTGTGAGGCACCAGACCAAAGAGGGCAGGAACAGCAGGGAGCATGGGGGCCAAAGGAAGAGCTGCAAGCCAACAGGTCACCAGCATGAAACTCCAGCAGGGGCCAGGTACTCTGAGTCACTCCCAGGTCAGCAGGCGGATGGGGCCACTGGCAGGAGACTGGAAGGCAGGGAAGCTGTGGGCAGCTTTTGGCGAAACTTGACAAAGGGAAGAAAGATGGGCCAACGCTGGGAGAGATGTGGAGTTTTGTTGTGCTGTTTTGATCATAGCAAACACAGCTTTGTTTCTAAGTGCAAGTCAGTGAGGCGCCTCGTGGTGGGGCCCTGTGGAGACAGCAGCACAGGGGCCATGGAAGTGGGAGCCTGTGGGGCCGGATGTCTCAGCCTCTCCTCCTGGGATGAGGCGCAGGGTAAGGCCAAGGGGAGCAGTGAGCAGGGGCAGTGTCACTGGGGTGAAGGGAGCGAAGCCCCAGGAAGACTTCAGGGGAAGGAACTGGGGAAGGTAAGCAGAGACCCGCTGAGTGTGACCTGACAAGGGCTCCTCCAGCTCAGCGAGGCCAGCTCCTCCCAGCCCCGGGCCGAGCTCACCAGGGCAAGGACCCGGGGTTGAGAATCGCTGGGCTAAACACCCAATGGGCTTCTCATGAGCAAATGCATCATCGGCAGGCTTCCTTCCCCTGGAACGAGGGGAAATAAACTAGGAATGAGAAGGCCCCCTCAAGGCCCTACACGGAAAGTGCCATGCTTCTTTCCAATCCCCTCTGTCATTGGTACCAAGTGCACTGAATCCTTCTTCACGCTTAGGGAGACAACCAGGGTGTCTCAGTCCCCAAAGGACGTGTTCTTGCAACTCGCAGCTCTCTGGGGCTGATGCCCTACCTGAGTCCCCACCTGTTCCTGGGGTGCCAGTCTGACCCCTTGACACACTCCTCCTCATAGCCACTACCCAGCCACTGCGTGCCTGGTGCCCGTGTGCTCTCTGCACGGGGCGGCTGTCACCACCGTGGAGGGCGTGGGGAGCATCAGAAGCAGGATCCACCCAGTGCAGGTGAGAGTGGGCACCCCAAGGCCTGTGTAACCCCAGTGTGCTGGCTTTCACATCCTCCCCTTGTGCTTTTAAGGACCTTCTCACTGACTGCAATACTTCATGACCCCACAAGCTCCTCCCAGCCCCATTGCTGCCCTAAAAGAAAAGTCCAAGCTGGTAAGAGAAGAAAAGAGATGGGAAATGGGAGGTTTACAGAAGACACTAGCTCATCCCCCGAATCTCAAAATTACTGAGTCCTGACAGAGAAGCCAGCTGTGCAGGAAGACGCTGCACACGCTCCCCACTTGCAGGTGCACAGTGAACACCTACAGTAACAGGGCCGCACGGGTCAGAGACTGCGGTAGAGGAGTGCTGTCTTCCTACAGAGCACATGCTTCTGCAGGTGCCCCTGCCTCGCTGCCCTTGCGGGCTGAGGCTGGGGTGCGCAGGCGCCGATTCGGGCAGCACTGGCTAACAGGCTTGTCTTCCACCACCCGCCTAATGGCTTTGTGCACACTTGACTCACGACCTAATTAGCAAGTGCCTCTGCTGCTGTTGACAGCTCTGCCGGAGGCCCTGCAGTCAGGTTCCAGCCCCCACTTGCCCAGTGTGGGACGCAGGCCTGAGAAAAAATACTCTCAGAGACAGAACCAAGAGAAAGCCAGGGCCAGGACGACCAATGCTGATGCAACCGACCAAGGCCCTGGCCAGGCCCAGGCACTGACCTCTAGTGGCAATCAACTGGGTTAAAGGTGACAAGTGTTTTCTATGGAAATTAATGCAAACAAGGCTCGTAAAGGACAAGACAAAGCATTCTCAAATCAGGAACAGAATAGACAAAATATATGATTGTAATTAGACACTGTCCTTCTAGTCTGAAGGTTTAGCTGTGGGAAGGGAATCTGGGTGCGTGTCACTCTGACCTCGGCCCTTGGGCTTCCGCCAGACTCACCGCTATAAACAAGCCAGTTGTGGGGTTAGCTCTGCACAGCCCACCTTGGGCATGATCAGTATCACGTCCTCTGCAGATCTTTCTCTCAAAAGTGCCCTGGAGCAGCCTGTGAGAGCCAAGAGTTGTATCTGCAGGATTTCACAAGTCTTTGAGGGCAGCCCTGAGGAAGATTAAGCTGCAGTGCAGCTCGGGGCACCTCGACTCACAGGTGCCAGCCCTGGTTTGGTTGCCCCAGAAGTAAATGAGTAAAACTGTACAAACCAGTTACCGAATTTAGGGAGTCGTGTCTGCCATGATAGCAGAAGCATGTGTACTACAGAAGTTGGAAGGTCTGATCTGAATCAGGGCTTTCCCCAAGGCACTGGGCATGAATAGCACGGCCAGCTCCACGGGCCGAGTCTGAAGCCCAGACCCAGCCTGGCCACGCTGCCCCCAGTGCCAGAGCAGCACCTGCCACTTCCCCGGGCACAGGGAGGCCTTTGCTTCCGTTCTGGGAGCTTCGCCCTGTGGGCATCAGGATCAACCCCACCAGCCGGTGCCTGCAGAGTGAGACAGGTCTGCATGGAACCTCATCCCCTCAGGGGAGCAAACAGAGGAAGGGGTCATTTCCCGCCCCGCTGGCTGTCCTGCTTGTTGCCTGGTACTGAGTGTGTGCAAATTAAATACACGAGCAGCAACGCACGGTGGCACCCCTCAAAGTTCTCCTAGGCTTTGCCACTCAGTCTGTCGGAAACTGCAATACAGATGGAGACCAGCACAGACAGGACTTGCCAGGGACTCTGTGGGTCATTAGCTTACTCCTGTCCTGCTGGTGCCTTATTATCCTGATTTTAAAGACTGAGAAAGCTCCTGTAAGTCACTGACTCAGGGTGCCTTGGACCTGTGCTTGTCCCCAGGAGAGACTTGCCAAGTGCCACGGCACGCAGTGCGGGTTCTGCAGCCCCGGCATGGTGATGTCCATCTACACACTGCTTCGGAACCACCCGAACCCGACGCCGGAGCAGGTCACCGAGGCCCTGGGAGGTGAGCCTGGGCCGAGGGGACCCACGGGGAGGCCACCGGGGTGAAGCCGGGCATGGACCCCATGATGGCCTCCTCTGCTGTCTTCATCCAAGTCCCCTCCAGGAAGGGCTGGCTGGTCAGGCCCGGGCAATACCAGGAACCAGAGCAAAACCTTTCCTTTCCTGGAGCCTGGCTCACTCTGCTGGGGCCTCAAGTGTTCATACAACCCTTACCAAGGGTAAAAGAGCAAGATTTAGCTGTCTGGAGTTTAATTAGTCTGCTGGATCCATGCATTAACATTACTTACTAAAACAGGGGCTGGGGATTTAGCCCAGTGGTTCTGCCACCTGCCTCGAAAGCACAAGGTCCCGAGTTTGATCCCTGGTACCAAAATAAAAAAAAATTATGACACTAAAATTAATTTTTGCAAAGAAGAAAGACTTTCAGATCCTCCATGTCTTTATGTCCTGGCTGGTTTGTAATAAAAGACCAAGGAGGCTGGGGATTTAGCTCAGTGGTTCTGGTGTCTGCCGTGCATGCACAAGGTCCGGAGTTCGATCCCCAGTACAAAACAAAACAAAACAAAAAGACCAAAGAGACTATAAACAATTCGTTATCACAAACAAACTTAGTGAGCAATTCGTTATTTTATAACCAATAGCTACCAGATTTAAGTTTACAAATACCATCATTTCTGCCCCCCAAAAGGCTTGCACACAGATGTAGTTTTCTGGAATGAAACTGCCTAGTTTCCAGGTCACTAGCTGTTGGGAGAAAGCTACTTACAGACACTCAGAACGATACAGGGAGGCTCTCTGCCCCTTTCAGTCACCAGCTCCCTGCCACCCCCACTTCCTGAGGGTGGGGACACCACCCACCAGCTGTGCTGTCCCCTGTCCCTAGAGAGCAGCTCGGGAAGGGCCTGTGAGAGAGGCCAGCAAAGGCTCACACCTGCCATGTGGGCAGTTAGGATAGGGCGGGAATCAAGCCGGAAGAGTCAGGGGAAGCTATGGAGAAAGAAAACACAATCACAGGGTCTGTTTTCAAAGAATATCTCGGGCCGGGGATTTAGCTCAGTGGTTCAGTCGCCTGCCTCACACACCCAAGGTCCCAAATTCAATCCCTGGTACCAAAAAGAAAAACAGAATATCTCCAGGGGAGAAATTTTGCGCAAAAAGAATGTGGCTGGGCTTAGGGAACAAAAAGGAATCTAATTATTAAAACCACTATTTCACTGAAAACATAGCAGAGATATGCAATGTTTCTGTTACTCCCTAAAACTCTATTCCGCATTAACCAGGTAATTTGTGCCGCTGCACTGGATACCGGCCGATTGTAGAAAGTGGAAAAACCTTCTGTGTGGTAAGTTTGAAAAAAGAACATTCATTCTATTGACTTAATATACAGTGAACTTTTATATGAAATAATCTATTCCATTCAATAACCTCTCAAATAACCCCTGTGGCCCTTCCAAACCACTGAAAGTTTGAGTTGCCTGCTTTGTATTTTTCAAAGCAAACCTTTATCATCTATCTTGCTGATAGGCCTAATTTGGCACTGAACTAAGACACAGGAAATACATTGCGTGGCTGGACTAAAACAGGCAGAGCAGACACTGGAAAAGCAGAGGAGAGGCCGGGCACTCAGCTGTGCCATGCGCCTGCAGGCTATTGGAGGAATGGTAGGGAATCAGAGAGGCGAGGAGGGGACACATCCAGCAGGGAGCAGGGAGCTCCATGGGGGTCCTAAGGCAGAGACAGAATGGAGCGCCAGTGAGGGGCTCAGAGGTTCCAAGTAAGAGCATGGATGGGAAGGAAATGAGCCACTGACGAGTGTGAACCTGCTTCGTGAGCAGAGAGCTGGTCTCAGAGCTGGGACCCCATGCCGACCTGGAGCGGCCAGACGCTGGCTCCTGCTGCAGGAAGGATGAGCAGGCGAATCCACAGGGGAGCACAGTGTGCAGCAGCAGGCCCCCGGTGCAGTGTGACTGCCACGTGGAGGGCTGGGGCGGCCACAGACAGTTACGGGCGGTGGGCAAGGGTCCAGGCCACCTCAGCAGTGGGAAGCAGAGACCACGAAGGCTGGGAGGAGGAGGAGGAGGTGGTGAGGGGCTGAGTGTCTTCAGGAGGTGAATGCACTCCTGAGTTTCCACAAGGGCACCTATCCGCCGCGACTGCCGTCCACGATGAGGATTGGTGGACTGTAACGTGGTTACAGAGATGGTAGGCTGTTCTGTTTGTTTGTTTTTGTGGCACTGGGGATTGAACACGGGCCTTGCACTGAGCTGACTTCCCCAGCCCTTTGTATTATCTGTTCTGAGACTGGGACTCACTAAGTTCCCCAGACTAGACCTGAACTTGCAATGCCTCTGCTTCAGCTTCCCAGGCAGTGGGGACTATGGGCTTGCACCACTGCACCAGCTTAATTTTATATAGTTTTTGTTGGCCAGAAACAATTCAAGGTACTCCCATTCATTTCTTTTTTCCCAAGTTCTTTAATTCATTTTATTTTTTACATAAAAAGTTGAGTAAAAATTGGATAAAGTAAAGTGATTTTAAGCAGTAAATCAATCTTATCAACAGAGCACAGGGCTGGCCAAAACCACAAGGCAGCCTGCTTTGGAATATTTACATGATAACAAATTAAACCTTGCAGGAGAATTTAAACCACCCTTACAAAGTCTTTCTGTGATCCTAGCACATAGAGGCTGAAAGCAAAACAAAAACCAAGAAAAAAATTTTTTTCAATACATTCACATATACATTAAAATATAATAGATTGTCAGGGTAAAGGGTCTTCACTCCCATTCATTTCTAGTAGTGTAAAATCTTTGAAAAGATACCTTTTATGTCAGGACGAAAGAATTTCCAGAAGTCTAGAGGCCAGCTAAAGGCTGTCCTCGGGTCCCTGGGCATGGCACTGCACTTGCTGAGCAGCATGAGCAGCCGGACTCCACCGCTTCCCATCTGGTCTCGTTGCTCAGCCAGGCACTAGGTGGCTGCTTCCCGGGACGACAGCTATGCAGAAGAGTGGAGGGAGGTGCTGCCCCTCCCGCATGCTGGGCCCTGTGTCCAGCCCCGTGCAGTTGCCCCCGTGGGTACAGTGCGTCTCAGGTGCCCCCACGTTCGTGTCCCTCTTCCCTCTGAGTGACCTGCTAGCACTCGCACTGCACTCTTTGGGGTCAGACAGCGGCCACCTTGCTCCCGCTTGGATCCGATTCCCATCTGGCATCTGGCTGAGCTCACACAGGAGCTGGATCCAGCCCTCGGCCTCCGGGGCAAAGAACAGCTGCCTACACTGGGGCAGTGCTGCCCAGGAAAGCCTCACGAGCATCCAAGAGGCATTTTGGGTGAACTTGGGCCAAAGACCGAACACAGTCCCCAGGAAGAGCCCTGGAGCTCAGCCAAACGCTCTGGGGCTTGAGCCACCCGAAGGAGAAGAAAGCTGCCAGCAGCATCCAAGGAAGCTCGGTGCCGGTTTGTTTCTGGTGGTGTGGAAAGTCAGAGGCACTGGAGGACCCCTGCTGCCCCATGTGACCACACGCACCCCCGGGAGGAAGACGCTGCTCCAACCCTGGCCCAACCCTGCCCCCGGAGCCAGGCCCCACGCTCTGATCTCACAGGGCTGGGAGGCTGTGGCCTCACCGCCAGGGGCTTGGGCAGCACCTACAGAACCCGAGGGTCCAAGTCAACCTCAGCTCATTGCTCCCCAGGAGCCCACTGCCTGCCCAGCAAAGGGGTCGGGAAGGTGCTGCCTGGAGCAAGAGGAGGAGGAGGAGCCAGGCTCCCCACACCTGCGGGAGAAGGTGAGTGCCAGGCTTTGCCTGCCCCCAGAAACACCACTAAATCTGCGTGTGTGCAAGTTTCCTGTTCTTGTGGGTGAATACAGTGCAGAGCAACTGAATTCAGGTCATAAAAAGCCTGAAAGAGCTCCGGAAAGAGGAGCCCGTGACCTGGGAGGCTGGTCCTGCAGATGCCATCCTCGGAAGCACGAGGACTTCCAGGCCGGAGCCCGGGCAGGGGCACTGAGCGAGGGCAGCTTCTCTCCCACACCAGGGCAACGCCCACCAGGGACCTGGGCCAGCGCCAGAGCACACAGCCCTAAGCAGGGAATGAGCCCAGCAAGTGTGGGGAGAGGCGTCCTGGGTGGGGAGGGGGCCTCACTTGGGTGGGGCCCACAGCGCCTCTGAAGGGGCTGTGTCCACTATGTTCTGTCGAGATGTGCACCAAGCTGTACGACAGGGACGAGTTCCAGCCACTGGACCCCTCCCAGGAGCCCATCTTCCCCCCGGAGCTGATAGTAAGACCCTCCCCAAGCCGCATGCCTCAGCTCACATTAAAAGGGGGAGTGGTTCCCAGCTCCCCCAGGGGAGCGCGTGTCGGCTCCAATCACAGGTCACTGACGCAGGCAGCGACCCCATAGGCGAAGACCCCCAGGGGAGCCCAAGGGCCCAGGGTCACCTGCAGTGTGCACTGAGATGGCCTCGAAACTGTAAAACAGCGAAGCCAGAGGCAAGTGAGAGTCACGGTGACCTCTGTGATCTCAGTTGGGAGGAGGGGCAGAGTCATGAGCAGCATGGTGCGGGGTGGTCCTGGTCCCCACACACCTCTCAAAAAGTCTGGTCTCATGTACGTGTGAACACAGATAGACACGTAGGATGGAACATAGGGAGGGGGTTGTAGACTGTCCACTTCCTCTGTACCTGCTGAGAGACTCAGGGCTGCTTCTTATAAGTGGGTTTTGTCCTACAAAAGACCTAATCCCCAAAGCCGGCCCCCTCCGGGTCCCCACAGGGCAGGATGAGGACCCAGGGCTGATGCTGCCGCTCCATGCATATGGTCCCCTCTCCACCTGTGCCTCCTCGGTGGTGTCCCGACAGATGAGCGTGTGCGGCTCGCTGTCCAGGGGCCCGAGATGCCCTGCCTGTGCCCGACAGCAGGACGGAGCACCAGGGCAGCCACGGTCTCCAGCAGCCCCCTCCTGGCCTCAGGCCTCAGACACCGAACCCGGCAGAGCCCGGGCGGGGTGGGCCCGAGCCTCACGGAGCGCGCTGGCTTCCTTCCCGCAGAGGATGGCTGAGGACCCCAGCAAGAGGAGGCTGACGTTCCAGGGTGCGAGGACCACCTGGCTTGCCGCCGTGACCTTGCAGGACCTCCTGCAGCTGAGAGCCGACTTCCCCCACGCCCCGCTGGTCATGGGGAACACGACCGTGGGTGGGTGCTTCCTGTCCCTGGAGGGGGACCCAGGCGTGTGCCCTTCTACACGCTTCACCCGCGCCCTGCACTTTTAGCAATGACGTGCACAGCTCTTGAGATGCCTTGTTGTTTTGTTCTCCAAGTGAGGGGTGGTCACGGCTAGCACTCCTCCCAGTTAGTCAGAGGCACCTGCAGCCGCAGCGGCGCCTGGCCCTGATGCCCTAAATGCCTTTCGCTTTAAGGCCCCGACATCAAGTTCAAAGGTGAATTCTACCCGGTGTTCATCTCCGCTGCTGGGCTTCCGGAGCTCCGCCTGGTGAATTCCGAGGACGGTGGTGAGCACGGCCTCTCGCGGCTGCAGAACCAGGGACGGGACGGGCCGCCCTTCCGAGGCTCCCGGGGCTGAGCGAGTCCCTGCTCAGTTTCTGCTGAGCTCTCTGGGCTGCGCGCCTGGTTGCTGAGGGCTTCGCTGCACGGGACACATGGCGGTGTCGGGGTGCGAGGGTGGGACCGCTCCCGGGTCCTGGAAGCGTCCCAAGTTCGTCCCACACCCGTCCGCGTGCACGCACACACTTGCACACGCACTCACTACTTGGTGGCGGCCACAGAGGTAAGAGGAGGCTGGAAGGCTGAGCTTTGCGCACCCCGCTCTCCTCACAGTCTGGCAAGCACTCCCAGCCCCCGGGTCCGTCCTCGCCACCCTGGGGGCGGATGGAGTCGGAAGCCTGGCATTGCGTTGTCCCACAGGGGACACAGATCCAAGGCCGGTCTGAGCTGGGCCTGGGTCTTCGCACCCAGAGCACCCCGCCTGGGGGCGCTCTGAACCCCGTCCCCTCACCACCCAAAGGCTTCGTGTTCACGGTCGGGAGGCCACACCCATAGGGAGGGTCCTCCCCAGGAGCAGGCAGCAGCTAGGTGAGCGGGAGGCCCAGAGTCCCCCCAGCCGCCGTCCGCTCATCCTGAGCACTTGTTTTCCACCTGCTGGGGATCTGCACCGATGGCCAGGGGGCGGGAGGGTGCGGAGTGCCCCGTGGCCGCAGTGGTCCTCGGCGTCCTGCCTCGGCCTCCCCGGGAGCAGCAGGCCCCGTGCCCCTGCCCGGCCCCTGGGAAGTTGAGGACAGAGCAGCCGTGGGCGCCTCTCGTGCACGTGTATGTACCGGTGCTGGGCACCAGACACGCGCAGGCCTGCAGCTGGGCCGGGCTCGGACAGGGGCCGTCCTGTCGTCTTCCGCCCAGGGAGCCGCAGGGAGCGGTGGCCGGGAGGGCAGGCGGCAGTCAGTTCCCACTGAGGCTGAATGAGCTTTGAAAACAGCCTGAGACCCTGGCTGGAGTTTCCATTCCCGGTGGATTTAGTCAAGGAAAGTAGGGAAGCACTGGGTCTCAGATACCGCAGTCGGACGTGCGCCCAAACCCAGGCCCCGCGAGCGGACTGGGGGCTGTGCTGCTCCCGGGGAGCGAAGCCCACCGCCAGGGGCGGCTGCGCGTGCGCCGTGGGCACGCGGACTGCGGTCGCGGCCTCCTCTCGGGGAGCTCACGCCAGCTCCCGCCGCGCCCTCACTTGCAGGGGTGATCGTAGGCGCGGGACACAGCCTGGCCCAGCTGAGTGACGCCCTGCGGTCCATTGTTTCCGAACAACCGCCCGAGAAGACGCAGACCTGCCGCGCGCTGCTGACGGCCCTGAGGACGCTGGCCGGGGCGCAGATCAGGAGCATGGCGGTGCGTGGGGCGCAAGCCCGGGGTGGGGCGCAAGCCCGGGGTGGGGCGATGGGGCGCGGAGGGGCGAGCGTGAGTTCTGTGTGTGTCCCCTGAGGAGCCTTGCAGGCCGAGGTCCGGATTGAGGCCCGGCCCGGGAGCGCTGCGACCCCCGGAAGCCCGCGGTGTTTGGCACTAGGCCAGCCGCGCGCGCTCCTGCGTCCCGCGAGGTCCGAGGCCCCGGCGCTGCCCTCCCACGGGCCTGGCTGGCTTCTAAGCTTCCGGTCGTGTCCCCGCGGAGCTTGGCCGGCTCCTCCTCGCTGAAGGTTCAGGGGAACTGGCTCAGCCTTCCTGTCCCACACAGGACGGCCTGGGACTTGGGTGTGGGGCGCCCTCACTGCAGGTCAGGTCAGCTGCCCGCCTGGCCCGCGCCCTCCCCTCCCCTCCCCTCCCTGACCTGTCGCCCCAGCCCCCAGATTCCCATTGCCCTCCTCTGCTTTCTACCGGAGCGCCCACACAGCAGGCCTGGGGGCCTCCCGCGCGAAGAGGCGCACTCCCCCGGCCGGAGGCGCAGCCGGGGTGGGAACCGTGCACGGTGCGCTGTCGGAGTCCGTGCAGCTGCTCCAGATTCTGCCAGATCTTCGCGTGAAGCCGGGAAGAGAATTAAAACGTTACACGCAACTCCTTATTTGTCCAATAACAGCGCCGCTCCTTCTTCAGACTTTAGGAGGACATGTGGCGACCCGGGCTACCATTTCCGACCTGAACCCCATCCTGGCAGCAGGGAAGGCGACCATCCACCTGATATCCAAGGGTGAGAGCCCGCCGGCGGCCGAGGGCTGGGCACCCCCAGGCCGAGTCTGTTACCCGAGCTGAGGAGGGAGCTTCAGGAGCTGTCCACACTCCGGGGTTCTGATCGTGAAGATCCGATGATTTGCTGCACCTGAGTGTTTTTCCTAAAACTCGCCAGCTATGAGCAGCCCAAATTAGTACTGAAGCAGGTGAAGAAAAACCTTAATGAGAGTTCTCTTCCTGCTTCAGAAGCTTCTGGCAGCTTTCACACTAGAGTCCCTTGAAGATGGGGATTTTTCTTACAGGACTCTGCACTTGAAATCGAGGTTTTGGGCGGTTCCTTCCCGCCTCTCTGTCTGCGAAAACACTTTGAGCTTTGTGGTGGGAAATGACTCAAACTTATGCATGTTATTTCTAGGGCTACTGATATAAACCACGTTTGCTTTGATTAAGATTGCCTATTTAAAAAGGACCACCAGTTCGATCCCTGGTGCCAAAAAATAATAATAAAACAAATTAAAATAAATAAAATAAAAAGGACCAACTAACAAGAGAATATGAGAAGCTGTTTCAGAAAGGGCCATGTGTGGATACACATGCATTCTGTGTGATTCTAATCAAAAGGTGAGTGTGCAGCCGGAAACCACTTGGCCCTGCCCACCTCTGGACTTTGGAAAGCTCATTCAGCCTCCCTGGACCCCAGTTTACAGTTTGTGAAATACGTGCATTGTAGCAGGTTGTTTCCAGGAACTTTAAAGTTCTGTAAGCCCCAGGACCAGCCAAGGCCCCCACTCTGTGGTGCACACAGCCTGGTAGATAAGCGGCCTCCTCTCCGGGACCTGTGGTGCTCACGGATTTCGGCCTCCCTGTGACCCCAGCTCCCCGCGGGGCCAGCGCATCAGTGGTCAGTGTGCTCTGCCTGAGACCAGGGCCCACCCTGCTATGCCTCGGCCTGGCTGGGCTTCTGTGCCACTGCCCCAGCTCCCGCACCCCCACCCCTCCCTGTGCCCATCCGGCCTCTTCTCCCACAGAAGGGGAGCGGCAGATCCCTCTGGACAGTGCCTTCCTCGAGGGGTCCCCCGAGGCCAGCCTGCAGCCAGGAGAGGTCGTGCTGTCTGTCTCCATCCCCTACTCCACTCAGGTGAGCCCTGGGCCAGCCCCGCCAGGAGCCTGAGCCGAAGGCAGGGTGGGGACACAGGGGCCCACATTCCCGGCCACCACCTTGCGACTTCCGGCCATGGCACTTCCACCATCAGGGCTCCCTTCCTTCATAGCGTGAAGTGAGAGGTCTGCGGTGACCATCTTCATGTGGAGATGAACTTCATCACTGTGATGCTCATTTCTTGCTTTGGGTTTTAAGATACATTATAAACAGGGCATTCCCGAGGGTCCCTAAGGAAAAGCTTTTGTGGGAGTGGAACTTGGGCTTTTGATGAATGTGCATCTTAGCTGAGATAGAGAACATTTGTAGTCAATGTAGGCTATGGGGAGTTTCTGATTAACTGAAAATATATTAGCATAAAAGTGCCTCTGAGTTAAATGATAATTATTAGCCTGCTGTTTAAATGAAATTATGGTTGCATTAACCACCTGCCACTCCACTGCACAGTGCTAAACCTGGAAGACACTACCAGAGTTAATTAGGGGCAGGTGTGGTAGCACGCACCTGTGATCCCAGCTACTTGGGAGGCTGAGGCAGGAGAATTCCAAGTTCAGGCCCAGCCTCGGGAACTTAGTGAGATCCTGTCTCAAAATGAAGAACAAAAAGGGCCAGGGATTTAGGTCAGTGGTTCCATCGCTTGCCTTGCAAGTGCAAGGACCAGAGTTCGATCCCTGGTACCAAAAAAACAAAACAAAACAAAAAAATGAAGAACAAAAAGAACTGGGGGTGTAGCTGAGTGCAAAGGCCCTGGATTCCATCCCCAAAATGGAGAGAGAGAGAGACAGGGAGAGAGAGGGAGAGAGAGAGGGAGGGGCATCAGGTCCCATCCTCGAGGCTCTGTAACCCTGGCAGGAAGAGCTTGACCTAGCAAGAGGAAAGGCCTAGTTTCCAGGGCAGCGATTGTGTGCACGATGCAGTGGGCCACTTGCAGGCCAGAGAGCTGAGCCAGGGCCCCACCTGCATGTGCAGAGGGAGTGGGGGCTGGGTAGGCACAGAAAGGGGGTGCTCCAAGTGGGGCTCCACCACCCAGCAGTCGTGGCTGCAGGGGCCAGTGCACAGCTCGGGCTCCCTCCTGTGCCCTGCGGCAGGAGTGGGCACGAGCATCTGGCATCTCTGCAGTGGCAGTTCGTGTCGGGGCTCCGGCAGGCCCAGCGGCATGAGAACTCCATGGCTATCGTCAACGCCGGGATGAGCGTGCAGTTTGAGGACGGCACCAGCACCATCCAAGACCTGCAGCTGTTCTACGGCGGCGTGGGGCCCACGGTGGTCTCCGCGAGCCGCACCTGCAGGCAGCTGGTTGGCAGGTGGGGCACTGGCGGGGCCGGGACAGCAGGCCTTCCTGCTGCAACTTCTTAGTGGAAACAGCACTGACAGAGTCGTTTCTGGTTTGGAATAAAGAACCATCTAGCGAATGTAAGCTCCTACAGAAAAGAACAGAAAGTGCGAGCTACTCGGAAGCCAGCCCTTGGAGGCTATGACTCCTGTGTTGCAGGTTTCTGTAATAAGATTAGTGCACAAGGGACGAGGTCTGAGCCACTAGCACTTCTCAGGCTAACTGGCAAAGTTAGCAAATGCACTGGGTCTTAGGATAGCTGAAAATCTCCTGGAGTCACCAGAGAGGATTAGATCTTCACAAAGCTTCCTCTTATCACACCCACAGCTTGCAGCACTTGGAAAGTGAGTTTCTAAAATTCTCCCAACTAGGCCGGGTGTGGTGGCACCTGCCTGGAATCCCAGCACTCCAGAGGCTGAGGCAGGAGGATCATCTTGAGTTCAAGGCCAGGCTAGACTATAGAGCAAGACCCTGTCTCAAAGAGAGAGAGAGGAAAAAAGGAGTTCTTCCAACTACTCCTTGTATCATTTTTATTTCCCATTATTCTCATTGTTAATAACTAGGACTTACTACAGGTTTTTCCTCAGATACTAAAATAAATCCACATTGCAAACCTTTCACTTATGACATATTTTACAACTATCTTCAGTGGTTTGCCCAGTCACCAAATTTCGAGATCATTTCCTTGGCTCTAGCAGTTCGAGCAGTTGGAGGTGAATGGATACTCCCAGCCCAGGAAGGTGGAACCAGTAATGCAGGAGGAGTCCGCAAGGGAAGCTTAGGAGCTGTGTCCCCCGCCTCGGGAAGCTGTGCAGCTTCTGAGTGTGCTGTGCAGCCTGGCGGGCGCTGCAGGCCAGCAGGGGCAGCGTCTGTGCCTGAGCAGGAGGGTGTGTTGGGGCTTGGTCCAGAGGTGCAGCCCAGAGCACGGTAAGGAAGGCCAGGCAGGATGGCCGGACAGAGGTGGCTGGGCCGCCTTGCATCCAGCAGCCCTTGAAGCTATTCACATCAGAGACAGCAGGCAGGCTCAGGGCTCACGGGCTCAGCAGGGTGAGCGCGGCCTGCCCAGCCCTCTGCAGCTGTCTGTCCTCTCCCCAGGCAGTGGGACGACCAGACACTGGGGGAGGCCTGCCAAGGGATCCTGGGCGAGGTCCACCTGCCCCCCAACGCCCCCGGTGGCCAGGTGCAGTTCCGGCGCACGCTGCTGCTCAGCCTGCTCTTCAAGTTCTACCTGAGCGTGCGGCGGGGACTGAGCAGACTGGTGAGTGGCGGGGAGCCCCGCTTCTGCCTGGCCTTTCCCTCGCAGGGGACAGCATCCTCCTGGTGCCTGGTCGCCCGGAGTCAGAGCTGGACTGCAGCCAGAGGCGGCCAGCGGCGGCCAGTGGCAGTGAGAAGCCTCAGTGAGTGAGTCACAGTGGACAGTCCTTTCTTAAAGAAACTTTTCTTATCCAAATAATACTTTAGTATTTAGAAAATGTGAATTAAGCCAAAAAAGAGGAAAGATTATCTGTACTCCCATCACCCATATTCAACCACTATCAAAATTTTCTAAGCCGGGTGTGGTGGCACATGCTTGTAATCCCAGCACTTGGGAGGCTGAGGCAGGAGGATCGCTTCTAGTTCAAGGCCAGCCTGGGCTACACAGTAAGACCTTGTTTCAAAAAAAGAAAAAAAATGTCCAAACCTTCTTTGCAGAGGGGTACAGGTGGGTACAGTTTCATCGAGGCTTCCTTCTCCTGGTAGCAGCATCTTCAGCGCCATCACACTCATTAGCAGGGCTGTGACACGAGCCTGTGTAGCATACTTGGGTGGCTGGTGCAGCCCAGGATTGCATCCACTCTTAATTGCTAGACATTCATTTCCAGTTTTTCTGTTACTTATTTTTCTTACCCACCCTAGTTTAAACAACCTCCGCCGAAGTGTTTCTTAGAATGGACTCCGTGCCCTGAGCACCCCCTTGAGAAGCCACAAAGGGCCAAGCTGCGGGCAGAGGGCTTCACCAGGGCCTCTTTTGCTCTGAGAGCTTTGCTCTGTGAGTTCAGCAGTTCTTTCTATTATTTTATGGACATTATTTAAATTGGTTTCATTGTTTACCAGAGACCCCTGCAGTTAGGTTCCAGCACCCTGCCCAGTATATGATGCAGGCTGAGAAATAAATACACTAAGAGACAGAACCAGGAGAGAAAGTGGGAGCCAGGAGACCAGTGCCACTGCAACTGACAAAGGCCCTGGCCGGGCCCAGGCACAGACTTTAACAGCAGACAAGGGGGGTAAAGGCGAGCTCCATGCAGTTTCTGTGGAAATTAATGTAAACAAGGCTCATAAAGAACAAGAGAAAGCATTCTTGAATTAGGAACAGAATAGACAAAATATGGTTGTAATTAGAACGTTGTCCTTCTAATCTGAAGGTTTAGCTGTGGGAATGGAATCTGGGTTTGAGTTACTCTGACCTCGGCATGTAGGCTTCGGCTGGACTCACTGCTATAAACAAGTCGACTGTGGGGTTAGCTCTGCACAGCCTGCCTTGGACATAATCGCTATTGTGGTCCTCTGCAATTATTCATATATTCTATTATATACTATTTACATAATAGATTCAGTATATAAATACATAATCATATCTAATGTATAACTCAGCAAATGTATTATTTTCATATCTATTATTCATTATTATATGTTCTCTTGTGTATTACATATTCTAGCATTACAGAAGAATTCAAACTGCAGAGAAGCAAACATTTTTTAAATCAACTATAATCGGATAATCCTACCTTAACTATTAGTAGCATTTTGGAATATTTACTTTTATAATTTTCTATTTTTTCCACAAAATGAGAATCATATTGTACATACATTTTTACCAGATTATAGGAAACTTTTAATAAATTTTATAAACAATACATATATCTCCTTATCTACATACAGATAGTTATATACAGATATAAACCTTTATTGGTCCATTTCAGATAACATAAGGATAGCACTCATCACAGGGAATTTGCATCTGTATATGGTGTATCTGACCCCTTCTTCTTTCCCATCCCCTCCCCTGACCCCCCTCCCCTCCCTATGTACAAAGCTTTGTTTCCATTTTTTCCCTCTATTTTCACTTTTTCCTTGTCCCTTCCTTCCTCCCTCCCCCTCCATTGTTCCCCTTCCCATTTGAACATTTCCTTCCCATTTTCCAATCTCTATTATACATTTCAGTCCTTATTTCCACTTTCAGTTTCTCACACCAGAGAAACAATGCAATATTTAAACATGTGTGTTAGATTTATTTCACTTAAGAGTTTGGTCTCAAGATGCATCCATTTAGCTAGAAATGTCTGAAGCTCATCCTTCTTTATGGCAGAGTAGTACTCCGTTGCATAAAAAAAACCACATCTTCTTTATCCACTTGTCAGTTGATGGGCATTTGGGCTGTTTCCAAGATTTAGCTATTACAAACTGTGCTGCTATAAACATGGGTGTGCATATATCACTGTGGTATGATGCTTTTATTTATTTTTTTGGTACCACGATCAAACTCAGGACCTTGCACTTGTGAGGCAGGCGCTGGAACCACTGAGCTAAATCCCCGGCCCTAATGCTTTTAATTCTTTCAAGAAGATATCAGGAAAGGGAATAGCTGGGTCAAATGGAACCTCTAGTTTTAGCTTTTTGAGGAATCTCCACACTGATTTTCACAGTGGTTGCACCAGTCTACACTCCCACCAACAATGGAGCAAGGTTCCTTTTTCCCCCACAGCCCCACAGCATTTGTTATTGGTTGATTTCTTGATAGCAGCCATTCTTTCTGGGGTGAGGTGGAATCTCACTGTTGTTTTAATTTGCATCTCACGAATGACCAGTGATGTTGAATATTTTTTCAAATATTTACTTGCCATTTTTCTACTTCATCTGAGAAGTGTATACTCATTTCAGATGCCCATTTTTGGATTGAGTCTTTAAATTTGGGGGAGTCTGATTTTTTTGAATTCTATATATTCTAGATATTAGTCCTTTGTCTGAGAAACAATTGGCAAAAATCTTTTCCCACACTGTGAGTTGTCTCTTCACTCTGTTGGTGGTTTCTCTTGCTGTGCAAAAGCTTTTTAATAAGATGAGATCCCAGTTGTGATATTTCCTGTGCTATTGGGGTTTTGTTCATAAAGCTTTTGGCTGCACCAATGTCTTCAAGAGTTCTACTTATCCTATCTTCCAGCAGATTAAGTGTTTCTGTTTTAATATTTAGGTCTTTGATCCATTTCTATTTTAGTTTAGTGCATGGTGAGAGATATGGGTCAAATTCCAGTCTTCAGCATGTGGAAAGCTAGTTTTCCCAGCACCATTTATTAAAGAGGGTATCTGCCTTCCAGTGAAGGTGTTTGGCTCCTTTCTCAAAGTTAAGGTGGCTGAGTATATGCTTAATTTGTTTTTTGTACCAGGGATGGAACTCAGGACCTTGTGCTTGTGAGGCAGGCATGGAGCCACTGAGCTAAATCCCCAGTCCTGCACATAAATTTTTGAAACCCTTTTTTTTAGCTATGTTCTTAAAATATATTTTTTTCAGCATCAACAAGTAGACTACTACAAAATCTTTTGCATGGTTGCAGAATAGTGTGTCTGAATGTACCATGATTTGTTCGGCCACTTCCCTACTGCTCAATATTTACTTTAATTCAGTCACAAATAATCTGCAATTGAACATCCTTGTAAATTAACATTTGCATATCCCTTGATTGTTTCTTTAGGATTTGTGTCTGGAAGCTCAGCCTGGATTAGAAACCACAGCCACTGTGTAGAACTGCATGTACTTCCACTCATTCAAAAGACCTTTGCTTCCTGGGGATAACGTGTACTTCTTTTTTCTGATTTTTTTTTTTTGGTACCAGGGATCAAACTCAGGTCCTTGCGCTTTTGAGGCAGGCGGCAGAACCTCTGAGCTAAATCCCCGGCCCTTGTTCTGATTTTTTGAGAGGGTCTCCCTATGTAGTGCAGACTGTCCTTGAATTCATTGCATAGCACAAGCTGGCCTCAAATTCCAGGTGATCTTCCTGCCTCAGCCTCTCGAGTGCTGGGCTTGCAGATGTGCGTCACCACACCATGTTTACCATGTACTTTTGTGTGTGCATGAATGCGTGTAGCTGGTATTCTGGAAACAAGTGCTGCTCCTCAGGAAACTGAAGCCTGGGCTTTCTCCCCACAGAACTCCAGACTATGGTCTTGGAGAAGAGACTGGGCAGTGGTATTTGGACGTATTTTCAGAGCAACTAGCTTAGATTGCAAAAATCAAATGTGAAATCATTTCTGCAGGATCCACAGAAGTTTCCTGATATCCCAGAACAGTTCATGAGTGCGCTGGAAGATTTCCCCATAGTAACGCCCCAAGGAATCCAGATGTTCCAGGTGGGTGAGGGCCACCTGTCTGTGCCTCCAGATGTTCAAGTGGCCCTGCATCTCGCTCTCCGATAGCTGTGTGCTTATTACGGGCACGGCATAGTCTCCAGAGGTCGGCGGGTGAGGCCTACTGTAGCTCTGCTTGCTTGCTTCTCTCAGGACGCAGAGCTGGGCTCCAACTCTCCCTCCTTGCGCTCTTGGTTGCTGCCTGTCGTCTCCCCCTTGTCCCACCAATGTCTGTCCTTTCCAAGGTGGCTGGACACTCCCCCTCTACCCAGTCCTGCTGCCTCTGCAGGGAGCCAGTGTGCTTTCCCTGCTCCCGCCGGCTGTCAGCATTACTCTTTGCTGTTATGTGAGGTAGATCGCATTACCTAGTGTGTGTGGGTGTGTGTCTCCGATGATTGAAACAACGTCTTCTTTGGGCAGGGAGGGGTTGGATTTAACCAAAATATACCTCCATGGATGTTTTTAACCTAGACTCACAGGTAGAGGATTATTCCACCTATAACAGAGGGTGAACCTTTTAGGAACCAAGTGCTCAAACTGCTATCCAAAACCCACTTATTTATCACCAAGTGCCAACACTGAAACTAAACCTGAATATTGAGATTTTTCTTTCTTTTTTTTTTTTTTTTTGGTACCGGGGATCGAACTCGGGTCCTTGCGCTTTCGAGGCAGGCGGCGGAACCACTGAGCTAAATCCCCAGCCCAATACTGAGATTTTTAGTTTAGAAAAAACTGTTACCCGATGCCCAGCTGCCGGGGTGTCTTGGCTCACATGCCGACAGAGAGGGCTCTGGAGCATGCCGCACACCCGTGCCCCAGGCTCGCCACCCTGCCAATGTTTTCCGACTTGTGAGTAAGCCACTTGTAAGAGAGCAGTTTTCCAGGTGGGTGACCCGTGGTGTAAAATAACGCTGTGTTCGTTGCCAGTGCGTGGACCCCCGCCAGCCCCTGCGAGACCCAGTCGGCCACCCAGTCATGCACCAGTCGGCCCTGAAGCACGCCACGGGGGAAGCGGTGTTTGTGGACGACATGCCTCCCCTGGACCGAGAACTGTCCCTGGCCGTGGTCACCAGCACCAGGGCTCACGCCAAAGTCACGTAAGGGGACAAAGGCGTCCTGGGTGCTGCTGAGAGGTTTTCGGTTTCATACCCAAACTGAAGCTGTTCCATAGCGGGCGCTGTTTAGAAGCTGCCTCTCTGTGCTGTATCCGTGCTCGTGTGCGTTTGCGCATGTGCTTGCAGTGTAGCGCACACACAGTTCCTCTTCGGGTCACGGGGGAAGCATAGTTACCAAGGCGTCGAGGCCCAGAGCGCCCCCTGGTGAACACTAACGCTCTTCCGCTCTTCCACTCTTCGGCATGGCCCTGGCCCGCTGGGTTCTGACGCCCACTCCAGTTTGTCCCTCGCGGGAACCTCTCAGATTGCCCCTGAGCTCACCCTCCGCTGTCACCTCTGGGTCTGTGTTCCCGCCTAGATCCATTGACACCGCAGAAGCCCTGGCGCTCCCAGGAGTGGTCGCGGTGATAACAGCAGAGGACGTTCCCGGGAAGAACAACCACCAGGGAGAGATTTTCTACGCACAGAGTGAGGTGCGCGGCTCGCCCGCCCGTGGCTTGTTAGCCACACTGCTGGGGGCGGAGTAAGCGCTGCGCAGCTCTAGCACCACAGCGCCATGTCCGCTTCAGAGTCTCGCTGGGATGCCAGGCCCCACCCTGTGATCCTCCACACCGCTCCCGAGTCACGGGTCCATCTGAGGTCGGGCGAAGCCCAAAGTCCTGCTGAGGAGGGCTCTAGACCGTGGGGCACACGGGACCCCGAAGGAAGGCGGATCCGTGTGGACTCTCCCCGTGTGCTGCTGCGCGAGGAGCGTGCAGCAGACGAGGGAGGTCGTCACGCTGGGCCACCAAGCTCCACACGCAGTCCTCCTGCCCCCATCCTCTCGGGCCTGTTTCAAATCCACTTTTGTAGGCAGAAAATTGACTTCCTTTCGGCCTCAGAGCCCAGTGCTGAACGTGGGGTGTGGGAGTGGTTCCGCGCTGACGCCCCTGCATCCGCCCTGAACAGGTGATCTGCGTGGGTCAGATCGTGTGCACCGTGGCCGCCGACACCTACGCGCACGCCAGGGAGGCAGCTAAGAGAGTGCAGATCGAGTACGAGGACATAGAGCCCAGGATCGTCACAGTCGAGGTGGTTGGGGCCTGGCAGCCGGGGATGGGGTGGGGCCGGGCACAGCGCGGGTGAGCACCGGTGTTTGCACGCTCAGAAGAAAGCAAAGGCTCCGGCAGTCTGCACCCCAGACAGAGCGCTTCCCGGGGCCTGTGGAAAGGCAGCCTCAGCCTCCCGCCAAGGCCCAGTACAGAGCAGCGGCCTCACGGCGCTCCCTGCCGCCCTCCAAGCTCCGAGGCAGACGGGCACTCACAGTCCCACTCTGCGCTCTAACCGAAGGCTTCGAGAGTTACAGAAACGCCTCCCGCCTCCGTTTCCACATCTGTAAAGTAGGAACACGAGGAATCCACACCAAAGGGTCATTGTGAGGTCCAAGTGGGAGAATCCAAGCACAGTGCCTGGGCCTGCACGGGGCACAGGCGTGCGTCAGGTGAACACTGGGTGCCGCGCTGTCGCCAGGGCTGCTCAGGGCGAGGCTGTGCTGCCGGGTCCGTGTTGCAGGCTCCGTGCACAGTACCTGTGCTGAGGCGGACGGACAGCAGGGAGACGGACAGGCGGATGGATGAGGAGGAGGCCCCCTCTGTCCCCTTCGGCTCCCCTGTCTGCCCACAGCTCGTCCCTCCAGATTTCCTCTCCACGTGATCTTTTTCCCTCCTCGCTCGTCCGGCCCAGTCCTCAGTGCCCCCCAAAGGCTGTCGTCTCCCACCACACGCTCTTGGGCCTCGAGGTGGTCGCTGTCCTCCTGCCCCGCAGTGTCCCCAGCCCAGGTCCTCGCCAGGGTCCTCCTCAGCCCAGCTTCTGTCCACCTCCCCGGGCCCATCCTCTGCTCTTCCTGGTAGAAATCCTCCCGCCCAGCCAGGCGCCCGTCCTCGGGTTGGCTGCCCCCTTGTTTTCCACCCCAAGCTGTTGCTCTGTGGTGTCCCTGACTGCAGGCGGCTCAGAGTCCCCTTCCAGAAGCCAACGAGAGGCCATGCTGAGCATCCCAGGCCGTGGCCTCCTCCTTCTTGCCTTCCCTTTATCTTGTCCCCTCGCCCCAGAGGTGGCACCTCATTACCTCACAGCCCGGACAGCCACTCAGCGTCACAGGCAGGGCCGGGCTATTCACCCCCGCGTCCCCTCAGCCCTGAGCAGAATGAGCTGCCAACCCCGGCCCCACTGAAACCAGTGTCCAAGCTCTTCACCCACCGGGCTCCCATTGTCCAGTGTGTGGAGATTCGATAGCAGGCCCTTAGCTTCCTATGGAGACAAATGTCTTCTTAGAATGCAAAAAAAAACAGGCTTATTTTGTTTTGGTTTGTTTGTTTTTCCCTGCAGCAAGCCCTAGAGCACAATTCGTTTCTTTCTCCTGAGAGGAAAATCGAGCAAGGAAATGTGGAGTGGGCCTTTAAACACGTGGACCAAATCATTGAAGGTGAGCACAGCACCTGGGCCAGAGAGGAAAAGTTACAGAGTCGAAGGCTCATTCCAGCCCTCTGCTGGGTACAGTGAAACCTAGGGAGGGTTCCAGTAGCCTGGGGGTTGTTAAAGAACAGCTGAGAAGCATGATGCTGCTGGGTGCATTTCTGTAGCTGAGGAGCCCGTGTGGTGCCACCCACAGCAAGAGAGAACATCTGCCCAACACACAGCTCTTCCCTCAGCCGCCTGTACCCTCAAAGTGCAGTGGACCCTCAAGTCACGACCAGCCTGACATGCGAACAATTTGGGTTACAACCAGAATTTTAGTTTCAACTTATGAACAAAGTCTTGAGTTATGACCCGAATGCCGGCCGCTTGTGGTTCCAGATGGTCTCAGATACAGATTTAACCCTTAAGAGAGTTCTAAGGAACAGTACAGCATTCTCTCCTGTGTGGGGTTCACTGAGAAATCCTGGGCCAGTGTCTCTCTAAGGACACTGAGATCTGCCTGTGCACAGGAGAGAGACTTTGAAGGCTGTGTAGAGGAGCCTGAGCCTTCATTGACCAACTTGAATTATAACCATCCCTCAGGAACGAATTGAGTTTGTAGGTCAAGGGTCCAATGTATTATCTGAGCTACTGCTACAGGTTAATGTCACCTAACTTCAGCCACTGTGGGTTTGTCTCACCAGCTTTGAACTTCCTATTAAAATGAATCTTACAGGGCCGGGGATTTAGCTTAGTGGTTCCATTGCCTGCCTTGCAAGCACAAGGTCCTGAGTTCGATCCCCGAGACCAAAAAAAAAATCTTACAGGGCCAGGGATTTAGTTCAGTGGTGCCGCGCCTGCCTCACACGGTCCTGAGTTCCATAAATAAATAAATAAATCTTACAGTGTAGCCCTTCTGTGCCTGTCACTTAACACTATGTGTGGAAGGCTTGTCCACACTGTCTCCTAGACCCACACCCCTCTCCATTGTCCAGTGGTACCCACTGCACACAAATTCTATAGTTTACTTCTCCTTTCTGCTAACGGGATGTTTCGGTTGTTGCCGGTTTGGTACTTTTCTGCATAGTTTCTGTACACACCATGATGCTTGTCCTTAAGTGAACATAGCACTTCTTTCTAATGAAATACACCCAAGAGTGAATTGCTAAATAATAGCATATTTATATGCTTAGCTTGAGTAGTTTACACCAAATATTTTTAGTATATGTGCTGCCGAACCAAGCACTACACCAAATATTTTTAAATAACAATAAAGTTTGTATGAATGTACTCCTGTTAGCAGTTAAGGGAGTTCCATTGATATTGCTACCCTTTTAGTTTTATCTAATCTGATAGGTATTATCTTTTTTTCCCTCCCAGTAGGGGGGGATCAAACTCAGTACCTTGTTCTTTTGAGGCAGGGATGGTGCCATTGAGCTAAATCCCTGGCCCTTGATAGGTGTTGTCTTAGTTACTTTCTTGGGACTGAGTCACAATTCCCAACATCCATGACTATAAGGAGAAAAGGGTAATTTTGGCTCACAGTTTTGAAGAGGTTCCGGTCCATAATTGGCTGACTCCAAGGCAGGCCAGCGTGGTAGAGAGCAAACAGTCCATGGCATTGCAGGCAGGAAGCAGGGAGAGATCAAGGAGGAAGAGGGAGATAGACCCTTCCAGGGCATGCCACAGTGACCACCTCCTCCAACCAGGCTTCACTTTATATCACACTTAGATACAAACTCTAGTGGATTAGTCCACTAATGAGTATCACACCCATGATCCAGTCACCTCCCTAAGCCCTCACCAAGTAGTGGATGAGGTTTTGGGAGGACTCTAGGTGCAAACTAAAAAACATGTGTATTGAAGCCTTGTTGAGTTTTAATTGGATTTTTTTAACTAGATGACTGATGATGGGAAACAATTTTGATTTTTATTCTCGCCTAAAAGGCAGCAGATTGATGCAGTGTCATTTGGGATCTTTGCCATTGGGATGATGGCAATTGTGAGAGTTCAGATTGTTGGCACAACAGGAAGTTTAAATCATGCAAGCAGTTGGGCAGGAATGACTAAGAGTCTCAGGGCATCCAGCATGGAGAAGGGGTACAGTGTGGTGGTTAAAAGTGTGATCTTGGGGCCAGGGATTTAGCTCAGTGGTTTTGTCACCTGTTGCGCAAGCACAAGGACCCAAGTTCAATCCCCGCTACCAAAAACAAAACAAAAGTGTGATCTTGAGGTCAGGTTGCCCAGGTCTGAATTGCAGCGTGCCACTGAGCTTCCATGACCTTGGGCAGCTGACATAACCTTCCCCTGTCTCAGCCCCCACCCTGGCATGACATAGGTGACAGGACATGGCTCATCACATTGGTGTAAAGATTAAATTGTCTGTAGAGTGCTAAGCTTTAGAAAATTATAGAAAATTAAGTAGTGTATTGTAAGGACTATATAATTGTTAAATAAATAAATGTGGGCTTAAAAATATGCCACTGTAGCGTAAGTATTATTTTGACCTGAAGCCAACTGAGAAATAGCAGGCACAAAGAAAGCTACCTTTCCCCTCTTTACCTAAAAGGAAGTGGGGTATGGGGGTGCTCGCTTGTAATCCCAGAACTCTGGGAGGCTGAGGCAGCCCGACTGCAAGTTTGAACTTAGCCTGGACAACTTAGTGACCTACCAAGACTCTGTCTCAAAAAATAAAAAAGGGTTGAGAATACAGCGGAATGAAAGGCCCTGGATTCAGTCCCTAGTACCACAAGATACATAGATTAACAGATAAGTTAGATGATAGAGAGAGAGATGAGAGATAGATAGAGGATAGAGGTGTCTCCCTGTGAAGGTGCCCTCCATACCTGGAGGCACAGAACAGGAGACAGCTCCAGGCCCCCCCAGTCAGAGACAGCGCTGAGAGGAATCTGTGTCACAAACCTTCCTAAACTAAACCACATCCTCTTTTAGTTTCCTCCATACATCTATCTTTCCACCTTTAACTAGAAGCTCAAAACTCTTCATTTATTTATCACTGCTCCAAAAACATGTTGCCTCGGGCTGGGGATTTAGCTCAGTAGCACCGCGCCTGCCTTGCAAGCATAAGGACCTGAGTTCAATCCCTGGTACCAAAAAAACAAAAACAAATTCAAAACTATATTGCCTCTTGTTAAAAAAGCATACAGATTTTCAGGCCTTAGGTTTTTCTTTTCATTCCTGGGACCAACCCCCTATATGTATATGAAATAAAACTTTTCTCTTATTTAAAAAAATTTTAAGCAAAAAAATTAATTTGCTTTTAGGCTGGGTATGTAGCACATTCATGTAATCCCAGCTACTCAGGAGGCTGAGGCAGGATGATTGTAAGTTTGAACCCAGACTGGACCACTTAGTGAGACTTTGTCTCAGAATAAAAAAGTAAAAGGGGCTGGGGACACAGCTCAGTACAAGGCCCTGGGTTCATGCTCCAGTACTGAAAATTGATTGACTCGAGTTTAGAGTAAATTAAGCATATATTTCCAGTGGGGGTGTTGGCATGACTCATTTCCTATTATCCTAAGAAACAATTCTAAGATCCTTTGACTTTGGCAAGGCAATTCACTTATTTGAACAGGTCCCTCAGGTAACTATAAAGCAAAAATACCCTAAAGTAGCGCCCGGTGCCCCTTGAGTGCAGCCTGTTCGTGGTAGGGAGTGCGGAGCAAGCCCAGCCCCGGGCCTGAGAGCACAGGGCTCACCTCTTGTCTCACACTGAAGGACTTGGTCAGGACCCTGGCTGTGGCCACCAAGCCAGGAGGAGGCTGGGCTGGGCTCGGGGTCCCACACCTCACGACCTGGGCAAGGAAACCGGGCTGGCAGGGCGAATCGTAGCCCGGGTCACCAGGCCGGCCAGGCACATGCAGGTCAGAAGTGTCTGGCTTGGGGCTGTAAAGCCCAGAGCTCACTCTGCAAACAAAGCCCCTGCGGGCCGTGGGCAGCGTGGCTGAGTCCTCTTGTGCTGCCAGGCGAGGTACACGTGGAGGGCCAGGAGCACTTCTACATGGAGACGCAGAGCATCCTGGCCATCCCGGGGGACGAGGACAAGGAAATGGTGTTGCACCTGGGCACCCAGTTTCCCACCCACGTGCAGGTAACAAGTGCCGGGGACAGGGTAGGGCACGACCCTCACAGTAACCGGGGAACAAGGTCGCGGCCTCTAGAGCAGGGCGCCAGGCCCACTTACCCACAACAAACACTGCACCTGTGGCTCGCCTCAGGACCCGCACGCGCACACATGGCCTGGGCAGCTGCGCTGAGTCTCCCCATGCGACCTGGGGGCCGCACTCTGCCTTCCCAGAGTGGCAGGGCCTGGGCTCCATCCCACCACCGCCCAGAGCCTGAGCAGCAGCTCCCTGAAGAATGGAGTCTGCCATCCTCCAAAGAGCATGTAAGGGTGGCGAGCTCACCGTCACTCGCAACCGTGGAAATGCAAATCAGAGTGAGGAGATGCTGCTTCACACCCTGCAGAGCAGCCAGAATCCCAAGGACAGGCTACAGCCGTGGTGGTAGAGACAGTGAAGCTGGGCCCTTTGGGCACGGCTGATGGGTGGGGAACGTGGCACCCCGGGGAAAGCAGGGGTAGCTCCTCAGGCTGGTATGGAGAGTGACCTCAACTCAGCAGCTCCTCCGCTGAGTCTCTGCCAAGAAAAAGGAAGACGCAGCCACAGGAAGACCTCTACCGTGTCCACAACAGCTTCACTCAGAACAGCCGCAGGGGAGACAGCCCCATGTGCACGGACCGGAGAGCAGACGGGCGAGAGCTGGTACAGCCGTGCAGGGAGTGTTCCCTGGCCCTGAACAGCAGTGTACACGCCACAGCAGGGGTTACCTGCAGGCATCACCTGTGAAAAGAGCCAGTCACCAGAGACCACCTGTTGTATAATTCCTTTTCCTGAGACATCCAGAACGGGCAAATTGCAGAGATAGGAAGTAGATCTGAGCCCAGGGCTGGGAGGGTACAGGACAGGAGGGGCTGCCTGAGGGATGCAAGGTCTCTCACGGGATGTTCCAAGACCAGATCATGGAGATATGTGCACAGCTGTGTAACAGCAGAATGCGTCCCTCGATGGGTCCCTTCCCTGTGTGGACGGGAGGTACCTGGGGCAGCACAGCTGCCAGCCTGCACTCAGCGCCCGGGGCCTCCCTCTTGCAGGAGTTCGTGGCCGCAGCTCTAAATGTCCCGAGGAGCAGAATCGCCTGCCACATGCGGAGAGCTGGAGGAGCATTTGGGGGCAAGGTGACCAAGCCGGCCCTGCTGGCCGCCGTCGCTGCTGTGGCCGCCCACAAGTACGAATCGTGGTCCCACAGCCCAGGCAGCAGCTGCGCCGGCCCATGGGCCTTGTCATCACCAACCTGGGGCCCTGCCCACCTGGCTGTGCCTGCTCTGGCCTGGCCACACACAGGCCCCCGAGGATGAGCATCACTGGCCTGGGCAGGGTTATGGGTCATTCTAACCGGGAAGCCTCATGAGCAGCAGGCGTGCAGGCTGGCACGATAAATGGGAAACCTCAACTTTGGGGCAGACTTGACCGAAGCGGAGTGCAAGCGCAGGACCCAGGCTGGGCTCAAGCTTTCTGCCCCACATCTCCTGGGGGCAGTGTTTGACCGTCCCCTTTATTACCAAAGTGAATTCATAAGAGAATTCTACACCTCATTGCAAAATGATCATGCAACTAACTCTGCAATGCAGTATGAAAAAGGAATAAGGGGAAATCATTCGTAACCAAACAATGCAACCATGCAACACGGGAAATTCAAGCTTGACTGGGCAGAAAATGCATTTGTTAACTTTAGCGCCCCTACAGCTTCAGGTGTCCTGTGAGGTTTGTTACGGCCCCACCCCGGGGAGAACCACTCAGGGAAGACCTTCCGCCCCTTCCCCACCCAGGTCTCAGAGAGGTGGTACCTTCCGCTCATGAGCACCTTTCCCGCAGGACTGGCCACCCAATCCGGTTCGTGCTGGAGCGGGGCGATGACATGCTGATCACGGCCGGCCGCCATCCACTCCTCGGAAGATACAAGGTGAGACCCAGAGCCCAGCGGATGCTGGGCATTGTCCTGCATTGACCGGCCCGCAGCGAAGACAGTTGCTGGGTTCCACGCTCTCCAAAGGGACAGCTGGGTGCTGCCTAAAACTCACTTTCTACCTGGGCCATCCATAACGTTCCTGCAGGGACCAGCAGTCGGCCACAGGCGTGTGAGCCAGCGTGTTGTGCCTCAGGGTGGGCTGTGAAGGAAACCTGCTCCCCACTCTCCCTTGCAGATCGGCTTCATGAAGAGTGGGCTGATCAAGGCTGCGGACGTGCAGTTCTACATCAATGGTGGCTGCACCCCGGATGAATCCCAGCTGGTGAGCAGAAAGCTCCCTCCCACTGCTGCCCTGGGGTGGAGTCCGTGCCAGGCTCTACTCGCTTGGGAGCCTCCTTACAGATCCGACAGTGGTTTTAGGGGTTTGAGTTAAAAATACAGTTCAGTTCATGTCTTTGAGTTGGACAGATGTGAAGCTGTACTGCTTTGCTTCGTGCAGGTGCTGGAGTTCATCGTGCTGAAATCGGAAAACGCATATTACATCCCCAACTTCCGGTGCCGGGGCAGGGCCTGCAAAACAAACCTCCCGTCCAACACTGCCTTCCGGGGCTTCGGCTTCCCCCAGGCCACCGTGGTGGTGGAGGCCTACATGGCCTCGGTGGCAGCTCACTGTGGCCTGCTCCCTGAAGAGGTGAACACTCAGGGCCCTGCGGCGCCAGCCCAAGTGTGCCTTGAGCCCAGTGTGGGTTCAGAGAAGGCACTGCTCCCGGGTCTGCTGCCCTAGGCGGCTGCAGGAAGCCAGCGACGCCCAGGAGGCTAAAACAGTGATGTTGCATTCCTCACTTCTTTGTGGGTTAGCGGCTCTGCCTCTGGAGCTCTTTGGTCCCGGCTGGTCGGGCTGCTGTGTCCCATGGTCCCTCAGTGGGAAAGCTTGAGGTCTGAGCCCTCAGCCCCAAGGCAGGAGGACTCCCGAGGTCCGGTCCCGAGCACAGCAAGAAGGTGGCAAGGTCTGAGGCACCAGGCTGACCCCAGAGCCCGGTGACAGCACCCAGGACCAAGATGCAGGGGACTGGTGATTAGCAGTGTGAAATGCTGGACCCTAACTCAAGACGTTGAAGGGCTTGGCGTGAGGCTGCACTGTGTGAGGCAAGGGGATTCTGGCCAGGAGCACTTGGTCTCACCACAACCCTGAGATGGGTACCTGCTGGCTGGGTCTCAGGGTGCCCCACACAGCTTGAGAGAAACCCTGGGCCTACAGCCGGAAGCACGCGGAGCAGTGGTAGCGGTTTCCATTGCTGTTCTTATTTTCGGTTGTTTTGCACACACACTCTGCACCTATATCACTGTGGCTGCTAGACAGCTGCTTTCTGTTTAGAAAGACCCCCTGCATCAGGCCTGCTTCACGATGGAACGGATCCATCCTGAGACCCGTGTGGGTTCTCGTCTTTCAGGTGAGAGAAATAAACATGTACAAGAGGACGAGTCAGACAGCCTACAAGCAGACATTCAACCCTGAGCCCCTGCGCCGGTGCTGGGTGGAGTGTCTGGAGCAGTCCTCTTTCCACGCCCGGAAACAGGCTGCTGAGGACTTCAACGGGTGCAGCTACTGGAAGAAGAGAGGGCTCGCTGCGGTCCCCATGAAGTTCACCATCGGCATCCCCATAGCCTACTACCATCAGGTGAGTGGGGTGCATTGCCCCAAAGCCCCTCTCCAAGGCCTGGGGTGTTGCCTGCGGGCACAAACTGGGCTTAGGGAAGGCTCAAGGGCCGCTGGTGTCAGACAGGCCCAGGGGGATGCAGACTGAGGGCGGAGGGCATCACCAGCGAGGCCCAGCTCAGGGGAGCAAACACGGGCATCTGGGTTTGTGTCTAAAGTCCAAGTCCATGAGAGACCACGGCAGGGGAACAAGAGGACCCTTCCTCCAGTGGTCCCGTCCCTGGCGCAGAGCTTTCCAAACCTGAGGCCGGACAGAGCACCCACATCACAGAGAAATGTGGCCCGTGGAGGCACGGTGACCACTGAGGCTCCTCACAACGTCATAGGACCAGCTCTCAAGGGCCCAGTGAACCTCTGGGACGTCCCCTACCCGAACTCATGCCTCGGGCCAGGGAGGAGCACAGCCCCCATGTGAGAGTAGGCCCCTGGGGCAGAGGGTGGTGCCAAGCAGGGTCCCCAGGAGCCGACTCCCGAGGACAGAGTCTGTGGACGTCAGTCAGTGGCGTTATTTACTGTTTGTTATTTAACCGAACAAAGCAAAGCTGCTTACAGTGTGTGTGCCTTTGCGAATTAAGTGAACATAATCAATACTACACCCAGCAGTCATTCAAACAGTAACGCTGAGTGGCATGGTGGAGGGCAGCACCCAAGGGTCACATCCTGTGGGCAGTTGGTGTGGGACAGGACGCAGCTCTGTTCTTCCTTCCTTTCCCTGCCCAGCCTCCCTCCTTCCATTTCTTGGGTCCCTTCCCTTTTCCAAAAAGATCTAGGTCCCGTTTCCTATTATCTATCTTTTATGTTGCTCTTTATTTATAATTTGGGTTTCTTATATAAGGGAAACTATGTGATATTCATGACATAAGCTGTGTGTCTGACTTGTTTCACTTAACGTTATGGTCTCAAGGTGCATCCATTTTCCCACACATGGCTCAAGATTATCCTTCTTTATGGCACAGTAGTGCTCCATTGTGTGTAAACACCATATTTTCTTCATCCATTTATCTGTTGATGGACATATAGACTGCTTCTAAGATTTAGTGTTATGAATTGTGCTGCTATAAACATAGATATGCATGGATCAGTGTAGAATGATGTCTTTAACTCTTTCAGGAAAATGCCTAGAAAGGGAACAGCTGTATCGAGTGGAACTTCTAGTTTTAGGTTTTTGAGGAATCTCCATACTGACTTCCATAGTGGTTGTATTAGTTTACTTTCCAACCAACAATGTCCACAGCCTCACAAGCATTTGTTGTTATTTGACTTATTGATGATGGCCATTCCTCCTGGAATAAGATGGAATCTCAGTGTTGCTTTAATTTGCATTTCTCCGATGACCAGAAATGTGGAACATTTTTTCAAATATTTATTGGTCACTTGTACTTCTTTTTCTGAGAAGTGTCTATTCATTTTGGATGCCTGTTTTTTGATTGGATCTTTTATTTTGAAGAGTCCTTTTTAAAATGTATATTCAAATTTTAGTCCTCTATTGCAGGAGTAGCTGGCAAAAAAATTTTCCCCTTCAGTAGGTCATCTCTTCACTCTCTTGGTGGTTTCCTTTGCTGTGCAGAAGTTTTTTGATTTGATTTAATCTCATTTGTTGATTCTTCATATTATTTCTTGTGTAATTGAGGTTCTGTTCAGAAAGTCCTTGCCATGCTTATGTCTTCAGGAGTTTTACCTAATCTTCCAGTAGAGTAAGTGTTCATGCTTTAATATTTAGGTCATTGAGCCATTTTGATCTTAGTTTAATACATTGTGAGAGATATGGGTCTAGCTTCAACCTTCCACATGTGGATAGCTGGTTTTCCTGGCACAGTTTATTGAAGAGGCTGTCTTTCCATCAGCATGTGTTTTTGGCTTCTTTGTCAAAGATCAGATGGCTGAATGTGCATGAGGTAGTTCCTATGTCCTCTGTTCTGTTCCATTGATCCCCATGTCTTTTTCTGTGCCAGTACCATGCTGTTTTTATTACAGTAGCTTTGAATTTAATTTCAAATCTGGGATTGTGATGTCTCCTACTTTGCTCTTGTGGCCCAGGACTGCTTTTGGTATTGTGAGTTGCTTCTGGTTCCATATGAAATTTGGGTTTGTTTTCTCTAGTTCTGTGAGGAATGCTCTTGGTATTTAAATTGGGATTGCATTAAATTTATATAAGCCATTGGAAGTATGGCCATTTTGACAACATTGGTTCTGCCTATTTGGGAACAGGGGATATCTTTCCATTTTCTGATGTCCTTTTTGGGTTTCCTGTTTTAAGAGTACTGTAGTTTTTGTTGTAGAGGTCTTTTGCTTCTTGGATAGGTTAATTTCTAAGCATTTAATTTTTCTTGAAACTATTGTGTGCCAGAACCCACAATATTGATTATGCCCAAAATATGCTGTAAGCAGTGCAGGGTGCAAAGAATTAAATCCATCAATTGGCTTACTTTAAGAAGTGAGTCTGACTAAAGCTATGTGACTCATTAAAGTATCTCATAAACAATGCAGTAGTGTGCAGGTCAATATGACTTCCTTGCTATCAGCCACAGGTGAGGCCAGAGTAATGGCCTATGAAGCTGTGGGGCTGATACAAGTTAACATCCATAGCTGAGGTCAGAGTAATCACACCCAAATTCCATTCCCACAATTAGTGCCTTCATAGCTTGAAGGACAATGCTTTAATTATAACCATATATTTTGTCTATCTTGCTTCTAATTTAAAAATGCTTTTACTTCTCTTTAAAGCCTTGCCTACATTAATTTCTATGGTAATTTCACATACTATACATCTATACATATACCTTTACCCTGATTGATAAATAATAAAATTAAGTGGAAGAGACAGGCCAGTGCCTTTTGCCAAAGAAGCATTGGCCATCCCAGTTCACACTTTATCTTTAATTCTGTCTTAAGCTTTTCTTCAGCCTTGCATCACATATTAGACAGGTGGAGACTAGAGACTTATTGCAGGAGTCTCTGACAATTGTGAATAGTATCTATTTCCTAATTGTTTTAGGAAATAGATACTGGGTGAGATACTTATTGGTATACATGAGCACTGTTGATCTCTGTGTGTTGATTTTGTATCCTGTTACACTACTGAATTTATTTATTAGTATAGAGGTCTCTGCCATGGATTTTTTGAGTCTTCTCTGCAGAGGACCATGTCATCTGGCAATAAGGATAGTCAGACTTCTTCCTTTGCTATCCATATCCCTTTTATTTCTTTCTCTCACCTGATTGTTCTGACCACTAGAGTACTCTATTGAACAGGAGTGGTGGTAGCATTCATCCTTGTCTTGTTCCTGATTTTAGGAGGAGAGCTTTCAGTTTTTCCCATTTAATTTGATGTTGGCAGTAGATTTGTTGTAAATGGCTTTTACCATATAGAGATAAGGTCCTTCTGTACCTGTTTTCTTCAGGGTTTTCATCATGAATAGATGTTGGATTTTGTCAAATGTTTTTTCTGTATCTATTGAGATGATCATGTGATTTTTGTCCTTGCTTCTGTTAATGTGATGTATTACATTTATTGATTTGTGTATGTTGAACCATCCTTGCATTCCTGGGATGAAGTCTACTTAGTCATGATGTATGATCTTTTTAATGCTTTGCTGCATTAAAGATGCTAGCATCTTGTTGAGGATTTTTGCATCTATCTTTATCAAAGAGATTGGCCTGTAGTTTTCTTTTTCAGTTGAGTCCCTGTCTGGTTTTGGAATCAAGGTAATTCTAGCTTCTAGGAATGAGTTTGGCAGTACTCCTTCCCTTTCCATTTCACTGAAGAATTTGAGAAGTATTGGCATCATCATCCTGAAGTTCTTGTAGAACTCAGTAGTGAATCCATCAGTTCCTGGAATTTTCTTAGTCGATAGGCTTTTATTACTGCTGTAATTTCTTTTACTGGATTATTCAGGGGTTTTATGTCTTTTTGGTATAGTTTTGAAAATATATATGTGTGTGTGTGTGTGTATATATATATATATATATATATATATATATATGAATATATCAATTTCTTCTGGATTCTCCAATGTATTGCAGAACAGGTTTTCAAAATAGTTACTAATAACATTCTGGATTTTGACAGTGTTGTGATGTCATTTTTTTTGTTTCTAACTGTATTGATTTGGATTTTTTCTTTCCTTTTTTTGCTAAGATTGTTTAAAGGTTTATCTATTTTATATATTCTTTCAAAGAACTAGCTCTTTGATTCATTGATTTTTTTTTTACTCTCAATTTCATTAATTTCTGCTCTGATCATTATTATTTCCTTCTACTAGCTTTAGATTTGGACTGTTCTTGTTTGTCTAGCATGTTTAGATCCATCATTAGGTTATTTGGGCTCACTCTGTTTTTCTGATGTGGGCATTCAAAGCTATAAAGTTTACTGTTAGGATTGACTGCTGTAATTGGGTCCTGTAAGTTCTGGTATATTACACTGAAATTATCATTTGATCATAGGAACTGTCTAATTGCTTCCTTGTTTTCTCCTGTGACCCCTTGACTATTCAAGAGGGTACTGTTTAATCTCCATGTGTTTGCATAATTTCTATGATTTCTTCTGTCATTGATTTGTAGTTTCATTGCACTCTGATCTGATAATATGCATGGAATAATTTTAATTCTTTTATATTTATGTAAGCACGCTTTATAGGCTAATATGTGATCTATTTTGGAGAAAATTTTATGTACTGCTAAGCAGAACATGTATTCTGTTGTTGGATGGAGCATTCTATGAATATCTATTAAGTCCATCTGTTCTAAGGTGTGGTTCAACTCTGATATTTGTGTTTTATCTGATCTATTTGTGATAGTGAGATATTGCAATTCCTCACTATGATTGTTTTGATGTTTATGTCCAGGAGTGTTTGTTTTACAAAGCTGGGTGTGCCAGTGTTTGGTATGTATATATAATGTATGTATATGTGTGTATATATATATAGTGACCTTCTGTGTTTTTCTGATCAGTTTTGGCTTGAAGTCCACTTTGCCTGAAAACAGAGCAGCTGCTCTTGCTTGTTTGGGGCTTCCATGCTATGGAATGTTGTTTTTCATCCTTTAATTTTTAGTCTATTAATTTCCTTTTGGATTAAATATATTTCATATATACAGAATACTGTTGGGGTTTTTTGTTTGTTTTGGTACTGGGGATCAAACTTGGGACTTTGCGCTTTTGAGGCAGGAGGCTGCACCACTGAGCTAAATCCCCAGCCCTGGGTTTTGTTTTGGTTTTTTTGGACTGGGGATTGAACTTGGGTCCTTGCACTTGCGGGACAGGTGGTGGAACCACTGAGCTAAATCCCCAGCCCTGGGTTTTGTTTTGTTTGTTTGTTTTGTTTTGTTTTGTTTTGTTGGTACCAAGGATCGAACTCGAGTCCTTGTGCTTGCGAGGCAGGCCCTGGAACCACTGAGCTAAATCCCTGGCCCTGGGTTTTGTTTTTTGATCAAGTCATCCAATCTGTCTTTAGTTTGAGGAGTTGAGACCATTCACATTAGGAGTTAGTACTGATAGGCACTAACTCATACCTGTCATTGTATTATTTTTCTGTTGCTTATCCCTTCCCCTTCTGTTTAACTGCTGACCCTACCTAACATATTCATTCCATTATGTTTTTGGCACTGTTGACTTCATTATCTAAATTATCCTTGAGAATTTTTTGGTGGTCATGAATTTCTTAAGGTGCTCTTTGTCATGAAAAGACCATATTTCTCCATCAGTTTTGAAAAACAGTTTTTCAAGATATATTAACATGATTTGGAAGCTGTTTTTTTTTTTAAGAACTCAAAACACTTCACTCCAGGCTCTCTTGGCCTTTAAGGTTTGTGTTGAGAAGTAAGCTGTAATTCTAATGGGTTTATCTTTGAAAGTTATTCCCTTTCTCTAACAGCTTTTAAGATTCTGTTCTCGTGTTGGACTTACAGGATTCTGACTATGATGCATCATGGAGAAGTTTTTTTCTGATCTTGGCTCTTTGCTGTTCTATGCCTTGCTTCTCTGTACATTAAATTCTTTTCCCATATTTGGACAGTTTTCTGCTATTATTTCTGTAACAGGTTTTTTATGTCATATGTGCTGTCTTCTGCTCTTTCACTAATTCTGAGTCATCTTAGACTTATTTGTATCATCTAGCAACTGTTGACCCATTTTCTGCATTTTCATTTTTGTTAAGGTGTCTCTGAGAATACGGACACCTGCACCAGCCCTGTCTTCTAGTTCTGACGCTGTCTTCACATTGGTCCCTTCTGTGCTTTCAACAGAACTTTTTATCCCTGGATTTCTGTTTGGTACCTTTAGTGGTCTCTACTTCTTTGCTAATGTGATCATTCTTGCTTTTCATTGTTTTGTTTAGCTTAGCTAGCTTTTTATCAATGTCTTCCATAACCTCACTGATCATTTTATTGAGCTCATTATCTGTTTAGTTAGATCATGTTTGAGCTTGCCAAGCACCTTATTAATCTGTTTCTTTTTTTTTTCTTTGTCTCCTCTTTTACCACTTCATATAATTCAGTTGTTTAGCTTTTGATTCCCTCCCCATTGACATCCGCTGGGTCAGCTTTGGGAAGCTAGGAGTCTTGGGAGATATTTTGTTGCCTTGTTTTCTCATATTTAGTGTGTGTGTGTGTGTGTGTGTGTGCACGCGTGTGCTGAGGGTTGTGGGTGAGTTATCCTAGAAAGACTGTTGCTGGTATGGAGATCGCTTTAGGTAGTGTCTGCTTTCCAGTGATGCATTCTGGGTGTGGCTAAACATAGGCCTTGGCCTCTGTCTCATTAGTGGAGTCAGGGTCCCAGGGTGGCTGCTGCAGAAGAAGAGTCCCAGCAAATCACAGACCCATGCACCCCAGCCTCCTGTCCTGTGCACATCCAGTGCCCCCTTCCATGAGAAAAACCTGCCCCGGGGAAGGACACGAGGTGGATCCAAAGAGGTGGTGTGGCTCCAGTCAGGAGTTGTGGGTCCCAGGCCTACCTTGCCACCCACGGGGCAGCCGGATCTGGCCAAGTCTCTAGGCTTCTCTTTCCCAGTGTACTCGAGAACAATCTGGACCAGGTCAGTGGGTCCCAAACCAGCCAGTCATCAAGGTCAGCTGGGAGCTGAAAACACAAGCACCCAGGCTCACCTGTGTCAGACGCTGAACTGGAACTTCCAGGCTGGGCCCCGCCCCACCCTTCTGCACCATGACCTGAAAGACAGGGTCTAGATACATTAGAGACCTCAGGTTCTCCTGGTTCCTCTAACAACCAGGAGAAGTGTGCTGGAAACAGACTCATGCGGGTTCCTTTGGCTTTAAATTCATTTCCACATCCAGGAGGGAAGAGCAAGAGCTATACGGGTGGAAGCTTTGGGAAGTCGGCTCCTGGCAACCACCAGGCCTGGTACATACACAGCAGGCCAGGGGAGGAGACAGCACTTTCACCTCCATGGCTGTCAGGCTGGGGGTTTCTGTTGGTAGCCACCAATAATGGCTTTCTTCTGAGTAGAAAAAAGAGAGGTTGGGTCAATGAAAAACTGTCTGCCCAGCACCCTGAGCTGACCTCACAGCAATGCTCAGCCGCAGCCCATCCCAGACTGTCTTGGGGTTGCTTCCTCCAGGCAGCGGCTCTGGTCCACATCTACCTGGATGGCTCAGTCTTGCTGACTCACAGCGGCTGTGAACTTGGACAAGGCCTGCACACCAAAATGATCCAGGTGAGATGGGCCTGCCACGTGCTCCGCTGAGGAGGAGCACACAAGCCCTTCCTTTCTTGATCGGGAGAAACCGAATCTCACTAAATGCACAACTCAACTGAAAGGCTCATCCTGGATCCAGGGGCGCAGACATCCCAGGGAGGGCAAGAAACGTGGGGATCAGAGCTGAGGAAAGACACTGCTCCCCTGCACAAGAAGGAGCCCAGTACGCAGGTCTGCTCAAAAACACAGCTCAAGTTCTCAAAGATACAATGCTGCACAACTTTGTGACAATTGCTCAGAGCAATAATGTGTCCATCCAGATTCTCAAGGAGACACAAATGTGTTTAATCAGATGCAAAATTGTGCTCTCAGGTTCACCATCTACTCAGGATTGCACTTCACAGAATGGCCGTCACGTGTGCTGATTCCAAGAAGTGTGTACTGTTGACAAACAAGGAGTTAGTACAGTAGGAACATTTCCCTTCTTTCAATGTGAAATAAGAATTTTTTGAATAAGACATTTGAATCAAAAGCATATACGTGAGCTGGGGATTTAGCTGAGTGGTTCCATCGCTTGCCTTGCAAGCGCAAGGACCAGAGTTCAATCCCCAGTACCAAAAACAAAAGCATATACGTGAAACAAAGCCTCTCTCTCGATGAGAAATAGAAGATTCTTTATGGAAGGAATATTATTTAATAGCAGAGTTCTTGGAATTAGGAAATCACAAAACTCGACAGGGCCTTTTTGAACATACTGTGACTTTACACCCAAACCCAGTGAGGGGAAAATACCTGTTAAGTCACGCAGGCCTACTGTCTGGGGTCGCACGGCACCTAGCTGCCCATGGCATCCCTGGCAGTGCAGAGTAGGTGACCGCATGCCCCAGAAAAGAAGTGTCTTTCGTGGTGCCGTCTGAACCCAGCCTCAATCTTTGTCAGAGGCAGGACAGCTGAGCTTCATAATCAGTTCCAGCGAGAACACAAAGATTTTCACTCAGAAAGGGCCTCGAGGCTGATGAAACTGGCACGTTTCCCCCGACAGGTGGCCAGCCGGGAGCTGGGCATCCCCACATCCTACATCCACCTCTCGGAAACCAGCACCGTGACGGTGCCCAACGCTGTCCTCACTGCAGGCTCCATGGGCACAGATGTCAATGGGAAGGCCGTGCAGGTGACTTCTCCCGTTCACTTCCTCTCTCAGGAAGACATCCTCTCGCATCCTTCACACCAGAGCAGCACAGGGTGGTGCCAGCTTGGCCCACGGCGAGCCTGGGCCGGCACCAACCTCCCCGAGAATCTGTCCCTCTTCTGCAGAGCCAGGGGCACAAGCCCCACAACCTCACAGGACAGTTAGGGTCAGCAAAAACTCTACCTCCAGCACCAGCATCCCATCCCCAAGGCCTGATGCCGCCTCCCTCCCCAGAGCTTTCCCGCCAAAGTCCAAGGAGAGTGGCTGGGACACAGGCAGTGAGCTTGTGTTTGCCGGCATCCCTGCGACCCAGCTCCTTCCTGTGGACACCATGTGAGCATCTCAGAGACGCCTCTGAGCAGGCCAGGGCTCTGCCCAGCCTGTCCCTCTCCCCTTACTCCTGGAGGCCGAGAGTTAATGCTTATAGTGTCTGTGTGGAGGCAGGAAAATACTGGAATAAGTGCTGATGGTGCATGGTGCCGCACACCTGTAATCCCAGCAAGTCCAGAGGCTGAGGCAGGAGGACTGTAAGTCTAAGGCCAGCCTGAGAAACTTAGGGAGATTTTCTCTCAAAATGAAAAATAAACAGAGCTGGGGATGAGCTCTGTGGTGCAGCAGCCCAGGTTCAACCCCCAGTACAGGGGGAAAGCCCTCCTGTTCCGTGTGCCTTTCACTTCTGATGTCATTTATTTCTAGAATGCCTGCCAAACCCTCATGGGCCGTCTTCAGCCCGTCATCAGGAGAAACCCTCGAGGGACCTGGGAGGAGTGGGTAAGTGGCCAAAGGCTTCCAGAACTCTGGGGAAGCATTTCCACTTTCCCAAGGCAGAGGCAGTGTCTGTGTGGATGGAGGCTGTACAGAGCAAGTCCCAGGGACCAGCCGGCCTCGGCTTCTCACCTGCCCCGGCAGACACAGCCCGGACCAAAGGGCCACGCTGTTTCTCCAGCCAATGCTGCAGGCACCGTCGTGTTGTTGTTGTTGCCCTGCCTACTCCCGCATCTCGCAGGGTGGAAACAGGCAATCAAATCTGTGCGACGCGCAGGTGGAAAGACACAGCACCCTCCTATGCTTGGACTTTTCCTCATCTTCCCTCTGACTAGTACCGCGGGCAGTATGTGCTGACAGTGTTCACCCTGGGACCTGCCTGTGTCCGCCCCATGTGCACACCGAGTACACACGTGTGTAAATAAGCCCCCTCCCCGTTTAACAGATGAGATGTGAAAAGCAGCCATTTCACACAGCACCACCTGCAGACAGAGCCTGGCACGGCTGGCAGCTGCCACAGGCCCTCGGCCCCCACGGGAGACTCACAGGAGGCCATGCAGCTGCCAACTGACATGGACCAAAGGCCAGCGTGGCCGGAAGCCATTTTCCCACCTTCCCAGAACTCCTGCTTCCTCTAACCAGTCATCTCTTTCAGATCAAAAAGGCCTTCGAGGAATCCATCAGCCTCTCGGCCACCGGATATTTCAGGTGAAGGGTGCTGGCTGGGGCTTCCTCACCTGGGCAGGGAGGGTGCAGGCAGGATCCTCATCCAAAGGTCTCGGGCTGGCAAAGAGAGGGGGCCCGGCCATGCGGGGGACTTGCTGCCTGCACACCCCCAGCCCTGCGGCCGTGACTACGACCGGGTGCTACTGCAGCCCGGGCCCCAGCGCCTGCCTTGGCCACGGATCCTCCCATGGGGACACTGCCAGCCCTCGCCTTGCCACCCCCCACCCACCAGCCCAGGCCACACCAGGCGACGCCTGCCTGACCCTGGGTCCTCTGCAGAGGCTACCAGACCAACATGGACTGGGACAGGGAGCAGGGCGACGCCTTCCCCTACTACGTGTACGGAGCAGCCTGCACCGAGGTCGAGGTCGACTGCCTCTCCGGGGCCCACAAGGTGCAGCCACACGTGGGCCCTCGCCACAAACCCACAGCCCAGAGAACCTGGGCAGGCACAGCCCGGCGGTCAGTCTCAGCATGTGACGCTGTCCTCTCTCCACGCAGCTCCTGAGGACTGACATCTTCATGGATGCCGCCTTCAGCATCAACCCCGCCGTAGACATCGGGCAGGTGGGTGACTCCAGGACTTTCCCTCCCTGGGGCCATGGTCAGCGCCACCAGGCAGCTGGGGGCTCAGAGGCCAGCACCCTGCATGTTCACACTGTTGCCTGTTACACACGCATGCACACATGTGCATGCACACACTCCTGGACAGATGCAGAAAGGTCAGGGGAAAGTTAACAACAGGCGTCTGCATGGCGGGAACAGTGATCTATTCTGCCTTATCATTCATTCTCTGCTTCCTAATTTCCCTTCAGTGGACACTGTGTTCGCATTTAGAACAGTACACAGATGCACAGGGACAGTTACACTGATGCTTGTATTAACATTGAATTTAAACAGACTTCACGATTTAGAGGCATATCAGAGAACAAGAAATGCTTAAACACAACTTTCCCCTTTCACTGAATTTAATTCTGATTATTACATCATAAATAAAATTAACTCCCCGAGAGTTTTCAAATTTAGAGTTTGTCCCACTCATGGGGCAGTGCTGCCTTGTTTCTCAGCACAGGACCTGATCCGCCCCCCACCTGCTGGCCGGGAGCCCCTGCAGTGCGCTTGGGAATGCAAGTCCCCAGGCCCAACTCAGGCCCTGCTGGCTGGGACTTGGAATCTGCCCCAAGTGGGTCCTAAATCTGTACAGCTGATGGCTGCAGTGGCCCATGCTCTGCCTCCTCCCAGCTGACCCTGCCTCTGCCTTGCTGATGCAGAGGAACAAGGCCTGGGCACTCTGACCAGGAAACCCTCCACCTGAAAACTCCACTAGAAAAGGAAGGAAAACTGGTGATGTTAGACGAATCCTGGCCTGTGATCCTTTCCTTTAGGGACAAGCCCTGTCATCTTCTGATTTAGCATTTAACTTTGCTTACCTTATTTTAAAACTTGAAGTTGCAACAAAACACAAGCTGTGACTCTCCTTCAACATTTATAACGTCCAGGCAGACACCCTTTAAAGGGGGCCTTCTCCTAGAGCATAATACAGTAGTCTGGAAATCAGCTGGGCGGTGGCCATGCCTGTAACTGCAAAATGTCTGGCTGCAGATCGAGGGGGCCTTTGTCCAGGGAATGGGACTGTACACCACGGAAGAACTGAAATACTCCCCAGAAGGCATGCTGCATTCTCGGGGCACAAATGACTACAAAATCCCCACCGTCTCCGAGATACCAGAAGAGTTCCACGTCACCCTAGTGCACTCCCGAAACCCCATAGCCATCTACTCCTCCAAGGTAAGCCTGGGCATCAGTGTTGGCCGGCCAGGGCTGTGTCTCAGTCACTTCCCTTGCTGCCGGGACAAAACGCCTGCAGCTCTGAAGGAGAGGTTTGTCTGGACTCACATGTTAGAAGGTTCAGTCCTTGCAAAGTCAGCAGGCTCCAGGGAAGTGGCCTGGGGAAAGGTCTGGCAGAGGAGAGCTGCTGGCCTCTTGGTGGCAGGAAGTAGGGTGTGAGGGAGGAGCCTGGAGGGAGACCAACACATCTGGGCCACGCCCAGCAACCTCCAACCAGGCCTCACCTCCTGCAGCAAGCCAGTTACACGCCCCAGTCCTCATCTTCCAAACACTGAGGCTCTGGGGTGCCTGAGCTGGCAGGCAAAGCCCATCCACCCAGAGCGCCTCCTCCTCTCCACCCCATCAGCAGGCTCCAGCCTGGCCCTCCCCAACCTCTGCTCTGAGGTGGGACCAGCTGGAGGGGCCTGCAGCTCAGGCCAGGAAAGACTGAGGGGTAGCAAGGTTTGGGGGACCCGCCACAGTCCACTTGGGGGTGACGGGGCGGGAAGAGGCCAGTGAGTGTGCGTCTGTGTGTGCCTGTGAGAATGCGGATGTGTATGTGGGTGTGTGCATCTGTGTCTGTCTGAGAGCATTGTGTGAATGCATGTTCTATGTGAGTGTCTGAGTGTGTGGTAAATGAGTGTGTATGTGAGTGTATGGGTGTATGTAATGTGTGTGTGAGAACATGTGTGAATGGATGCCTGTGTATGTCTGGTGTGTGGGTGTCTGAGTGTGCGTGCGTGTGTGTGTGTGCCCACACAGGTCAGCCCCAGATCTTGCATCTCGGCCCTGCGCCTCCTCAGGGCCTGGGCGAGGCGGGGATGTTCCTGGGCAGCTCGGTGCTGTTCGCCATCGCCGATGCCGTGGCCGCCGCCCGCAGGGAGAGGGGCCTGGACAGGACCTTCACCCTGAGCAGCCCGGCGAGCCCAGAGTGGATCCGGATGTCGTGCGTGGACCAGTTCACCGACATGGTAAGGCCCCGCTGGCGCCCAGCTCCGGCTCTCCCTACGGCACGCGGTCCTCCTGTGGCTCCGAAGTGAGCGACACCCCACACACCTGGGGCTTCGGTCTCAGACCCAGAGGAAGCTCACTGAGCGGGGCTGCTCACGAAAGGCCGCGGAAGGCTGCTTCCTCCGTTTTAAGAAAATGCAGTTGACAGCCCACGTTGGGTTTTGTCTTTGTTTTTAGTTTTGTTTTATTGAAGACAAGGTCTCACTGTATGGTCCAGGCTAGCCTCGAACTCTCAGCGATCCTCCTGCCTTGGCCTCCCGAGTGCTGGGATCACAGGCGTGCGCCACCACGTGGGCTTGACATGCCATTTTGATAACCTGGGTAACCAAGTTAAATTACCCAGCCATCTAATCTGGCTAATCGCAGGGAAAGTTCTTGCTAAGGAAGCAACAGTGCTAGTGTGGGCGGAGCTAGCAGGCCTGGGCACGCCCTTCACGCCAGAACCTGACGCGGAGAACGCGGCTCCACTCCTGCTGCGCACACGGCCTGTGAGAGCTGCGCCGCGTGGTGTGAGCCTGCTTGCCGCCCGACCGTCTGCGCAGGCGCCGCCCCGCCCCGCTGAGTCCCCCCAGGTTGAGCGAGCTCTCGCTCGCGTTCTGGAGCCCCTGCTCAGCCCCGGCTCCAGAGGGCAAGCAGACCAACGTGTGCTTGAGGAGAGATTTGTGACTGCAGGAGGGAAACGTGAAAGTCACCATCTGATAAGAGCGAAGCGCCCACTGCTTGGTCTTTCCTCTAAAACCACAATCTGTCTCTGCACTGCAACGCTGTCACAGTGGAGTAGGTTAGTAATGTCTTCCTCCTCTCGATCTCTTCCAGATTCCCTGGGATGACCCTTCAGCGTTTACACCGTGGGCCACCCGCGTGTCCTAACCCTGGGTTTTCTAGGAAATGCGGCGACCCGGTCGCCCTTAGAGTCTCAGACCAGCGCAAATAGAGTGACTTAACTGGCAAGGGTGATTTTAGCAGTTTTTAATTATTCTGTGGTTTAGGTTACTGCATGATTATGTTTTATGATGCAAATTTTTACGAGTGTAATAAAACTTAGAAATTCTAATTTTAAGCCAAGTGTGGTGGTGCATACCTGTCATCCCAGTGCTGTGGGAGGCTGAGGCAGGAGGATTGAAAGTTCAAGCCCAGCTTCAGCACCTTAGCAATTGGTGAGATCCTGTCTCGAAATAAAAGATGTTAAAAGGGCTATGGATGTAGCACAGTGCAAAGACTCTGGCTCAATGTCCAGTGCCGTAAAAAACAATCTGATTTTGTTAGCATCATCCTGAAAATCTACAGCATTGTTATTTTGAAGCGTAATAGTTCCTCTTAGCCTGGAACAGACTCTGTGTGATTTGTTCTTCAGAAACCTGCTCAAGGTTCTGTAAAAGTGCCCACCCCGAAATTCTCAGGACCCGGTCCCCCATACCCGCAGTGAGCTATTAGCACCAATGTGCAGCGCTCACAAGTCCCGTGTGTAAGTGTGCCCACGTTCCGATTCCCAGGCACTCTGGCGGATCTCTGCAGTGGAGCAGCACTCAGCGCTGTGCAGGGTGGCGCTGCTGACACCACAGTTCAGCCCCCTCCGGCCTGAGCCTCAGCCACCCCCAGCCGGTGCACAGGAGCCTCCAGGAGCCTCGAACGGTGGTCCCCAAGGTGCCTGAGGGAGGCTGGCCCAGGTGCTGGGGGCTGGAGAGCTGGGGCCTGGCAATCGGGCTCAGAGTGCAGAAGGGATCGCTGCCCAAGGGCAGGCTGACCTGACACAGGTGTGGTCATCTGACCCCGAGTCTGAAACTGAGTCAGAATAAACCTCTCGTCCTCACAAAGTGCCCAGCCCCCGGGCATTGCCTTGAAGTGCCACAAAACAGACTGAACCCCCAATGCCCCCTCGTCCGCTGTGGCCGCACACACACCGATGGAGACCTCAGATGACTCTGGGGCCCTTGCCTCGGCCTCAAGTCGGAGGTGGAGCCGGGGTTTCTCCCCTTGGCCATCGAAGTGGCAGAGTTCTCGACGCCTGCTCGGTTCTTCCCGGCTGTCCTGCCTCACGGGCTCCTGCAGAAACGCAGCCTCGTGGTGGAGAAGACGGCAGTCCGGGCAAGGCTTGAAAACACAGTGCTGGCCAGGCCTGCAAGCCTCCCTGTGGATGTGACTGGTGGGGAACGTGTGTAGCAGCACTCATGCGTCAGTGAGGCCAGAGAGGAGAAAGCCAGCAGGAGAAAGCAAGGGGTCCTTCCTGAGAGCAGGCTCAGCAGTCAGCGTCCGCCACTGTAAGAGGGGTGTGTGTGTGTGTGTGTGTGTGAATTCCCTGGTAATCTGCACCCTAACTCGCACACACTGCGTCAGACAGAACGACGCCCGGCGCGCTGGTAGGTTTCCTGCAGTCACGTGGGACTGCACCACATCCGTGCGTTAATCACAGAAGCGCTATGCTTCGCAGGCGGGCAGGGCAAGGCCTCAGTGAGGCAGAAATCGCACTCGTCATCCCAGCAGTCTTGTCATTAACTGAGGACAGGAAACGGGGAAGAGCTCACAAAAGTAGCACGCATTAGGGCCGGGAATTTGGTTCAGTGGTTCCACCGCCTGCCTCTGAAGCACAAGGTCCCAAGTTCGATCCCCGGTACCAAAAAAAAAAAAAAAAAAGCACACATTAAAGGATCTCAAGGGCCGGTTGTCCCTGGGTTCCATCCTTGGTACCACAAAAACCTAGATAAAAATGAAATAGGAGAGCAAGCCACAGATACAGGATGAATTTTAATGTATAGCGTCTGTTATGTCGCACTCTCAATCCGTGTTATTAATTTAGATAAACACCTGCCACCGTCTGGCTTTAAAACGCTGCTGCGGGGGAGCTGGGCTTCTCTGGGCCTCCCGAGTGCAGCCACGCGCAGCAGGCTTGGGCCTGGCATGGGCCTGTCCTGCTCCTCTGGGTGCACCATGCCTTCTGGTTCCTAGAGTTTGTTCCATGAGAAGGGGCAAGGACCAGGGGTTGAATTTGACTTTAAGTACTCTGTGTTTTGGAACTACTGCGAATGGAAATTTTTTCCACTTCCATTTTTATCTATTTATTGAGGTAATAGCAAAAACTATGCATTTTTCAATATGTCTGTTACATCAATCACTACTGTTTCCTTCTCCAGCAAGGTTTATATTAATCTGCTTTCTCACTTCTTCATCGGTTCATCTGTTCCAACCTCCTAGGCGATGCTAGCTAACTATGGAGAATGGCCATCCTGTCTACGCCCGGATTTTAATTGAAGTCTTTCTTACTTTGTGGCCAGTACTGTTACTGGTTTTTCCAAGTCGTCTTGCTTCACCAGTGCTCTCTCTTCATTTTCTCTGACTTAGATTTTGACTTAGTCACCACTGATCTGATCAGTTTGCCTTCTTTGTTTTTTAATGCAATATACAAAGTTAGATTTTTATGTGATCCATATCTGATATTGAGCCGCCCTGCTTTGTCAGAAACAATCTTATTTTGGTATGTTATCCCACGAAACATTACTGGATTCTATTTTGCTATTATTTTACTTAGAATTTTTGCATTTATATTCACAAATGGAACTTGTGCACAATTTTTTCTACTATTGATACTGGGTTTGGTATTAAGTTTTTTAGCTTTATAAGATGAATTGGGCAGAATTTCTACTTATGTATGTCATGGAGAGTTTAAATAGTATTGCCTTATTTTAACAATTACACAGAATTCGTCTATAAATCCATGTGCTTTTGGGTCTTTGTTCTCAAAACCCTCATCGGTCATAAGCTGTCTCATTGGGTGTTAGCTCTCCAACCCCTCTGTAGTTTTCCTCCTCCCTTTTAACACTGTAAATGTTTTCTTGTAAATAATACATATCTATGTTTAGGGCTTTCTTTTCTAATCTAATCTGCTAATCATTATTTTTCAATCACAGAATTAATTTCACGCAAATTTCATATAATGAAAGTTTTAATGTTTTACTTAATACCTATCATATCTTATATAGTATATAATTTACTCCATAATGTAATATATATTTTGTTCATTTGGAAGTTCAGCTGCACCTTTCGTTATTCATCTCTGTGTTAGTTATTTTTCTCTCGTTGCTGAGACAAAATATCCGACACCCGACATCAGAGGGGAGGGGTGTATTTGGCTCGAAGCTCACAGAGCTTCCATACGCTGTCAGCCGCTCCAAGGCTGGATGCTGGCACAGCAGAGGTTGTCACAGAGGACGAACAACATGGCACCCATCTGGCAGCAGAGGCAACAAGGACCTGAGACTTTCTGCCTCTTTTATCCCATCCAGACCACGGGGCTTAGGGCGCTCCTATTCACTCCCTCACAGGAAGTGGTTTATAACCACACGCCCTAAATCTCACTCCAGATTCAGCCACCTCTGACCGTGTGACGCTTTGGGGGACATCCAGACCCCAACCCTAAGTCTTCATTTACCTACAGACACACGTATGTCTCTGTGTCCCCTCACCCCCAAGGGCATCCCGGAGCTCTCCCGTCACCAGCCCTGGCCCACTGGAGAGTGGGACGACCGAGTGCCCTCCTGGGACTCTACCTGGGACTCGGTGGCCCTTCCCTGGCCTTCCTGTGCTTTCTCCTCTCCCTGGGTGGACAGCATCACCGCATCTGTGGATTTCCGGCACCCTCTGGCCCTCAGCCCTGCTATGCTGGAAGCGCCCTCTGGCGTCCACTGTGTAGCCCGAACGCCTGCTGCTGAGCTGATTCTGTTTCCTTCATCAGACTTGCTCTCCTGCCCCTGAAGATAGACCATGGGGAGGGTGTTGGGTGAAGCAGCTGGGTGTCCTCCTCTCCAGCAGGACTCAGGGCAGCCTCGCACACAGAAAGCTCCTGAGCTCAGTGATGCATCTCCTTTCTCCCCCCTGCCATGCATGGCCTCTTGTGTTTAGTCCCACATCTCAAGGCCTGTGCCCTGTGGCTCCCACTCCTGTGTGACCATGCAGAATGTGGCGACACCTGTGTCCACATTGCTCCCCGGGTTTCAGCCTTGACCATCCTCTCCTGCTCTCTCCCGGTGGTCTGTCTCTCTCCACGCAGTGTTCTGGGGGAGCAGTGTGACGCCCCAGGCAGACAGCATCCCCTCAGCACTCCTGCACTGGGTGTGTCCTGGCAGTCCCCAGGGCCGCATGGCTGGCAGCAGTGGCAGCGCCTTCCTCCCTCTAGGCCGGAGTCACAGGCCTGGATGCCAGGGGCCGTGGGAAGAGCCCGCCTGCACCCCTCTGGCTGGAGGACCAGGGCCTGGGCCTGTGGATGCTGCACCTTGGCTCAGCTCCCGCCACCTGTGTCCTCCTCCCTCCTGAGCCTCTGCCGGCTCCCAGGTCCCTGTCCTTAGATGGCACAGTGAGGGGTGCAGAGTGCCCTGCTCCCCCAGAATCTCACCTTAACCTGATTAGTCTGCAGAGACCCAAGCCCCAGGGAAGACCAGGGACCAGTCAGCCAGGCCCTGCCCCCCCAGGGGTCTGTAACCCACCCACTGCCAGGCAACTCCAGCTTAAGTCCAGGGCCCTAGGGACACCTCTGCAGGTGGAAGCGGGCAGTGCCCCGATCCACACCCTCAGTAGAGGTGGAAGCCCGGGCCTAGGACTCTCTCGCCTCTGCACACTCCCCAGCCCTGGGCAGGAGGAGCTCAGCTGCCCAGTAACAACCCCCACCCTCCCCAGGACTAGTCTCTTCCCCGCCCCCACCACTGGTTTTGGGAGTACTAGTGTCAGAACCCCCGTGCTCAGAGCCCAGACTCCCGGTCCTGGCAGAAAGGTTGCAGCAGGGCAGGGAGGAGCAGAGGGCTCATGGCCAGGTTTGGTGACTGCCCAGGCCAACCTGGAGAGCCCCTCCATCTGCAGACTGTGCTCCACCTTGGGGTCCAAACAGCCCACCTGGGTGCTGGAAGGCAGCAAAGCCCCCACCACACTTTTTCAGTTCTGAGAACCAGCAGGGCAACTTGCCGGGTTTTCCAGACAGGTCTGTGTGCCCGCGGGAGAGGGCGGGGTTGTCTGACTGGTGTCGCTCGCCCGTGGCCAGCTCACTAACAGAGCTGGCGGGACTCTGGCCTGTTGTGTAATGGCAGCCTGCCCCTGGGCCCCCATGGGAGCACCGGGCTGTGAGGAACAACACAGGGGACACAGGGCCTCACCGGGGCGCGAGACATGGGAGGCAGGGAGGCTCCCAGCACTGGGAGCTGGTGAAGAGGCCAGGAGGGCGCGAGAGCTGTCATCCAAGAGTGCACACATTTTCTCCTCCTTTGTCATTAAAGAAAATCAGAAAACTAAAGTCACTGCTTCTCTGCACTGTCCTAAGTAGGGTGCAAGAGCCAGGACTCGGGCAGGAGCTGCCTCCCACCCTCGTCTCGGCAGGCTCTCCTCTGCGCTGCGGGGGCTGGGGCTCCAACCTCACTGGCCCCTCAGCTGCACGGCACCTTGGCATGATCTGTTTACACTCCGTTCCCACAAGTGCTTCCTGCACAAACCGGTTCCCAAGCCTGCCCCTGGCTCCTAATCCCAGCACCTGTACAGTCAGCTCCAGTGTCCAGCACCCTGCCTCCCGTCCACACTGAAGTGTTTGTGCTGATCTGCTTGAGACCTCGTGGCTCACACTTGCTCAGCCACTGTGCCTGGGGGCCTCTTTCACAGGGAACAGCGGTGGGGGACAGGCAGTGGGTCTGAACGCAAGGCCAGCTGCTTCCCTGTGACCAAAGCGACCACTGGAAAGGCCTGGGCTCCCCACTCCTCCCCTGACTCCAGGCGCCCAGGAATGGACGCCCACCCCCCTCCAGGCCTATGCCTGTTGCTGTCCCATCTTTGTCCCCAGATTTGGGAGTTCCTCTGAAAGGCATAAACGTTTTCCTGCACTTGATTGCCCTAGGAAACCTTAAACTCTGGAGAAACAGCAGTGGTGGCTGCTTCCCCTGTGCCTCAGCCCCTGGTGCGAGGCCAACGTCACTGTCCACCGATGCCCAGAGCACGGCGCCCCCCAGCCTGCATTCAGCCCATGGCCTCCTGGTGGGGCCTCTGTCCCTGGCCTGGTTTGTAACTGAAGGTGAAGCTGAGAGAGGAGCCCAGTGGGCCTGGAGCCGTTTCTGGTGCTGGGTGAGGAGGGTGTCAAGTGAGTTGAAGGGGTAGACGCAGACTCAGAGACCCCTGTCCACCACGGGAGCCCTGGAGGGGCGCTTATTCCGTGTGGGCTCCAGCCTGGGGCCGTGACGCTCCCTGAGGCTCGGCCATGTTCCTGAGCGCCTGTGCACTGCCAGAGATGGTGCTGTGCCCTCGGGGACTCGGGCTCCGAAACAGGCACCTGAATGCACCTGCCGCTGGGCCCAGGCCATGAGCAAGAGCTGTGCAGGTGGCCTTGAGCAGTGTGCACTCAGCCTCCCTCCTGGCCTGCCTCTGCCCGCTCCCCCATGGCTGCTGGGGCTCTGTTTTGTTTGGGGATACTGGGGACTGAACCCAGAGCCTTCTCAGTGAGCTACACCCTGCTCGGCTCTTCTTTGTGCTTTACTTTGAGACAGGGTCTCTGTAAGTTGGCAAGAACTGGACTTTGTACCCTCCTGCCTCAGCCTCCCAGAGTGCTAGAATTGAGGCCTGCACCACCACGCCCAGCTCCAGACCACCTCAGCATGTGTGAAACATGCACACTCAAACACAAGCTCTGCTCTGCAGGGGACACAGACCCGTGTGCCTGAGGTCGGAGGCACTGCCATTGTGAGGGAACCTGCCGCTGTGGCGGAAGGTGGCAAGAGGAAGGGTCCCCTCGGCTGGCCAGGCGGGAGGACACCCGTGTCTGTCACTCCCACCCTGCATGCCTGTCCTCCCATGACAGCTGCCTCCGGCGGGGCACAGAGGGGCCATGAGCCCGACAGCACAGGCACTGTTCCCTGGCCAGGCCCCACTGCAGGAGGGATGCGCTGGAGGGGCTGCGGTCTCTCTGGCCGTGTCCTCCTGCAGCTGGCGGCTGCCCCTTCGAGGAGCGACCCAGCCCCACCGCCCCACAGACTGGCACCCTCGCCCCCATGCCACCTTTGGGCCGTGCTTTTCTGCTTGCTGAGCCAGCGGAGGAGGGCAGCGGGCACGGAGGGCCCTTGGGCTGACCCCATGAGCTCACCAGACGGTGAGTTTACACTGGCACCTGTGCTTCCCACACTCCCCCTGCCAGCTGCAGGGAGCCCGAGTCAGGTGCTCTGTGCTCTGTGCCAGGCCCAGTGCCAGCCCAGGGCGGGGGGCAGAGGCTGGGCCAGGCCCCAGCTTAAAAGCCAGGCGCCGGGTATCACACTGCCTGCCTGCTGCCCACCGGCTCCAACACCCCCGCTCAGCCCGGCCGTCACCTCCCATCGCTCTCCACTCCTCCTGTGGTGAGAACACACACAGCCCAGGCCATGCCTCCCCCACTGGGCTCTGACGAGCTGATTTTCTTCGTGAATGGGAGGAAGGTAAGCGCTGTGCAGGCCAGGAGCTGTGGCTGTGGCCAGGCCCACTGGTGGGCTGCCCGGTCGGGCCCATGCTCAGAGTCAGGCTCAAGCAGGAAGGTTTCCCGGGACCCATCCAGGTCACACCCAGGAACTCATGAGCAGAGCCTCTGCGCCTCCTCTCTGCCCGGCGCCGCTCTGCAGGACCGGCTGAGTCAGTCCCAGGAGGGACCCGGGCCCCTCCCAGGGTGCTAGCTCCGGGGCCTGTGATGGGCCATCGCCCTCCTGTCCCACGTCCCTGCACACAGGCCACGGGCACCCTGGTGTTCTGGCACCCCTTCCACTGGAGCTGCACTGCCGCTTGGGCGCTCAGGCGTGGGACCTCCCGGAGGCATGACCTGGCCTGGAGGGGGCGACACAGCTCTCCGGCCCCACCTGCCCGGCCTCCTCCTGGCTCACCATGGCCTGGCTCACAGTGGCCATGCTGCCATGGAGCACGGGCAGGCACCCCTGGGGTGCGGCCCCTCTCCCACCTCCCTGCCCTGCGTGAGCCCTGGAGACCCTGATGTCACCCAAAGTGCTCCCCCAGAGGTCTCAGAGACACCCAAGTCCCCGGGCTTTGTACCCTACAGGCCCCTTCCTTACACAGGCACGTGCACAAGCACACAGCGCACTCCACGGCCCTCCCGGATTTGAGGGCTCTGGGGAGCACAGGGGACAGAGCTGAAGTCTCCTCAAGGTGGACAGTGGTGCAAGCGTGCAGGGCCCAGGCCAGGGGCATCCACAGAAGAGCCTCTGCCCGGGGAATGGCTCAAAGGTCGCCCGGAGCACAGGACAGCAGTGCTGGGGCCACCCCATCCACGCTGACCTCTCCCGACAGGTGACAGAGCGGGCTGTGGACCCGGAGGTGACCCTGCTGACCTTCCTGCGAAGGAAGCGGACCCTTTCAGCCAGTGCTGGCAAAGCTCTGTTCTCCCGCCCAGCCCCCGGGCCCTGGCTGTGGGCCCAGGATTTAGGGGTGTCAGGTTGCAGGGCTGGTTTGGGCGGGTGAGGTTTGCCCAGAGCAGTTTAGACCAGCTTCAGAGGTGTGAAGGAAGCTGCACCCTTCCCTCCGAGCTGCCTGCAGCAGGGTGTCGGGTGACTGGCTCGGACCCAGCCCTCGCACAAAGCCTCTTCCCCAGTGGGGAGAGCCCCCTCCCGAGCCTGTGTCCCAGACTCAAGAGCGCGGTGCCGATACACTGTGTCTGTACGGTCTCTCAGAGTGGCCAGAGCGTGACAGAATTACACCTGGATGGCCTGGCCCCACACAGGTTCTGTTTAAAGGCCCAAGTGGCTCCTAATTAGTTGTGCACACTTGAAAAGTGGGACATTTCATGTTTAAAAAGATCAAGATCCCCTTCACGCTGCTCGTGTCAAACGGGGGCTCGGGGCTGAGTGGGGCGTCCCCCGTCAGGTGGCCTTCCTGGTGGGCTTTGGGCTCTGCCTTGACTCGGGCGGGGGAGCCCAAGTGAGGAGCGATGGCGGCGGAGGCTCTGGCGTCCCTCGGCGAGTCTGGTCAGGCACGGCTGGGCCCGCACGCTGTGGCACCGCTCTGGAGAGGAGGAGGAGCGGAGAGAGGGGCCCAGGCGGAGGTGGACTGGGGTCCATCCTCAGGCCAGGCAGAGGGGAGGGGAGGAGAGGGGAGGGGAGGGGAGGGGAGGGCTCTCGAGCAGGGCCTGAAATAGGACCTGGGGCTCCAGTACCATGCAGATCCCCGTGACTAAAGTAAAATATGAGGAACGACAGGAACTTTCCAGGGCTCCCGCAGGCCCCACAGAAGGCCCACCCACCCCTGGAGGAAGGCGGGGGACCTGAGACCTGCCCCCCCCCCGGCCCGCAGAGACTCGCGCACGTGCACGTACACACGCGCACACACGCGCGCGCCCGGGAAGCCCGCGGCCTTTTCCTTGACCAGCCCTCCAGTTGGCCTCACAGGAACGAAGTCAGCCTGCGGAGGGGGAGGCTGCGGCGCCTGCACGGTGATGCTGTCCAGGCACGACCCGGCCTCCGGGAAGCCCAGGTGCGCTTTGCTTCCTGCCCTGCACTCTCACCTCCCACGGGCCGCGGGGTCGGGGCCTCGCAAGCGAGGGAACCCCAGCAGTTTACTCTGCCGATGAGGAGACCAGGAGACCGGCGCAGGTAGGCCAGGTGACCTGTTCGAGGTCCAGGAAGTAGGACGCTGTAGGAGCAGGACTGGAGCCCGCGCTCCTTCCGCCATCCGACGGGCAGGACCTGAACAGCAAGGGCCGGGCCGGGACTCCCCTCCGCTGCAGGCCGACTCTAGGACTTGGGCTCCTTCCAAATCCCCAGCCTAACGAGAGACGGCTTCGAAACACAGGCTGGCCGCCGTGACGGTGACCTGTGACCTCACACGGGTTAAACTAAGCCCACGTGAGAGGACCGGGTAAAGACGGTTGTGGCTGTCGGTGTGCGGGGACGCTCTCAGGCAGCAGGCGTCCGGGCACAGCCCCAGTGACCACGCCATGCCCGCCGCCCCCAGGGTCCCAGCTGGGCTTAGACAGCTTTTCTGAAGACAGGACACTCAGCCTCATCTCAGGGTCCCCGGTCCGTGCGGAGAGCAGGGACCCTGGCTGCCTCCTGTCCCCTCCCACCTCCGGGCCACCCCGAGGTCACTCCCCTCGGTTCTCCCGTGTCTCCCACACAGACACTTCTCCGTAACCGCGTGCCTGGTGCCCGTGTGCTCTCTGCACGGGGCGGCTGTCACCACCGTGGAGGGCGTGGGGAGCGTCAGAAGCAGGATCCACCCGGTGCAGGTGAGAGCAGGATTTGCTTCCCACTTCCTGACTCCATCTCTTCCCCGTGGACTGCGCTGCCTGAGCCTGCCGGGTCCACGGAAGCGTGGGTGGGCTCTGTCCAGGGAGTCTGAAGGGTGCGGGGCCACGCTTGTGTTGGGCACCCGTCTTCCTGTTACATCTCACACAGAGGTGGTCGGCAGGGTCACTCAGATCCTGACAACACCTGTCACACGGTGGCAGGGAAGAGGCCGCACACAGGACCATGTGAGAACAAAGAGGCTCTGCAGCTAACAACACAAGTCACTCCTGCGGTAGAGGTCCTGGGGTGAGGTTCAGACTGGGGCGAACAGAGTGAAAGTAACTGCAGAATGTGAGGACAGCTGTGTCCCCTCCCTGGCCTGCCTCGGGGCAGACTGGACTCTTGAGCACACGGCTCGAGCTAGCAGAGAGCACATCGTTTCCTCTGTCACTGTCCCGGGGCTTGGGGAATCCAACACAGGCTTCCCCGAGTGAGAATCAAAGCAGCCTCAACTCAGACACCCTGAAACCCAGAGCCAGAGGTTCCCAAAGGCCTGGGAGCTGGCTAAAAAAGCAGATTCCGAGTCAGGAAGCTTGGAGCGGGCCAGCTCCCAGGTGTGGCCAGCACCATTGGGTGTGGACAGCACCTTAAATAACCAGGATCAGGACAGAGCCCGGCCTCTGAAAGCAGAGCTGGTTTTGAGCCAACACAGAGGAGCTGGAGGAAGCAGATGCCCCAAGTCCGTCGGGAGGAGGCCACCTCGAAGTCAGGAGGAAGCTCTGCAGGACGGGGGTGGGCATGGTGTCCTCGGAGTCCTGGCTCCCTGGTGAGCCCTCCAGCCTGCAGGGCTTGAGCTATGGCCAGACAAGTGGCTGTAGTGATAGCCATGTCCTCCGAGTCTGTCCTCGGGGAACAACTCTGGGTGGAGCACGAGGGGCGGGGCATCTGCTCAAACCCTGGGTTCCACCCTGGCGCTGGTGGCTCAGGACCCCCTCGAGGCCAGGTCGTAACAGGACAGGGCGGTGGCCTTGGCCTGTGCTTGCAGGAGAGGATCGCCAAGAGCCACGGCACGCAGTGCGGCTTCTGCACCCCCGGGATGGTGATGTCATTATACACACTGCTTCGAAACTACCCACAGCCCTCGGAGGAGCAGCTCCTGGAGGCCCTGACAGGTGGGTGTGGCCGAGAACCCTGTGAGAGGCCTGGGGCTCTGCAGGGTTAGGGTAGGAGCCCACCTGGCACAGAGGGGCAACTGCTGCAGCAGGTCACCCACTGAGTACCACACAGCTTCTGAGAGAGGATGGCTTGAGCTCAGACAGGCCCGGGCCAGCCAGTTAGGGCTCTCTCTCTGTCTCTGTCTCTCCGTCTCTCTCTCCACCTCCGTCTCTCTCTGTCTCTCTCTATCTCTCTGTCTCTCAGATTAAGTCATCTGAAGTCCCCACTGTCCAGAATTCCTCTCCCCAAAGCCTGGCCAGGCCCTGAGCTCCCCCATCCTCCCACCCCCACCCGCTACCTGTGGCACAGCTCCCCAAGGCCTCTGCATCTTTCTTCCCCTCCCCTGAGAGCTCAGCCCCACAGCCCTCAGCTCGCCATCCTCAGGCCCGACTTCCTGGCAGCCTCCTCCCACCCCACGTTCGTCCCCAGGAGCCTGAGGTCCCCAACTTCACCCCACAGTGGAGGTCACAGACCCTGACATGCAGATCCCTGTACTGCCCAGATGCTGACCCCATGGGATCGGAGCAGAGCCGGGGGTCTGCACGTTTAGCAAAGACTCCCATGAGATCCTGCCGAAGAGAAAGCACCAGGGCTCCCCGACCCCTGCCCCAGGCACCGCACTTGTCCCTCATGTGGCTGAGAGCTCCTCGCTGTCACCGAACTGGTCGTGGGGCTGGGGTAGCTCAGTGATGAGCACTTGCCTGGCATGTGCAAGGCCCTGGGCTCTGTCTCCAGCACCATCAGATAGGTAATGGATAGATACAAAACAGATAATTGATAGATCAATAGATAATAAGGTGGATAGACACACAGATACATAGACAGTACACACAGACACATGGATGATAGATACAGAGACACAGATACATGACAGATGATGGAAAGATGACCCACAGATGACAGACGGATGACAGAGATGATGGATAGCTGATAATGGGTGATAGGCATCGAGCCGATTAGCTGCGAGGTGATGACAGTGAACACACCGGCTGGACTCATCTTCGAGCAGAGAAGCAGGCTGGAACTGAGGCGGTGGCCAGGCAGCAGTGCAAGAGAGAACATTAGACTGCTTGGCAGACATTAAACCGCTCTGAATTTTTCTGAAGCACGGGGCCGGAGGTGCAGCTCGGGTGCCATTGCCGGGCATGTGCGGGGCTGGGGTCGCTCCCAGCACCCCGAGACTGAGCATACACATCGGCCCTCTCCTCCCCCAGGGAACCTGTGTCGCTGCACCGGGTACCGGCCGATACTCGAGAGCGGCAGGACCTTCTGCTCAGTGAGTGGGGCTGGGGAGGACCCCAGAGCAGCGCGGCGGGACAAGGGCATCGCAGCAGACCCCAGGGGTGACGTGGCCCTGGGTCCCCTGAGCAGGCAGTGTTCACACCGCAGAGGGACGGGTGGTACCCCAGTGCACAGGCCCCCTAGGAAGGAGGAGATGGACACCAGGGCTCTGGCCACTCAGGGGCCCAGGGATCCGGGAATCCAACCACAGGGCTGGAGGGGCTGACTGGCTGTCCTGTGGCTGGGTGTGGCGCCCAGGGCACCTCTTGGCATGGGGCAGGGGCTCAGGGGAGTGGCCCTCGGCTGAGGCCAGATGGTGAGGGCAGCACAGCCTGAGAGCCATGTGCAGGTCCCACGCCTTCCTCCAGCCACTCGAGGGGCCTGTGGCTCCAGTGAGCTGCTGTCACCACTCCAAGGTCACTCTGCATGCCTGACAGCGCCTCTCACTGCAGAGGAGAGGACCGTGATCAGGCAGCCAGCCCTGGGGCCTTGGAACAGGGATGGGATGTGGACGCTTGGGTGGGGTTGGAGCATGCTCGACAATTGTTCTCCCATTGAGCTACATTCACCAGCCCTTTTTATTTGTATGTTTAGTTATTTATTTGTTTATTTATTGGTTGGTTGGTTTTTTGAGAGAGCTCACTCTGCAGTCCAGGCTGGCCTTGAATTCACTATGTATCCCAGGCTGGCCTCAGACTCCTAGTGATCCTCCTGCCTCAGCCTCCTGAGTTCTGGGATTTTAGACATGTACCTCCATGTTCGGCATAAAGCAACTTACAAATTGATTTTGCCATTAGAAATTAACCTTAAAAATTCAGAAATATACACAAACTGCACTTGTAATGAACAAAACTGCCCACATACAATGTGCTTTATAAATATGTACTATATTCATATAGTAAAATGCTAAATATGTGTTACATCAGACTAACACCAAAGGAAGGGTGCGAAGGCTGTTTATTTCTTTTGGACTTGTGTGTTATTTTATACCATACATTTGTTACAATTCTGTATTGTGTGATGCATTATCTTACACTACATAATGCATGGTTTACGTAATATAGTAACACGTTGCTCGTACCCCACTCCAAATGCACAGCGCGGGAGTGCGGCCTGAGCTGCCTGTCCCAGTGTCTCCACACGCAGGTCCCGCCCACCGGCCCTTGGGGCAGCCACCACCACACAGGGCAGAGCTCACCATCCGCGTCTCCCTCTCAGGACTCAGGCGGCTGCGGGCAGACAGAAAGCACACGGTGCTGCCTGGACCAGCCAGGAGGCGACTCCTGCCCGGCGGAGGACAGCAGCCTACCTGCTCGCGTGAGTGTCCCAGTCCATGGCGGAGCGCTGGCCGTGTCCTGTGTCCCATCCCTGGAGTATCCGGCGTGGCTGTGGGCAGCCGGGTCAACGGCCCTCCCTGACGCCGCCGTGGAGCTGGGTGGTAGGGCCCAAGTGTCATGTCTGCCCTCCAGTTGGTTTCTCCCTTCCTGGCCCACAAGGCTGTGGGGGACACACAAGCCTTTCAATAGCAGAAGAAACAGCCAGCCAGCCAGGGCCACCGCAGGCCGGGGAAGCAGCCTCCTCCTCCACAGACAGCCCGTCACCCCAACTATAGCAGGGCACCCAGCCCTCTAGACCCTCCCAACCCTGCTCTCTGACACTCAGCTCCCGAGGGCACCGCTGAGGCCCTAAAGGAGCAAGGGGAACCCGGGGCACAAGCCATCATGGGCACCGGGCCTGAGAGCCCAGAGCAGCCTCAGACAGAGGCACCACGGGTCCCGGCTCTGCGTCCTCACCTTCAGGGCTAAGGAGAGTGAGCAGGGGCCTTGGAGTGTCACCCATGCTGGAGTGAGCTCAGAGCGCCCCACGTCAGCCTCAGCCTGGTGGGACCCAGAGTGCACAGTGGTGCTCCGGCTCCGCTGCTGTGACCCAGCTGGGTATGCCCGACATTTCCCAGAAAGAGACACCAGTGACAAGGTGGAGCTCGGGGACAGTGGCCACCTGCCCTGCCCTGCAGGGACGCATCCCAGACAAGCCCAGGAGACCCCTGCTCTGTGGGCTGCAGCTGCGGCTGCCCCACAAGGAGGCTCCCAGGGACGGCTGCCCTGCTCCCTCTGGGCCCGGCTGGCCTCTGGGCAGTTGTTGGCAGTGGTGATGGCTGCCCTCACCTCACCATGAGTCCTCAAGGCACTGGCTCCAGAGCACTCTGGAGAGTCGCAGCCACCGCTCCTCAGCGGCACCAGCAGCTGTCAGTGTGCACGTCCCTGCAGGGGAGCTGGCGCTGTGCCACCTGCCCCACTCCCCACCCTACCTGGGCTGACACTGCTGCCTCTGCCCCCACAGATGTGCTCGGAGTTGTTCACCAGAGCCGAGTTCTGGCCTCTGGACCCGACCCAGGAGCCCATCTTCCCCCCAGAGCTCATGGTAAGAGGGGTCGCCTGCCCCCACCCTGCACCTTGCTGGGACAGCAGTGGCCTCACCAGGACTTTGCTCCAGATCACCTGGGGGTGGCCCGTCCACTCCCAGGCCCCGTAGCACCGAGGCTCCTGGCTCCTTCCTGCTGGCCCCAGCTGGCCCAGGGCTCCCAGGACAGGCACTCAGAGAGGGCCTTACGTGTCCACTCACCCGCTCAAAACCTGCAGCAGCAGACCCCCGATGGGGACCAGGACCAGATAGACAGACGAGAGCAAAGTAACAGACAAGAGCTACATGGTGTCAGCAAGTGCAGAGTGGTGGGAGGGAAAATAAAATAAAGATAGCAGATAGGACACAGGCAGCTGCAATTTAAACATCCACGCCAGGGAAGGCCTCGCTGAGAGAGTGACACGTGAAGACACCTGGGGAAGGGGTGCCTCGTCACGGAGATAAGCGGGGTGCGATCAGGTGGTGGAGTGGCAAAGTCCTGGGGTCGGACAGCGCCCAGGGTGGCTCGGGTGGGCATGCCCGGCTCAGTGTCCCTGGCTTTTACCCTTCGTGAGTCAGCTGCTGAAATGGGGCGCCAGAGGAGGGGCCTGCACCTGATGCCAAGGGGTGCAGCTTTCGAGGGTCAGAGGGGCCTGGGGAAGAGCCGACGTGCTCGCCGACAGAGGTGGCATGGCATGGATGTGGCCCAGAGTACAGGGAGGCCACTCGCGGTGGGCACGGCAGAGCTTCAGGAACCCCGGCCTTCCAGGCCGTGGGAAGGGACAGGATGGGGTACCTCAGGGTGGCACAAAGGGAACATGAGACCTGTCACCCTCTTGGAGGGGCCCAAGCCCTGGCCAGACACGAGTGTGGGTTTCGAAGGGCACCTGGCCACAGCGGCCAGTGTGGGTGCATAATTGGGATTTCAGGGCCAGGGATGAGCTTGTGCCAAGACTCCGTGTTCCCCTGGCACAGTCCTGGGACCCTGACCTGGCCTGTGTGCCTCCCCGGGACACCCCTCACTCACGCACACGCTTGTCATTTGTGCCCAGCGCATGGCGGAGAGCCCGGAACGACGCACGCTGACCTTCTGCGGGGACAGAGTCACCTGGGTCTCCCCCGGGACACTGCAGGAGCTCTTGGAGCTACGGGCACGACACCCTGACGCCCCACTGGTCCTGGGCAACACGGCCCTGGGTGAGTGTGACCCCAGCCGCCATTCTCTCTCTGTGGCCCAGGACAGTGATGGGGTCCTGACAGCGGAGCAGGCGGCCTCCAGGGGTGGATGCACAGGTGCCCGTCGTAGGCAGGTGACCTTCGAAGTGCGGCTGTAAGACCAGAGGAGTCTTAGTCACTCCGTTTATCTTGCCCCTTTTTACTTTGTTTTCATTAAATATTGAGTAGATATAATTTTATTTAAATGTATACGGACATATTCTCAATACAATGCACACCCAGTAGCCTCCCAGACCCATTTTAAGAACTCAAACTTCAGCCAGGCACGGTGGCAAAACCCTGGAGTTCCAGCGCTCTGGGAGGCCAAGGCAGGAGGATCACAAGTTCGAGCCCACCCTGGGCAGCTCAGTGACTGAGTGAGACCCTGTCTCCAAAAACAGAGAATAAAAAGGGGCCGGGCCTGTAGCTCCAAGTGAAAGCCCCGTGTTCACTCCTCAGTACCAGAAAAGCCCAAACCTTCAAATTTCACCTAGAGCTTGGAGGCCCCACGGACGCTCCCAAACCACACTCCCTCTCCTCCGCGGGCCTCGGCCTCGTCCTTAATTCTGTGGCTGCACCGCAGCTGCGCCCGGAACAGGCATGCGCCGGCCACCGGCAGCCTCTGCTCCGCCTCCCGGGCCCCTGGAGCCCCGCGGCCGCCCTGCCGCCTCCAGGTGCACTCTCGCGACCTCTTCGCGTTCTGCGCCTGAACGTTCCGGGGAAATCTTCGGGACAAGGAGGCCTTCCCCGCCTTGACCGCCCGTTGTGTGCTCCGCAGGCCCCGCCGCGAGGCCCCACGGCGGCGTCCACCCGGTGCTGCTCTCGCCCGCCCGGGTCCCGGAGCTGAGCGCCGCGGCCGACACGAGCGCCGGTGAGTGCAGGCGCCCGGGGCCCGGGACGCCCCCTGCCGGACAGCCCCGGCGGCGCGCGGCTCCAGGCTGCCCACCCAGGAGCGGGCGCAGGCCCGAGGCCCAGGGCCCCCCGGTGTCCCCGCGGGCGCGGGCGTGGCCCGTGCTCTGGCCTCGGTCGCGAGGTCGGATGCACCGCGGGCCTCAGCCAGAGCGCGGCGGCCACGCCGGGGTGGCGCTGGCCCCAGCGGGGTGCACCGGAGGCCTGCCCAGGGCGCCTCACCCTCTGCTGCAGCCAGTCTCGCAGCGCCGCGCGGCCCTCTGCCCAAGGGGCCCCAAAGCCAGGCGCAAGCGCATCCCTCACTCGACAGAGGAGAAACCGACTAGGCGCAGGAGCAGGCGGGGCCGGCCGGCTGGGTGCAGGGAGCCACAGGGCCGGGCCGGCCGCCTCCACTGCCCAAGGCACGCAGGCTGCTGGGCGTAGTCCTGCCACACGTGTGTGCACACATGCACAGAGATACACAGACATGTGCATGCAGATACAGACACATGCAACAAACATGGAGATACATGCACACCGACAGATACACACGTGCACACAGAGATATACATACACACGTACACAGTGCAGACAGACACACAAGAGACACATGCACATAGACACACATGCACACGCACGCACACACGGACACACCCACCCCCGAGAGTCCGCCCTCAGCCTGGGGTCTGGAGCCAGGCTGTCCCCAGCACTCTTCAGGAGCAGCTTCCTGTTTCAGCTTCATGTCCACGCGGACGCCTGTGCAAACTTCGCATGCCCTCCCACAGAACCGACACGCGAGGCTGGGACCCTCCCCGCCAGAATCAGGGTCTGCTTCTCCAGAAAAGCACTGTGGCTGTCCTGGTCTGGGAACTCCAGTGAAACCCTCCGACACGTTCTTTTTCTCATTTTCAGCAGCGTATTTTTCAGCGCTCAGTAAACGCGCTCCTCGTGGGGACTCGCTCCTTCTCCCCTCTCTCTGCACCCCGCCCCTTCCCACCCTCTCAGAGAATCAACTCTGGCTCATTGATGCTTTGCGCTGGGGCTTTGGGTCTCAACGTCATTAAGCTCCAATCTGATATTCCTAACTCCGCTCCTCTTACTTCAGGTTTGGATTGTTCTCTTTCGAGGACCTCGAAGTGCACAGTCAGTTATTCATTGAGGGCTGCTGCATTCTCTTTACGTGGGCACTCACAGCTCTGCGCGTCCCTCTCACCATGGCTCTGGTTGTGTCCTGTAGGGTGTGTTGTGCTGTGTAGCCACCGTCCTTTGATTCTAGGAACTTCTTTCTTCCTTGATTTCTTCTGTGACCACCGACTATTGGATAGCGTGTTCGTTCATCTCCATGGGTTTGCGTACTGTCTGTGATTTACTGCTGTTGATTTCTAGCTCCATTCCCCTGTGATCTGATGACATGCAGGGGACTGCTTCAGTTCTTTTGTGTTCATTGCAGGAACTTCATGACCTAAGATGTGGTATGTTCTGGAAAGAGTTGTGTGTGGTGCTGAGAAAAATGTATGTCCTGTTGCTAGAGGAAGCACTCTGGATATCTAAGGCCACTTGCTCCATGCTGTGGTTTAACTCTGACATTTCTTTGATTTTTTTTTTTTTTTTTTGGTCTAGTTGACCTATCTGTGATAGTGGGGTATCAAAGTCCCTGCCGGGATTGTATTGGTGTCGATCTGTCCCTTTAAATCCAGAAGTGTTTTGTGAAGCTGGGTGCCCTGATATTCGCTCCATAGATGTTTATGATTGTTGCCTCTTCCTGTTGACCTGTCTCCTTTGCCCATACATAGTGGCTGTCTTTGTCTCTTCTGGTCAGTTTTAGCTTGAAGTCTGCTTCGTCTGAACATAAGGTAGCTGCTCCTGCTTGCTTTCAGGCTCCAGAAACCCCTCTGAGGCCCAAGTGGAGCTAAATCCTGTTCACCCCAGTGGAGTGAAGCTAGGATTCCCGACCAGAGATGGACTACACCATAAGTGGAACTGCAGTGAGCAAAGGGGGGTGGCAAAATGCAGGAGGGAAACCGCCAAACAAACACCCCAAAATGGCTTGTGAGGACTCAGGACAGAGCAGCCCTAGGGCTGGACGGCCCCACCCCCCTGCATCACAGAGAGGCCAAGTGTGGTCTGTGGAGCTCTGACCTTCATAATTACTCTGAGGAGACCCTGTGTTTGGCTTCCTCTTACCAGGAAGGCTCTGGGCCTCTCCTTGGGGAGAGGAATTGAATGGCATGGAACAGCATGGATTCCCCAGGCTCCTCAGAGACAGGGCCAGGGTTTGGGGCTGCTTGTTTTGTTCGTGGTCTGGGGATGGAATCCCAGTCCTCAAGCGTGCCAGGCAAGTGCTCGACCACAGAGCCACATCCCCGGCTGTGTTTTACTTTTTATTTTTCTAAAATAGGATCTCACCAAACTGTGCCTTGCCTCAAACTTGCCATCCTCCTGCCTCAGCGTCCTAGGTAGCTGAGGGTAAAGGCATGGGTCACTATGACTGGCAAGGCCAGGGATCTTGCAGAAGTTGAAAACTGGGTCCCCGGAGAGCCCGTGGTGACCAGAAAGCAGCCGGCTTCCCTGGCAGGTGAGGGCGGTGGACAGTGTGCCAGACCCCTCCACAAGCACCTTCCAAGAGCCCGAAGCTGCAGAGCCGGGACAGAAGCAGAAGGGGGAGCTGAGGATTTAATGAGTGCAGTGGAGGATGGAGCAGCCTTGTCTAGAAAAGGGCTGGGATCCAGGGCCGGGGTGCTGCAGGGGCAGAAGCAGGGGTGCTGTGCTAAATCCATTTCCAAAACAACCACAGCACTGAGGAGGGAAACAGTCTCCAAAGTCAACCAACAGCAGAACTCAAATCCTGACCTGAGCCCTGATGGGCAGAACACTGTAGCTCCGCCCGGCCCACTGGGGCTGAGGGACCAAACTCCCCAGGAAGGAAGCACTGGTTTCTTTTTGTTTTGGTTTTGGTACCAGGGATCAAACTCGGAACCTTGCACTTGCGAGGCAGGTGGCGGACTGAGCTAAATCCCCAGCCCCTGGAAGCACTTGCTTTTACAGGGTGACTTAGCCATCCCTGATGTTTGGGTGACCACTTCATTTTTTTGTTTATTCTCTTTTGTATTTTGAGACAGGGTCTCGCTATGTAGCCCGGGCTGGCCTTGGAATCACTGTGCAGCCCAGGCTGGTCTCAAACTCACACAATCCTCCTGCCTCAGCCCCCTGAGTGCTGGGATTACAGGCGTGCACCACCATGCCCAGCTCCCACTTTACCTCTGAAGATTGATTTGAACCTTTCACTTCCTTCTGAAGAGAAACCTTGGGGTTGAGGCTAGCACCCTCCAGTCCTCACACACATGGGCAAAACTGGGGCCAAAGGCTGAGTTACCCCTGCCGCTTTGCGAGCACACCCCATCCTACCCACTCCCCACTGCTCCCCTTCCCTACCAGGCACCCCCCTCACAGACAGCCGGTGGCTGGGCAGCGATGCCTCTCCCCTGCGCCGCTGCCCTTGGTCAGGCTGAGCCCCTCAGTCACGTGGCAGTGTGGTCGGCAGAGAGCCGGGACCCCAGGAGGACCCCGCCTGCCTGTTGCTCTGTCATCCTCCTCTCCACTCCTCTCAGGTGGCCCAGCTCCTTCCCCAGCTTGAGGATCCCCTGGGAGCCCCCCGGGTAGCCCCGAGCCCAGGGACCCAGGGGTGGACGCGGTGCCCTCCCAAGTCCTCCCGCGTCCTCTCAAGCCCCGAACGCCCAGGATGGCTGCTGCTGCACACAGACAGTGTCCCCAGCAGAGCCCCCTCCCCAGGCCTGACCATCGGTGCTGGCTGCAGCCTGGCCCAGGTGCAGGACATCCTGGCCAAGAGCATCGCCAAGCTCCCCGGGGAGAAGACTCGGACACTCCAAGCCCTCGCCAGGGCCCTGCGCAGCCTGGCGGGCCAGCAGATCCGGAACCTGGCGGTATGTCCATCGCGCCCAGCCTGGCTCAGGGCCCAGACCTCACAGGCTGCTGGGTGTGCAGAGTTGCTGCCAGGCCTCAGCAGGCTGAAGCAGGAGCGTTTAAAATTAGCAAATGTCACCAAATGAAGTAGAGTGGCTCAGCAGCCACACAGGTGAGAAAAGGATGCCTCGATTCTATGCATTTCCTGATGAGCTTTTTGAAGCCCTGACTTAGGCTCAGTCTCCACGAACAGAGGTGTAGCGTCTCAGCAAGGAGAGGCTCCCCTACTGTACTGCGTAGCTGCAGCAGGGGAACGGTTGACAGACTGAAGGTGGGCAGCACACGCTGACTCTGCACCCTACGAGGTGCCTTAGGAAGCCATGAGCGGACCTGCTGCTTGGACAGTGCTCTCCAGGGACCCACAAGTCCCGTCCTGGGTCAGGGGCTCCACAGTGGGGACAGCGGCACTGTGACAGGGCGGCCCCGGGAGGCCAAATGCAGCTGGGGTGGGTGGGGAGGGGCTGTTCTCACAGGTGGGGCCCTGGTCTCTCAGGCTCCAGTGGGCAGTCACTGCGGAGGAGGACAGGAGGGCAGGAGCCAGGGACTGGGAGACAGGGCTGGCTCCTCCCTGTGTGGGCAGGAGGTTCCGGATCCCACCTCACAGTGGCCGTGTCGAATCCCTGGGGACCCAGACACGGTGGCGTACGGGGTCTGTGCTGTCGGTGAGGCCGGACCCAGGGAAGACGGCACTGGCGCCCCAGACGCCTTGTGCCCTAGCAGAGCTTCTCTGGCCTCAGTCCTTAGGGGGCCACGTCATGAGCCAGCACAGCTATTCCGACCTGAACCCCATCCTCGCTGTGGGCCGGGCGGCCCTCAACCTTCGGTCAGAAGGTGAGCACTTGAAAATGCACGTGCCCTGTGGCCTGGCTCCTCTTTAGTTCCCATCTTGTTTTGTTCATCTGAGTCTCTTTTGCTGTGCTTTGATCTGGCACATGTTGGGGGACCACTGAGCTGCAGGCTTGGGGCCCTCATCCTAACCCTGTAACCATGGACACCAATGTCCTCAGCTGGACAGGCCTGCAGGGACGACCCACACTGCAGGTGTGAGCCCAGCACCTGTCCCCTGCTGGCCGGTTGAGGGCGCATCCCCTTCTCCATACTGCACATCTGGGCTGAGTCCCACAAGGGACAGGCCTGTGCGGCCCGGACCACTGTGGGGACCAAGACACGAGGCAGAGGGGCAGGGCTCACCCAAGGCGCCCTCCGCCACAGGGCACAGGGCACAGGGGCAGGAAGGCTCCCCAGGACCACACCGGCAGCCCCCGACACCAGGGTGGAAGCCAGGGGCTCCGGGCGCAGGCTCTGAGGGTGGTGCAGTCCCTGACGGGCGCCTCCTGGGCTGCTCGCTGCCTTTGGCCGCAGTCCCTGCTCCCGGGGCCAGGAGAGCACCTCTCCCAGCAGGTGGGAGGAGGTGCACCCCGACCCTGGGTCCCCACCCGGCATGACACCCATACTCCCAGCCCAGCTCCTGGAGCCGAGTGGGCACCATTCTGGCTGCGGCCGCCCTGGGGCCCTGCTCAGAGCCTCTCCACACCCCAGGCACAGCTCTGCTCACAGGGCCCGGGCTCCAGGATCTGGGGGCTTGGCTTTAAAGGTGTCAGTGTCCCCGCTAAGAGGGTGAGGGTCCGAGCGGGGCCCAGGGCAGAGAGACCTGTCATCTGCATTACGCCCGAGCTTGGTGCCCCCCTAGGGTCCTGGTCAGTCCCCCAGGTCGGCTCTGCAGGAAGACGAGGCCCACGCCTGCAGCCTGTGGGCAAAGGGCTGCACTTTGGGGCCTCGGCCTCAGGCCAGAGTCCGGAGCAGACCCGCACGCCCTGGCGGGAGGGGAAGACTGGGCTCCTTGGGGGGCCGATCGTGACTGCAGATGCCATCTCACAGGGGGCGAGAGGGTGATCCCCCTGGACGAGAACTTCCTGGCGGGGGTGGCAAGCGCCGGCCTGCGGCCCGGGGAGATGGTGGAGTCCGTGCACATCCCCCACACCCGGAAGGTTTGAAGCCCGGGCCCTTTCAGTTTTCCCCTCTCCTATAGAGTCCGGTCAGCTTTAGGGGAGAGCCCTGTCTGCCTCATGGACAGCCACTCCGGGTGCGGGGGCTGCTGGGGGCTGCGGGGCGCCCTGCTTCCATGCCCCTGCCTGGCCCGGTTTCTGTCCCCCACACCCTGCCACCCCCAGCCGTCATCAGAAAGCCTCTCCCCGAGGCTGTGCCTGAGTCCCAGATGGGCTTTGCGGGCACACGCGTGAACACACACGCGTGCACACAGACAGAGCAACCTGAGGCCGGCGGCTCTGCACGGAGCAGGTCCCGTGAAGTCGCACTAAAGCTCCTCCGGCTCAGCTCTCCAGAGCACGTCTGGACGGAGCAAGACGAGGCCGAACCCGGCACACCTGAGCCGGGGGCCCAGCTCCGCCCGCCCAGGCGCCCTTGTCCACTGTGGAGAGCTCAGTCTGGCCCCTTTCGGGCTTGCAAAGGGAGCCGTGCGGTTCCTAGGAACCCAGAGCGAGGCCCCTCTCGGCTTCGAAGCCCTGCAGCACCTCCCTGCTCTGCTCTGCTCCAGGAAGGCCCCGGGGCAGCACCTGCACGGAGCTCCTGGGGGTGTCGGCCAGGACGGTCGCTTCCTATCGGCCGGGAGGGAGCCAGGCACCCTGGGGCTGCGCCAGCTGCGCCCTGCGTCTGCCCGTCGTCAGGCGGTGGCTTTGTCTCCACAGTGGGAATTCGTGTCCGGCTTCCGGCAGGCCCAGGCCCCGAAGAACGCCGTGCCGCACGTGAGCGCCGGCCTGCGCGTGCTGTTCAAGGAGGGCACGGACGCCATCGAGGACCTGAGCATCGCCTACGGCGGGGTGGGCGCCACCACAGTCATGGCGCCACGGTCCTGCCAGCAGCTCCTGGGCAGGCGAGCACCGAGCCGCGGGGGCCACGCGGGCTTGGGGGACGTGGGGTGTGGCTGCAGGCCAGGTGGAGACCCGCTGCGGAGCCCGCCCGTTCCCTCCTGGTGACTGGATGTCGCCAGCCGGGCTCCTCCGCAAGGTGGCACCCAGCCTGCGTACGTGGCGCGCGCGCGCGCGGTGACGCTGGCGCCTGGTCTGTCTGGGCAGCTCTGCACCCGCGGTTTGTACCTCCGCGGAGCGGTCTGGGTCCCGCTCTCCTGGGCCCTGGTTGTGGCCCCTGGGCTCCCGTCTTGGTCTAGCGGCTGCCGCGGGCCCCAGCGCCCTTTGAGCAGCTCTCCGCCCCCACCTTCCAGGCACTGGACGGAGGTGACGCTGGACGAGGCCTGCAGGCTGGTGCTGGGCGAGGTCGTCGTCCCCGGCTCGATCCCCGGCGGCCGGGCAGAGTTCAGGAGGACCCTGCTGGTCAGCTTCCTTTTCAGGTTCTACCTGCAGGTTCTGCATGAGCTGAGGACACGCTGGTTTCCCGGGCCCCCGAGCGCCCTGAGCGTGAGTGTGCAGCGCTTCCTAGCGCAGTCCGGGTTCAGGGGTAGTCCGGGGCTGAGACGTTCTGCGCACGCCACTCTCCCGGCTTTGGGGGTCTGCTGACAAACTTTGGGGTTCCCTACAGTGTAGGAGCTTCACCCCATCTCTGCCTTCAATACCCCACCTTACCGTGCCTCCAGTTGTCCCCTTCTTAAGCCCCCAGGCAACTCCCAAGAACCTCATTTTACCTACATTGTCTCTGTGGTAAAACCCTCCCTGTGGGGTGCAGTGGCACATGCCTGTAACCCCAGTTACACAGAAGGCTGAGGCAGGAGAGTTGCAAGTTTGAGACCCTACCTGAAAATAAAAAATAAGAAGGCTGAAGGTGTAGCTCAGTGGTAGAGCACCCTAGGTCCAGTCCTTAGTACAGGGGAAGAGAGGGCAGAAGTCCCCCTCTGAGGTCCCAAGTTAGGGCAGCTTACACACCTGGGAACACCCCACAATCCCAAACCTCTGGCTACACCAGCTGTGAGCCCCAGACTCCCCGGGCCTTCGACAGTCATCCTGGGGGGCCCTGGGTCACCTGTCACCTGTCCTAGTCCGGCTGCAGATGGCTGCTCTGCTCACTCCCCACACTGAACACGCACTTCTGGCCCTAGATGCAGGCCTTTCTTTAACCACCACTGTGTTGAAGCATAGTTTACACCCATTGAATGCACATCATCTGCACACAGGGCAGGCGGCGCTTAGCCTGCCTGGGAACCTCGGCCAAGGGAACTGGTCCCGGCCGTGTCACTGCCCACTGTCGGCAGCCACGTATCCAGTGACACGTAAAATAAAGTTTTATTTCCCAGAATGACCAACACCGAGCTATGTTCTAGGATACCTGTACTCAAGTCTCCTTCTGTATTTCCTGACAGTGAGCTTCTGGAGTAAGCTCGGCAAAGCAGAGCACCAGCTGTCCCTCTCCCCCTCCCAGCAGCGCTTCAGTGGTCACAGCTCACCTACCCTGCCCCGTCCTCAGCCGCCATCCCCTGTCCTGAAACTTCTGGCCGTCCTGGGCTGGGACGGGGACAGCCACGTGTCAGCAACTCCGGTGACTGCCCAGCCTGCCGCTCTCCAGGAGGGCGGGGCCCAGACAGCAATGGGGTTAGCCCTTTGGTGGACAGTGGATGACGACCCTCCACACACATACAGAACACGTGTGCACACAAGCACACACACACGTACAGAACACATACATGAGCACGCACAAGTGCACACCCACACCCTGACTCCCCAGCTGGCCTCTGCCTCCACAGTGACAGCGGCAGACTCCCCCAGTCCTTCCGGGTCCCCACGTGCAGAGAAGGCTGGGGAGGGGCCCCATAACATGGCTCCTGCAGGCAGTGAGGACCGTGGTTCCCCAGACACACGAGCCAAGTCTTTTTCCCCAAGGCAGCCCAGCCAGGGCACTGACCACTTCTCCCCCTGCTGAATGCTCCCTCAGGACAGCTGCTGGTGTCCGAAGCTCCCAGACCAGTTCCTCAGTGCGCTGGAGGACTTCCCAGTCACCGTGCCCCGGGGCTTGCAGACATACCAGGTCAGCGGGTTTCCGTCCCCGGGCCAGGAGTGGACCAGGGACCTCTCAGCCACTGAACAAAGGGCCCGAGGCACCTCCAGTGGAGACGGTGGAGCCCCTTCCCTGCCTCCCCAGTGTGCCAGAAGGCTGGGCCTCCTAGGTGTCAGAACAGCTGGAAGGACAGCTCATGCCGTCACACGCACGCTCTGGAGGGGCCATCCAGCCAGGAGGGCTGGGGCTGGCCAGGCCCCCGGGAGACCACCTCCTGAGCACCTGTGTTCCCCACAGAGTGTGGACCCTCAGCAGCCGTCCCAAGACCCGGTGGGCCGCCCCATCATGCACCTGTCCGGCCTGAAGCATGCCACGGGGGAGGCTGTGTTCTGTGACGACCTCCCCAGGCTGGACAGAGAGCTGTGCATGGCCCTGGTGACAAGCACCAGGCCTCACGCAAAGATCGTGTAAGTATTCGGAGGGCTTCAGAGCCCGGGAGGCGTCCCGGCTCCTCCAGGGCTGCACCCCCTCCCCCTGCAGCGTCCTGAGCCTGAGGACACTGGGAGGTAAGGGTCGTGGACGTGGTGCTGAGGGGAGGGGAGTAACTGGAGATGACACTGAGCCACAAGCACAGCTGTGGCCCGGGGCCTCCCTTCGACCCTCAGAGAACCCTGCCTGGCTGGGGAGCCGTGGGGGCGGGGCTGGCCGAGAGCTCTGGCCAGACAGTGACGTGCTCACCGCACTGCCAGACCTCCGTCTCCCAGGGACTCCCTGCGTCCACTGTCTGCCCTGCACCAGCTCGGGGCCCTGGCCACACCCAGCCATTGCTGGCTCCTCAGGCGCCATCTCCACTGCTGCTTCTCCCTCTTGGGCCCCGGACCCCTGGCTGCTGCTTCCTCAGCCTCTTCCTGTGCCCAGGTCAGTGGACCCGTCCAAGGCCCTCGGGCTCCCCGAGGTGGTCAGTGTGATAACAGCCGAGGACATCCCAGGCACCAACGGCACTGAGGGCGACAGGCTGCTGGCTGTGGATGAGGTGTGTACAAGCCAGGCCTTCCCGGCGACTCCATGGGGACGTGCAGCAGGCGCCCCAGTCCACTGGCACTGCCTCCTGTCCCACAACGTCCGAGTCCCCAGCCAGGGCGAGGCTGGGCCGTGCCTGTGCCCCCAGCGTCCCGTGCATGGCCCTCAGGTGCTGTGTGTGGGCCAGGTCATCTGTGCCGTGGTAGCAGAGACAGACGTGCAGGCGAAGCGAGCAGCTGAAGAGGTCAGGGTCACCTACGAGGACCTGCAGCCCGTCATCTTCAGCATCCAGGTGTGCGGGCTGGCCACTCCCTCCAGCGGCTGCAGAGCCGAGCGCCCCCAGGTCGGCCTCTGCAGCAGGGCCAGGTGGGAGCCACTTCTCCCTTGGTGCTGGTTTGTGTCTCTGGAAGATCTTAGCTCTGTGACTTGCGGTTGCCTTTGGCTTGAAGCCCCAGGGAAATAAACACACAGAGGAGGTCTCTCTCTCCTTCCCGAAGTCTAGATGCTGTCGGCCCGGGGCTCATGCAGTGTCTCGGTCAGTGTGGTGCTGCTCCACAGAACCCCGAGGTGGGGCGATTTATAAGAACCCAGACCTACCCCTCGTGGGTTGGGAGTCCAGGAAATCCAAGGTAGAAGCGCGGCATGTGGGGCACCATCGTCCCTGCATTGCCCCTGAGGAAGCCAAGGGTGTGCACGTTCCTGCCAGCCACGCTCTCCTGACGACAAACCCACCCAGCATCCTCGGCATGGGCCCATCCCTCACACAGGAGCCCTCTCTGCACTGCCTTCACACACACTTCAGAGCCGCCCCCAACCACAGGGGGTGCGTTCTGCAGAAAAGGGATGGCATGAGTCTCTCAGGGTGGAATTTATGGTTTGGGTCTGGCATCCCCGGAAGCTGTGAGTGATCACAGATGGGGTCCACAGCTGCCACACTGTGAGGACTGTCTGTGAGGCTGGAAGAGGCGGCCACTGGCGGCGTGGCTTGGCTGCCTGTATTCCTGCCCAGCTCCGCCCCCGGCTCTGCCCCACACCAGCCAGGAGCAGCCCTGCTCTGCCCAGCCCTCCTGCAGCCCTCTGCCCTGCCATGGACCCAGCCACTCTGGACCAGAGCCTCCACAAACTGTGAGCTGAATGAGGCCCTCCTCCCTCAAGGCGCAGGTGCTGTGTGCCAGAGGCAGAGAAAGCGGTGTAGACACGGCGTGCAGTTCTGGGTGTCGGGACCCAGCCTCTGTCTGGCCGATTCTGCATCATGCGTGGTTCCCAGGTCACAACTTGGGCCACAGTTATAGGGAAGGGGACATTACCAGGACCTCTGCTGTGTGTCCTGGTCTTCGAGCCACCACAGCACAAGGTGAATTCAAGGACAGACAGAAACGAGACTTAGAGTGGAGAGGCTGAGTCTCGGGTCCTGGTCAGCGCTGCTAATGGCAGCAAACACAAGGCCCCCGAGCACATCCAGTGTTTATTGACTACAGTCGTGGGAGGAATAGGCAGCAGGGGAGCTTAGAAGGCACCTAGTGAGACGCTGCCGAACACCTGGCACAACGGCGCCAGGCCGGGCTGTCAGGGAATCGGCACTGCTGATCTTGCTTGGATGGAACAGACCTGTACTGGGACCGGGTGCAATGAGAAGCAACCCATCGGGTCCGTGAGAAGCCATGATCCAGGGGAAAGGGTTTTAATTGGGGTCACGCCAACCTCAGCTGCACTAACTCAGCAGCGCCCTGCACTTCACAGACCAGGGCCTGGGTCTCCGTCCAGCCATCGAGGGAGGGGCTGTGCTTGCCCAGTCCGCTTCTGACACGCGCATTGAGTCACATAGAGCTTCGGTCTGAGTCCCGATGTAAAACAACACAGCTGAATTATAGACAGCAAGCAGCAGGTGCCTCTCATGGCCCGCTAGTACCGGGCAGGGATGTCTGCTTCACATAGTGACGATGTCTCAGGCACTTCCTGTCACCGAGACAAAACACCCAACACCACGGCCCAGGGATTTAGCTCAGTGGTTCCTCTGCCTGCCCCACAAGCACAAGGACCCCAGTTCAATCCCCCGTACCAAAAAAATCCCAAAAAAACAAAACACCCAGCACCACAGCTGAAAGAGGTTTATTTTGGCTCACGGTTTTCAGAAGACTCCGTCCGTGGTTGGCTCCAGGGCAGAAAGCAGCACAGCAGAGGGGCCTCACCCCAGGGCCACAGGAAGCAGAGGGGGAAAGGACCCGACCTTTTCTCATTGGCCTTTCCCTAGCCCTCCCTGGGGCTCTCTGCAATCTAGAAGACTCTCCCTCTAGCCTTCAGTGCTCCCCTGCCCGCTCCAGACCGTGACGTGGGGGAGTCTGAAACTTTGCTAGAACAAACCTCCCATGGTGAAACTGGCTTGTCCTCCCCATTACGCAGGATGCCATAAAGCACAGCTCCTTCCTGTGCCCTGAGAAGAAGCTGGAACAGGGAAGCATTGAGGAGGCGTTTGCAAAAGTGGACCAAGTCCTGGAAGGTGAGCACCTTGGGGCCTTCACGGACTGAAGCCACCACGAGCATGTCAGCCCTGCACTCAGGGTCTGGCCACATCTACCGCTCTTCTGCTTGTGCGTGCACAAGTGTGTGTGTTCATGCGTGCTTGTGTTTGGGAGTGAAGGGAGCCGCGGAACAAAGACCCTGGTGAGTCTGGGGCAGGGCAGGAGCAGAACCTTTCAGAGATGTGGTTTCTGACGCCGTCACCTGCAGGGCTCCTTGGAGGGGACACTTGTGGCCCCGAGCCCATGATGGTGGCTTCCAGCCCACAGCCCTGGGCCTTCCTGTGCTTGGCTCACAGGAGAGGTGCATGTCGGGGGTCAGGAGCACTTCTACATGGAGACGCAGAGGGTGCTTGTTGTTCCCAAGGCTGAGGACCGAGAGCTGGACATCTACGTGTCCACCCAGGACCCTGCCCACGTGCAGGTGAGCGAGCTCAGAGGACCACCCTCAGCCCCACTGGAGCTGTCTCACTGCAGAAATGCAGAGGAAAGCGCTGAGCGTGTGTAAGGCGGCCAGACCCCAGAGCCTTTTAATTTTTCCTGGTCTGGCCAAGTAATAAAAAGCAGCCTGGTCCCTTTGGATTTGAGCCAACTTCCTTCCGTCAGGCTTGGGCTCAACTCGGGCCGGGCGCTGTGCTGTGCTCTCTTGCGCTTGTCATCTTTGAGGACGAGGACGCATTTCCAGGCAGCTCCTCGCCTTGCAGCACCTTCCGCTGCCGGCCGCCGCCCGGCCTGAGTCTGAGCTGCACACGGATCCTCCTTTGTCGCCCGCCGGGATTCGGGCCCAGGCGTTAGGCGGGGAGTCGTCCCGCAGCCGCCCCTGTGAGCCGCTTTCTGCCGGCAGAGCCGCTGGGGAGACAGAACGCGCTGCCTCCACTCACGAGCCTTCCCTGACCTCACTTTCCCAGAAAACAGCGGCCTCGACCCTGAACGTCCCGCTCAGCCGGGTCACCTGCCACGTGAAGCGCGTGGGCGGAGGCTTCGGGGGCAAGGTGGGGAGGCCAGCCACGCTCGGGGCCATCGCCGCGGTGGGCGCAGTCAAGTGAGTCGCGGGGCCAGTGCGCCCACGGCCTCGGCCGCAGCACCAGAGCGACACTGCCGTCGCTGCTCGTCGGGGATCGTGGGCGCCGACGCCCACCCCTGCCCGCGCTGCCAGCCCTTCCGCAAGTCACGCTGAGATGCCACGGCGAACACGCCGAGACCCATCAGTAGAAAGCGCTGCCGTGTCCCTCGCACCCGGCACTCGGGGGAGGGAGCTGTGGCCCGCCGGCCGGCTGCCCAGGGAGAGAAGGCCCCAGCTCGGGCCCTGCACAGCCAGCGAGGCGCGCCCCATCCAGGAAGGGCCCCGGCTTCCGGCACGCGCGCCCGGGCACTGGCCTCACTGTCACTCGGCCGCCTGCTGCGGGTTCTCTCAGGCCCCGGGCGCTGCCTCCTTGGGGAGCCCAGCGGGGCTCAGAGCCATCTGCTCAACCCCGGGACCCGGGTGGGGCTCAGACGCGGCCTCACCTGGAGTCCCGCCCAGAGCCAGGGCCGCCCACTGCCGCCGCCTCTGTGCACTGAACCCGCTGGGGTCTACTTCACCCCAAGCCTGGGACTGACAGCCCTGAGCGACCGGAGCATTGTCCCCACCTCAGAATCGGGGCCCGGATGCTCCGCCTCCGTGGCAGACGCTTGCCCTGGTGCTTGGCCCCCAGCACCAACAAACAAGTACACTTTTAAAGGCATGAAAGATGGCTGGGGTGAGCTCAGTGGCAGAGCACCTGCCTAGCAAGGGGGGGGGGGGGAGGCAGCCCCCATCCCCGCCGAGCAGAGCACTGCGTGCACTCCCTTCGCGTCTCACCCTCGCCTCCTCCTAGCCAGTGGGGTGAGCTCAGCGGCTGGACCTGGCGGAGGTGGAGCAGGCGCCACCGCGGCCTGAGAGGTCTCCAGCTGCTGAGTCTCACACACACACACACACACACACACACACACACACACTCTCTCTCTCCACCCCAACCCTGCGCCTCGCCCCGCCTGGTGCAGGGTGACCGCGTAGGGGAGTGGGCAGGTGGGCTGCGGGGCAGGAGGCTGGGCTGCGGCTGCTGCGGGTGGCCGGGTAATGGGCGGGGCGCGTGTGAGCGGGGGCAGATCGCCCCACAGTGGCGTGGCAGACGGGTGGTGGCCTACGGAGAGGGTCAGAGAGTCTGGCTAAGACTTGTCTTCTTTAGAACTGGCCGTCCTGTTCGTCTCGTCCTTGATCGTGAAGAGGATATGTTAATAACTGGGGGAAGGCACCCACTATTCGGAAAATATAAAGTGAGTATTAAGATAAAGGTATTACAGCCGGGTGTGGTGGCGCATGCCTGTGATTCCACCGTTAGGGAGGCTGAGGCAGGGGGATTACCACTAGTTCGAGGCCAGCCTGGGCCACATAGTGAGTTCAAGATCAGCCTGAACTATGCAGCAAGACCCTGTTTCAAAAAGGTAAAAAAAATTATTAAAGTACTTCATCTTATTTCAGTGGCTTTACCCTTTTCCATTATTTTGATTTTGTTAAATTCTAAAAGCATGGTAGCACCTCAAATATTAAATAAAGATGCTGTGTGTTAGAATATTCATAACATTTTATGATAAACTTTTAATCTAGTATATAATCATGCAAATGTTTACTGATGAAAATTCAAATTGAAGTAATAATAAAAGCACTGCTCAAAGGCATGAGGATTTAAATTACTGGTTCCTCAAAGACAAAAAAACTAAAAGAATTTACATTGTCATACCAAAATTTCTCCACTAGAAAATTTTTTTTTTTGAGATGCTCTCACTATGTAGCCCCGGCTGGTCTTCAACCCACAGCGATCCTCCTGCCTCAGACCCCCCAGTGCTGGAATCACAGGCGTGCACCACCAAACTCAGCCCTAAAAATATTATTTAGTAGTACAGATGTTTGGAAATAATACTACCACTTACTGCAAATCACTTTTTTTTTTTGGTACCGGGGATCGAACTCGGGTCCTTGTGCTTGTGGGGCAGGCGGCAGAATCACTGAGCTAAATCCCTGGCCCTGCAAATCACTTTTTATAAAATTTCCCACTGTGTGATTGTGAAAGTGTCATAAGATCTCACTGCAAACGGGAAAAAGACTCCAGTAACGAGTGAGCTTGAGCTTTCTCCAGACCACATCACATCCGCCACACTTCCACACCACCAGGTGTGAACGCTGCTCGCATCTCGCGTGCCTGCCACCTTCGGGTGACAGCGCAGCTCTGCAGGCATCAGGGCTGGAGGCTGCATTCCGCTCAGGGACCGCATGTGTGGCACATGCTCAGGCCCCTCTGGGCCTTTGTCACCGCCTCTCGGACCTGAGCCCAGCTCCCCTGCCCTGGGCTCAGGAACCTCTACGATCAGGGAGAGCAGCTGCACTGGCCACTCCTCGCTCCGCTTCACTTCAAGGCACAGAAACCGACAGTCACAGCCACCCTGCCTCCCGGCCAATGGCAGCCTCAAAGCCAGGGCCACTGTGGTTGCCACGTCCTTCGGTCTTGGCCTGGATCATGAGTTATGCTTTCTGCCACAGTCATGAGACCATTTCAGTAATAACAGTGAGAATGTTCCAGACCCGGTATGGTGGTGCACACCTGCGACCCCAGCACTCAGGAGGCTGAGGCAGGAGGATTGCTGAGTTCAAGGCCAGCCTGGGCTGCACAGTGAGTTCAAGGGCAGCCTGACTGAACTGCATAGTAAAACCCTTTCTCCAAAACAATGTTCTAGATTGTTAATATTTTGATAATTATCATAATATGAAATAAAACTAAAAAGAGAGAAGTAGACCTCAGCAAATGTCCAAGTTCGATAGCGTTTTTAAAGAAATAGCCATATTTCAGGTACCTGCCTGTTATCCCAGCAATCTGGAAGGCTAAGGAAGAAGGTCACAAGTTCAAGCCCAGACTGGACATTTAGTGACTTAGGGAAACCCTACCTCAAAATAAAAATTTTTATTAAAATGTTAAAGGTCTGGGGATGTAGCTCAGTGCCAAGGCCTTGGGTCCAACCCCAGCACTAAAACAATGCATTTAAGAACAGTGCCTCAGTTCATGAGCTCAGCTCGGTCCACTGTTCTGGGAAGATGCTGTGCTCGTGTTTGTCACCCCACGAGGAGTTCGCCCAGAAGCAAAATTCTGCCAAATACTTGTTTGCAAACCGAATCATTTGCAAACTGCTCGTGAACCGAAGTATTATATCTATGTGTGTTTGTTTCACTTCCTATCCCCACCAGGGAGCATGCGTGTCCTCATGCACACATGCTGACACAGCTTTTCTGGCTCCTAGACTGTCAGCACAGTGGACACGTGTGTGAAAGGCTTTCTCAGAGCCCTGTGCAGCTCACACAGGAGCCAACGGCCCCACCCTGCCTGTGCCCCTCGTGGCGCCCTCTCCTCTAGCAGCAGACTTTGCCAGGCTGATGCTGTGTGGGAGGAGCCACAGCCGGAGTCTGCAACAATGAGGGGTCTCCCGAGAATGAGGAGACCAAGGGACTGCGTATGAGGGACAGGCCAGGGCGCCAGGGCACTGCCAGCCTGCAGCCAGTGACCCACAGAAGCCAGGCAGGCTGGACCCGCAGTGGGCAGCTCTGCTCCCTGTGACAGTGAGACCCCTCTTTGTGCCAGGTGGGCTTTGCGAACAGCGGACGGATCAAAGCGCTGGACATCGAGTGCTACATTAATGGGGGCTGCACGCTGGACGACTCCGAGCTGGTAGGTGCCAGGGCCGTGGGTGACGCCTCAGTGTCCCGGGGCTTCTCTTATCTGAGAACCCAGAGTCTAAACAAAGAGCAAAAGGAAACAGGAACAGGCGGACAGAGCCATTGCACATGGGAAAGGACCAAGAGGGAAGGGGGAGAAAGAGGCACAGAGAGAATTCAGATTGCTGGGCGCAGTGCCAGCCCCTGGGGAGGCATCATGTGCACCGCAAACACAGGTAGGAAGAGAAGCCAGCCATGTGTGAGGGGCGCAGAAGCCCAGGGAGGCTTAGGAAGCGGCTCCTGGAGCAGCTGACCCCTTCCCACCTGGTGACTCGGGACTTCTAGAGAAGGGGTGGAATCTGACATACGTGCATGTCCATCTCCTCTGCTACAGGTCACAGAATTTCTCATACTAAAACTGGAAAATGCATACAAAATCCGAAACCTCAGGTTCCGGGGCCGGGCGTGCAGGACGAATTTACCGTCCAATACAGCATTCCGTGGGTTTGGCTTCCCGCAAGGAGCCCTGGTAACAGAGTCGTGCATCACAGCCGTGGCAGCCAAGTGCGGCCTTCCGCCAGAGAAGGTAGGGTGGGACCCAGGCTCAGGGCGCACGCCCGTCATCCCAGCACTCCAGGAGGCTGAGGCAGGAGGGTTGCAAGTTCAAGTCCAGGGTAGTGACTTAGCCAGACCCTGTCTCAAAGTTAAAAATATATAAAGGGCTGGGGATGTAGCTCAGTTCAATCCCCAATACTGAGAAAAAAGGGAGAGAGGAAAAAAAAGACAGAAAAGGGAAGATTGTAATCAAGGCCATGACCAAGGCTAGTGAAGAATCAGACAAGGCAAAGGCCACACAGAACCCTAGCGGGGTACAGGCAGGCCTGGCCCCAAGCCCACTAGACATTCCCAGCTGCTTGGAGAGCTCTCTGCCCGCCTTACTCCCTCTCTCATTGTGCCATAATTTTCCTTTTCTTTGTTAGTTTATAAACAAATAATTGCTTCTTTTAAAAATCCAAGTTGTACTGGTGGAACGGAAGTGCAGCTGAATCTCCCCTTTTCGCTACCATCCTGTTGGGCAGGAGTAACACTGGTAGCATTTCCACACATCTTATTCCACCTTTTCTCTTTTCCCCCTTTTTACAGCCCTGGGGATAAACCCAAAGCCTCCTGCCTGCTAGGCAAATACTCTTCCCCTGAGCTCCATCCCCAGCCCTTTTTTATTTTTTCACGTTTTGGGGATCAAACTCTGACCTTTCCCTTGCCAGGCAGGTGCGGCACCACTGAACTAAACCCCCAGCCCTCCTTTTTATTTTTTATTTTGAGACAGGGTCTTGCTAAATTTCCCACACAGGTGAAAACTTGCTATTCTGCCTCAGCCTCCTGAGTAGCTGGGATTACAAGCATGTGCCACCCGCTTCACTATCTTTGCTGGCCCTTTAGTCACACACATGTGTGTAAATACCGACATGCAGTGCACATGTGTGCCTGCATAGTCGTCCCCAAAATGGATGAAAAACAACCAGGTTGTGGTTGTGCCCAGAGCTGTCTGTCCAGAGAAGGGAAGCATCTCTCGCCCAACGCTGCCTGGGACGAGGGCCAGGCTCCCCTAACCGCTGACGGCTCCCCCGGCCAGGTCAGGGAGAAGAACATGTACTGGGCGGTGGACAAGACCATCTACCAGCAGGCGTTCAACCCCGAGCCCCTGGGCCGCTGCTGGGCTGAGTGCCTGTCCCGGGCCAACCTCAAGGCCCGGCGGGCGCAGGCTGACGCCTTCAACCAGCAGAGCCACTGGAGGAAGCGGGGCATCGCTGCCGTGCCCATGAAGTTCTCGGTCGGCTTCGCGGCCACCAGCTTCCACCAGGTGCGTCCCTCTCGAGGTGCTGTGGCTCGCAGGACGGCAGAAGGGAGTCCCCATTCCACAGGGCCGAGCCCTCCTGCCCTGCCAAGCCTCACTCGGGCCCAGGGCCGGGGCAGCGGGCGGCCCCTGGCCGTGACCCCTCCAGCGCCTGACCACTGGGCGTCCAGCCCCTCTCCTGGAGCTGGGAGGCGACAATGGGGCTCGGAGATGCTGCCAGGTGCATTTGCTGAGGGAGGAGGGAGGGAGCGTGCAGCAGGGCCCCAGGCACCCCAGGACAGCCACAGGCCGGGCCCAAGCCCCGGAGGTCCTGCTGGAGGAGTCGTGCAGGCGGCCGGACCCCAAGTCCAAACCATGGCGGGGCTCTGGCCGAACGAGCTGTGTGCTGAGGGTTGGCTCCCGGGTGCAGCCGACAGGCAGCTCCAACACCACCCACCCCACACACACGCAGACACGCACGGACACACGCACACACAGACACACACGCGGACACGCATGGACACGCAGGGACACACACAGACAGACACACACAGACGCACACGCGCAACCGAAAGCCATCCAGGCCCGAGCGTGCCCTCAGGCGCCGCAGGGTCAGTGTGTCCCAGGACCAGCGAGGCCCCGCTGCGGAGAAGAGCCCCAGTTGCGGCCCCATTGGGCCTCTGCCCCCGCACTGCCCCTAACTGGGCCCCTCTCACCTCCACGCCCGCTGCCATGGCTCCAGGTGTCACCCAAAGGCCCGGCAGCCCCACCTGGCTCTCGGGGGAGTCTCCAGGCCTCAGGGCCATCGCCCCCTCACTGGATGAGCAGTCACCTTGGGATGGGGCACCTGGGGCCCCAGTGCAGGCTCCTGGGGGCTTCCAATGCCATCTGCACAAAGCAGATGAAGTCAGAATCTTACCGAAGAACCCGGCCCCTCTGTTCCACCCTGGCTTGGTGTCTTCCCTCGGGATGGGACCCAGGGTCTGGCGCTAAGCCATGGCCCTAGTCTGTCTGTTTGTCTGTTTGTTTTAGAGACAGGGTCTTGCTAAATTGCTGTGTTGCCCAGCTGGTCTTGAACTTGTGACCCTGCTGCCTCAGCCTCCCAGAGAGTGGGAAGGACAGGATGCCCCAGCTCGTTTCTCCTCGGAGCCCCTACAGTGCATTCACCCTGAGCGGCACCCCGGGCTGTCTTGCAGGCAGCAGCACTGGTGCACATCTACACAGACGGCTCTGTGCTGGTCACCCACGGTGGGAACGAGCTGGGACAGGGGATCCACACCAAGATGCTCCAGGTACAGGGGCCTCCAGCATGGGGTCCTCCTGCCTCGGCCCCCAGAGTGCTGAGATTGCACCCCCTGAGACTCATCTTTTAGGGCAAATGATGACCCTCAGCATTCAGACTCTAACGCCCTTCCATGTAAAACACAGCAGCTGAGGTGGCGGGGGCCCACAGGCACCAGGCCAGGCTCCACATTGGAGGGCTCAGCAGGGCTGACCTGCTAGGGAGCCGGAGTTACGAGGCTCTCGGCTGCTCTGTCCTGAGCCCCGAAGGTCTGACCCAGTTTTCCGCAGCAAGGCTAGGCTGCAGGTGTTTCCCCTCAACCGGGAAGGGCGGGTGTTTCCCAGCCGCCCCATCCTGGGAGCTGCAGAGGACACTTCAGCACACAGGATGCAGAGCAGGGAGAAAAGTCTTTCAGCTCCATGCAGAGATGTCCGGTCATGACCACCTCATCCACATGGCCCGAGGGCTCCTCAGCTCCAGGCCCCCCACTCGGGGCTAGGCTCAGACCCTGCCTCGGCAGTCAGTGTCCCTGTCTGAGCACAGCTATGGACCTGAGAGAGGAGCAAGCTGTCCCTGCAGCTTTGAAGGGTCTGTGCTGTCGGCCAAGGTCACAGCAAGTCTGTGCCAAGCACTGATCCTGGCCACCGCGGTAAAGAATGCGGCCAGCTGAATGAGGACCCTGCTGAGACCGTGAAGCGCCTGGATAGAGCCGAACCTGACCCCGACTCCTCAGTTATGTGTGCCAATCCATTCCTTTTGGGTTTTCGTCTCTAAGAAACAAGGACATTGTCCCCCACCCCTTTTTTAATGTTGCATCTGTCTGGGCAGAGTCAGTGTTTAAAGGTATTGGAACACTAGCCCTCAAGGGCAGGAACTGGAATGTAGCTTCCAACACCCGGAGAAGGGCTTTTTGCAAAACCTAAAAGATGACAACAGCCAGGCTAACACTTTTTTCTTTCCTCCCCTCTTTCCCATTCATTTCTTTCCATTTCTTTTTTATTAAATATCTTAATTTCTACATGTTTACTAGAGAAACTGGAATAATAGCTGGGTGTGGTGTGCATGCCTGTGATCCCAGCTACTAGGGAGCCTGAGGCAGGAGATTGCAAGGTCAAGGGTAAACTGGGCAATTTAGTGAGACCGTGTCTCAAAATAGGAAGGAAGGAAGGAAGGGGAAGGAAGGAAGGGTATGTAGGGAGAGAGCAAGTAGAAGAAAAAGAAGAGAAAATTTAAAACTGAGCTGGGCATGGTGGCTCACACCTGTGATCCCAGCACTCAGGAGGCTGAGGCAGGAGGATCACTGCGAGTTCCAGGCCAGCCTGGGCTACATGGTGAGTTCAGGGCCAACCTGAATTACAAAAGGAGACCCTGCCTCAAAAAAATAAAAATAAAACGAATAGCAAATACTGGAGGAATATGAGCAAATGGGAGCAAATAGAAGAAAAAGAGGAAGAAACTAAAGTTGAGATGAGGTCAAGAAAGAAGTTGGGATCATTCCAAATTCTTCCAAAACAGAAAACACAGGTGTCAGGCTGGAGATTTAGCTCAGTGGTGCTGCTGCCTGCCTCACAAGTGCAAGGTCCCGAATTCTCCCCGGTACCAAAAAGAGAAAACACAGGTTTCAGACCACACTGAGTTGGCCGAGCAGCCCAATGCATCAGTCTCTCTCTGCCTCTCTCCGTCTCCCTCTGTCTGTCCCTCTGACTACGCCCCTGAAGCCTCCCTGGCCTGTCCCTGTTACCTGTAACCTGCAATACCCTGACCCTCACGTGGTGCCCTTGGAGCGAGCGGGAGGACACTCCTCAGCCCAGCGCGAGGCCTGCTGAAGAGCAGCTCAGGTGTTTGGACAGCACAGTGTCTGAGGCTCCAAAGGCAACCACAGAAGTGACGTTGAACCCAGCGTTTCTTATGACAGTGATGACCTCACCCTCCCCAGAGCGCGTGCGTGACCTCACTTCCTCCCGCAGGTGGCCAGCCGTGAGCTTCGGGTCCCCATGTCCCGGCTGCACATCCAGGAGACCAGCACGGCGACCGTGCCGAACACCGTGGCCACCGCCGCATCCATCGGCGCTGATGTCAACGGCAGGGCTGTGCAGGTGACTGCTGGTCTGTCTGTCCTGCCACACTCGGTTGCCATCAGACGTGGGGCACCTCGGGCAGGAGGTGGCTGTGTCTGAGCCAGTGCCCTGTGGGGAGGGGGTCACGGGTGGGCGACACAGAGCAAACACACCCTGGGGTCAGGGCTCCGCCCAGCACCAGCCACCCAGAGGAGCCTGACGTCAGCACCCAGGCGGGTGTCTCGTGGTCCTCAGAGTCCATCCCTTGGAGCATGGAGGAGCCCCGAGCAAGTGGCGTGGGCACCTGCACTGCGGACCCCTGGCAGGTGCATCCTGCCACAGACCAGCTGCAGTCGATGTAGGGTAGGAAGGGGAGATGTCCTGGGACGGCGATGAGAAAGAACCTCCAGAAGCAATGTCCAGGTTCCCTCTGAGCAAGTCTCAGGGTCTGATTTATTTTATATCTCTTACAATAGCTGGGGGGCATTGGGCGGAACACGTTTACATTTTAAGCAGTATTAGCAATTTCCATTGAAGTAAAGGTTATTTTCTTGTTAGACAAAGTACATTTCCTCTAAGCTATTTCATTTCTTGGAACCTCATGAACACATACCCAGAAAATTACAGTTGTCCCCTTATTTACCCATATCTAAATAGAACAGAAAGTAAAACTTAATCTAGATCTTTATATCAGCGGGGGTTCAAGCAAGATTTAATCAGCTAAGTGCCAGACATGTGGTCGCCAGCTGGCCCTTGAGAAACTGCACAGTGGTTAATATAGTTTGCTATTAGCTCTCTATTTTTTCTTTACCTCTTTTCATCTTAACTAAAAGTCATTCAGGGTCATAGACTATGAGCGGGTGATATTTACAGCACTTTGAGATATGTTGATTAAGTTGTCTCTTTAATGCATTTACCGGTCTAGGGGGAAGACAACGAGGGGTAGCACGTCTTAATCTGTCCAAGAAGGATAAATCTCAGTAGCGAGTCCATTTTCCATTTACATTTACTATCCTTTCTCCATCTATGTAGGCCCCTGTGTAGGGTAATGGGGGGTCAGTGGGACCACTAAGTGGTCCCATCAAAGCTTCATAATGTTCTTTCTTTTTCCCATTTCCCACTATCTCTCTCATCCAAAGTCTGTCTTTCCAATCTTTTTGTAAGACCCCTTTAGTAGACAGAATGTCAAAAATAGGAGGGGGAGTCATAGTAGTGGGAGAAACAGAGGGGGTTTTAGGAGAAGTTTCTTTAGAAGTGGATGTGGTAATAGAGCTAAGAGTAACCGGAATTTGGGACTTTCGAGCCAGATCAGATTTCAATGTATCATTACCAATTTGCCTCAGGGAGAGTTTGTTTTTAGTCACAAGCACAATGACTCCTGTGATCAGAGTAACAGTTATAAACATTATGGCTAGAAAAAATAAAACATGAGGGTACGATGTGTTCCACCCTTTCTTTCCTCCAGCTGGAACTTTGTCAAGCAGCAATGGAGGTCTGTTGAGCTTCGCCAGCATCCCACATGGGATCCCCTGCGCAGGGCGGGAGGCAGCCTGGTGGGGACCAGTGCCGGCCTCTGTGCAAGAGGGTGCTGATTGCGATTGGCAGGAGCCTGATCCAGCGACCAGAGGGACACCAGGCCCCCCCCAAGTGGGGTGCATGTGGGCAGTGTCACCTCCAGCCAGTTCTGCTGGGCACCCAGTGCTTTCCTCTATTCTTGTTTTCTAATCGCTGGTTTTAAAGAGCACTGGCAAGGCATGGTGATGCACACCTGTAACCGCTGCACTTGGGAGGCTGAGGTAGGAGGGCTGCCGGGATCTCCAGACCCTCCTGGACTACAAAGCCAGACCCTGTCTCAAAACAAAACAAAACAAAGCAATGTAAAGCAGGGCTGGGGATTTGGCTCAGTGGTTTCGCCGCCTGCTGCGCAAGCGTAAGGACCTGAGTTCGATCCCCGGTACCAAAAAAAAAACACAAAGCAAAGCAAAGCACTACAGTTTCACTGCCTCAGAATGGAATCACAGCTTCACAGCCCTTCATTCGGAGGTCCGACTGCACCTGGCTCTGAGGTGACGTCCATATGTACCTTCGGGCTCCGCCATGGGGACCCTAGAATTCTCAGCCCCCCCACCGGATGCCGCCAGACGAGCCGCTCCGCACATCTTACCTATGTGGGGCACTGCCTGGGCCTGACAGCAGACACTTTCTGGCTCAGAACAAATGTGTGGAGACCTTGAATTTGCACGTCCAGTGTGGAGTCAGATCAAGCTTGAGAGTTTCGGCCCAGTGTGTGTGCGCACAGCTGTTCCCAGACTACATGTTAATCCATCTTCGGGCTGGGGATTTAGCTCAGTGGTTCCAGCACCTGCCTCGCAAGGGCGAGGTCCCGAGTTCGATCCCTGGTACAAAAAAAAAAAAAATGTTAATCCATCTTCAGGGCCAAGATCTAGGATCTAACCCTGTGGATCTAGGTTATTGTTGAGAGAATTTATTTTCTCATTTCAACCCCAAAACCTGGCCCTCGACATAATAGTTTTTTTGTTTTTGGTTTTTTTTGGTACCAGGGATCGAACTCAGGACCTTGGGCTTGGGAGGCAGGCACCATGCCACTGAGCTCTAATCCCCGGCCCTCGACATGGTAGTTTGATGGTAGGTGGACAGAGTACGGGCAGGAACTGCATGTGTCGGACATGGGCTGTCATTGCTGCAGGATGCAAAGCACAAGTCTGAATGAAAATAGGTGCTTATTCCAGTTATTTTAGTGTCTGGAAATACAAAAGAAGGCATAGATCCAAGATGTGAAAAAGAGGAAAAGAAGGGCCTGATGGAGAATCTGAGCATTCCGTAAACTCCTGACTTGGAAGGCAGTGAGCCAGGAGGACCCTGCAGTCACCCTGCCCTGAAGCAGGGCTGTGTGACTGTCCTCTACCCGTCTGGCAGGAGCAGCACGACGTGAGGCACACTGGCCCAATCCGTGAGCAGCAGTGTTCTCTTGCATATTCTTCCACGTTCTTTTCTAATGTGGATTCTCTTTATTTCTTCAAGAACGCCTGTCAGACCCTCCTGAAGCGCCTTGAACCCATCATTAAGAAAAATTCAGAAGGCACCTGGGAAGACTGGGTGAGTATCTCCACCATTTGTCACTGTGAATAAGGAAACAACCCAAGCAGTGTAAGGGGAGTGTCACAGCAGGGCACAGCCACCCCTCGGAGAGGCAGCTTCCTTGAGCCTCCCACAGGGAGACAGCACGCTTCTTTCCTGCTGAGTGGGCTCCTGCAAAAGGGCTGGATGGCCAGAGTTGAGAAGGCTACTCCAGGATGTATTCCAAGTAAGCAAGGAGAGATCACACAGGAAATAGCAGGCACAAGAAGAGGAAGGGAAATGTATGAAGCACACCCAGGAGACTTCACACCCTCTGCTGTAGTAGGAAAAAAGAAGAAAAGACTGAGTCTCCCCAAGCCCATGTAGCATCGATGCTCTCGGCAGGGACAAGGAAAATGAGAAAGCCTAGTGGCTCTTGATGTGTCTCAAGGGAAAGGACTCAGTCCAACCCCACAGCATCCCACATCTGTCTCATGAGAACAGCTGTTCTGCATTTACACACGCTCGTTTTTAACACTTAGAAATGATGCTCCACCTGATTGGTGAGCTTTGCACACCCGTGGGTGTGCAGCAGGATTCTGCTTTACACTTGTTCGATCCAGACTGTAACTCATTAGGAGACTATCGGCCGGCCGGCCTGCCAAAGAAGAAACTGTTACGATGAGCAGCTGTTGGTGGCAAAACCCCAGCAGCAATGACTGGATGTTGATGTTGAGATGTGGAATGTGCCCATCTTCACCTATCAGATGGTGTGTTTACTTCAATTTTACTATGTTCATTCTGCAGATAGACGCAGCATTTGAACAAAGAATCAGTCTCTCAGCCACTGGATACTTTAGGTAAAAATTAAAATATCTAAGCCAGGAGTGTTGGGGCACACCTGTAATCCCAACACTTTGGGAGGCTGAGGTGGGAGAATTACAAGTTCTAGTCCCACCTGGGCAATTTAGCGAGACCTTGTCTCAAAGTAAAAAAATTTATAAGGGAGGGGAGGTTTGGGGATGTAACTCAGCATCTCTGGGTTTGATCCCTAGTATGGAAAAAAAATCTTGACTTAGCTGAGAAAATATGCTGTGACTCAATTGCTCTGGCCCTAAGTTCTTTCTTTGTAAATAAGATTTTATTATATAATTCCTGAGGTCTCTTCTAGGCCCAAATTTGTGTGACTTCACGTAGGCCTCTGAGTTATGTCTCAGTAAATATTAAGCAATAAAAATACTGATGTTGGGCTAAGAAACACTGACTTGGGTCAGGGATTTAGCTCAGATTTAGGTTCCGGGGCCTGCCTTGCAAGCACAAGGTTCCGAGTTCGATCCCCGGTACCAAAACAAACAAACACTGACTTATCTAGTCATCGTTTACTGTTCTTTATTACAAGTAGTAGGAAGTTTTACCATCAGAAATAGCGTAAACTCTTAACTCAGATCTCCCGTGCTCTATTGGTAGGCCTTTGTCTTTGGGGCAGGAGCCGGTTCAATCGCTCACTGTCTGTGTAGTTTAGGGCGGCTCTCAGTACATATGTGTTCATGGCGTAGAGCAAAGAGCTGACTGTCAAAGTCCAGAAGTGGCCGGGGTTACTTTTATACTGTGATGGAACAAGCCCCAAACTACGCATGCGCAGTACACCGGAAGAGCAAAGCGCGCGTCACAGGAGAGGAGGGGTGATGCGGCAGCTCAGAGTGAGCTCGGGACTCCGAACTTGCTCGCCCGAGCAGAGGGCCGCAGCTCTGGGCTGAGCACATCTTCCGGTCCCAGCGGCAGTGACCTGGCCTCTCCTCCCAGCCGTGGGTCACCTCCACCCAAGGCTTCAGCCGGTCTGGCCCACGGGGTCCCTCCAGAGCCCTTGATCAAAACGGCCGTGTTTTCCGTGTCTGGATCGGACCGGGGTACAGCCAGAACTCCGGACCATCCGTGCTGGCGAGCTGGGCCCACCCCCCGCTGGCTTCTCCAGCACAGAAAGCATCCTCTTAAAGTGGATGCGGTGAAAACCGGTAGGGCTGTCAGTGCAAGGTAACAGTTCAAAATGAGCTGAAAAGTAAGTTGAAGCCGGGCCTAGGTACACACTGGTAATCCCATCACGTGGGAGGCTGAGGCAGGAGGATTGAAACATGGAGGCCAGCCTGCACTACACAGCAGGTTCAAGGGTGGCCTGGACCACATAGCAGGATCCTGTCTCAAAATAATAATAATAGGCAGACATCATTTGCACTCTGCCCCACACTAAAGGGCTTTCTTTCTCCCCCACAGGGGCTACAAGGCCTCCATGGACTGGGAGAAGGGGGTGGGAGACCCCTTTCCGTACTATGTCTTTGGGGCCGCCTGCTCTGAGGTCGAGATCGACTGCCTGACCGGTGCGCACAGGGTGAGTCTGGGCTTCCTCAGCAGGGAAACCACGGTGGCAAAGCTGCCAGGTCAGCTCCTGCTCCACCAAGAGCGAGTCCCCCAACCCCTCAGGCCCAGAGCCCCGGCCCCGGAGCCTCCCCCCAAAGGACGACGTGGAGGAGGCCAAGGAGGAGCTGCCCGGACAGCCTGAACTGTATCAGTACATTGACACTTTTATTCCCTTCAGACAACAAAGCCAGTCTTCAAAGCCTTACCCAGAGGAGCATTTTACACCCAGCAAAAGCCAGGCTCCCTAACCTCAGGGCTGGGCATTTAGCAAATATCCGGAGCTGTGCACTGCAGTGGACCAGGGCTTCTCCAGCCACTGACCCTGAGGCACAGTGGAGGGGCAGGATGTCGGGAACATGGTTCTGTGTTCGCTGTGCAACAGAGCCCCCAAGGAACGGCCCCCGGGCAGGGAGTCACAATCACCAAGGGTGAGGACTTGCACCATGAGGGAAGAGGCCTCCAGTGTCCCAGAGCCTCTGGGACAGGAAAGTTCCAGAAGTCTTGACTAGAACCTAGCGAAACCCAAGCGCATGAATTGTTGAAAGTTCTCGACACACCTGAACCCTACTCACATTATTCCCACACCACCTGGGGCCACTTGCCCAAAGCAGCCATGGTCCATTTGTGCGGCGTGGACTGGCTTTGCCAACACACAAATCATGTCAGTGTCTGTCATCGCCTGTGTTAACCTCTCCACCAGCGCAGTCCACGGAGGATGTTTCTAAGCAGTGTGGGCAACAGAGCACCTGCCTCCCTCAGCGCATCCTGAGACACAGCGACTCTACATCTCTGCTTCAGGGCAGAGCAGTGTTCGGCAGCACACTCCTGTGAACAAAGACCACTGCCAATTGCTTTAAAGCTGTGTTTCCCCGTGGTTGGCTTGTGGTGGCACGAAGTTCCAGCCCCGTGCCCACGGAGGCCCGCTGCAACGGAAACCTCTGTCTGTAGGGATCAGCTCGGCCCGGACTGCCACCCCAACAGGCCTGGTACCAGATATAGCAAACAAATCACAGGCCACCCTCACAAGCCTGAATTTCAAGTAAACAACCAATAATTTTCTGGTATGGACAAGACCCGTGCAGAATTTGGAGAACGAATATTGTATACGTCAGTTCCTCCTGGGGGCCTCAGATAAATAAATACCTACAAAATAAAACTGCATGAGGACCTCACAGGTCCCATGGTGCCCTAGAAGTTAAGATTTGGTCTTCCTGTGCCCCCAGTTCACACTCAGTTAAAGTTCGGTCATTTCAGAATCTCTTTGATCCCTTGAAATAACTTCTTTGAAGAGTCAGAACTCCGGGGAGGCCACGCTGAGGCTGGAGGTCAGCGCACAGAAGGCTCGCCTCCCCAGAGTGCAGCAGCCAGCGCAGAGCAGAGCAGGCCCAGGGAGGAGCAGGCGAAGCCGTCCACACTGGCCTCCTCCACCGGCCCAGGTGGACAAGGCCAGTCCAGTGGGGGCTGGGCCTGACGTGGCTGGACGTCGCCGTTAGGAGGCCAAGCCCTGGGCCTGGGCAGAAGGTGGATGTGAAGACGCGTGAGGCGCACACGGCTCCTCACACGGCCACACACCCTGGAGCACACACCCATGCCCAGCACAAGGCCTTGCCAGCGATGGCCAAGATGAGATCTCACACACCCCCAGCTCTGCGCGGGCCACACGTGTCCTCGGGAATCTGCCGGCCGCCAGGGCCCCACACACTCGGCCTGCTGGACAGGCTCCAGACCCTCTCAGGCCAGGTGGACCTCAGGCCACGCCAGCCCGGGGTTCCTGCCGGAGGCGCTCGGTGTGAGGCCTGGACAGTCTGGAGCAGGGGCCAGCCCGAGGGGCTCTGGGAGGGGGTGACCCGGAGCAGCAGCGCCCCCCCTGGTGCTCACGGGGCGCCCACCTGTGTTTCGGCAGAAACTCAGGACAGACATCGTCATGGACACCGGCTGCAGCCTGAACCCAGCCATCGACATTGGCCAGGTGGGTTCCGGGCTCCAGCGACGCACGCTGAGGGCGGGGGCGGGACAGGGCGCTTCACAGCTCAGAATCGCCCCAGGTGGAAGGCGCGTTCCTCCAGGGCGCCGGCCTCTACACCTCGGAGGAGCTGCACTACTCCCCGGAGGGCGCCCTGCTGTCCCGAGGGCCAGGGCCACATGAGTACAAGGTCCCCACTGTGGCCGACGTCCCGGAGGAGCTTAACGTCACCCTGCTGCCGTCGGCACCAGAACGGACCCAGCTCTCCATCTACTCGTCCAAGGTGAGTCCCACACCTGCTTCCATATAGCACAGCCAGGTGGGCAGCACGCCGAAGAAAATCACAAGGAAATGCTAACTGCATCGAGGCCACAGTGCGAGGGGAGCTCACCAGGAGCAGCAGCTTCAGAAAGATAAGTGAGCGCCGCAGGGACCAGGGCAAGCCCTCCACCAAACCTTCTTTCCCTGGAAACCAAGTCTTCAGAAAGCTTGCCTTCCCGAGAGAATAACATTTTGACCCGGGGGGCTGAGGCAGGAGGGTACACAGTGAGTTCAAGGACAGCCTGGACTTAGCGAGACCCTGTCTCAAAAAACCAAAACCAGAAGCAGACTCAGGGTTAAATGGGATGGAAAGTGTGTTGCCGACCGCTCAGCCAGCAGGGGGCAACAGTGTGGACCGAAGTCTAGGCTGCGCCCTCCCCACCCGAGGCCCTAGATTGGTGGCAGCGTGGCGGGCTGTTTGTCATCATCGAGAGCTCTAAAAGGTTCGCCGTCACTGCCCTGGGTGAACCCCTCACTTCGAGGGACACGGTTCTGAGTGAACTCAGTGCCATGTCGGTCACTGGGCGTGGGAGATGCTACTTCTGGCAGAGCCCAGCCTTCCCCACGCAGGGCCCCAGTCAGGGCTCAAGGGCCGAAACTGAAAACTAAGGTGAAGGTCGCGGTTGTTTGCACTGCTGTGTGCAGGTTGCCAGAGCTGAAATTTAAATGGGATGCAAAGTTTTCCTGAAACTCCTGGGAGGCTTCTTGCTAGGAGAGGCAGCTGGGCTCCGGCAGGGGTCTCAGGGTCTGCGAGGCTCGAGGTCGAGCGGGAGCCGAGGGCAGTGCGCACCAGGCCCGCCCCATCCCCGTGGAGGGGAGGAGGGTCAGGCGGTGGGACTGAACTGGAGGTGAAGGGCTCGAGTCCTGGGGTGCTGCCCAGCCCCTGCCTGCCCCGGCCTCAGGAGGCTCCCGAGGCAGCCGGGCTCTGACTGACCTCACCGCCTGGACCCACGGGGCCTCCGCTCAGGTGTGGCAAGGCAGTGCCCACCGCCCAGCGTTTTCTTTCCTGAAATTTTACAGTGAAATACAAATTCCTAAAGTCCCCGGGCCATTGGATGACCTATAATTTGGACTTTGCTCCCAGAGGGCAGAAGCAGAAGATGCTGACCCCTTCCTTCAGCAGGGACACAGGCGACGTCGCCTTCGTCCCCTCCCCTCCTCAGGGTCCTGCGGCTCCCACACCGCTCATGTGCACAGTGACTTGTGCCTTGCAGCCCAGCCGCCTGCAAACCATCCCAAGAGAAGACACTGCCTCGTGGCCCTGAGTCAGATGAGGCTCTGCTCCCCAGCCTGCACTGCTGCAAGTTCTGCACTCCTCACCACACACACCCACACACGCACGCACGCGCGCGCACACACCCACACACACACCCCCCCCACACACACACCCCTATCCTGTCCAGCAGACGTGAGACGCAACCCAGCCAGGGTGTAACACCTGAGACGCTCTGGCAATGCTGGCACTGTAACAGCACTCAGGCTATCCTGTAGTCAGTCAGCAAACACATGTGCACCGCTGCAGGGGCCGAGGATGCACGGGAGGGCTGGACGGCAGCTCTCGCAGCGCGCCCTCAGGGCAGCTCCTCTGAAACCGCCGTGCCTCCTGTAGGGCCTCGGCGAGTCCGGGATGTTCCTGGGGTCGTCCGTGTTCTTTGCCATCAGCGACGCAGTGGCGGCAGCGCACAGGGACAGGGGCCTCGTTGAGGACTTCACAGTGAGGAGCCCAGCCACGCCAGAACGCGTGCGCATGGCCTGCGAGGATCGCTTCACAGAGATGGTAAGGAGTCGCTGTTCGCTCCCTGTAAGATGTCTCTACTTCCAGTCTGTGGACCTCAGTAAATGCCTGCCCCATCGGATCACAACCAATGCACCCACCTGTGCGCTGCAGCCCTAACTTTCAAAACAGCCTTTCCCTGTGTGTCGCTTAGTCAGCCCCAGTGACTCGTCAGGGTGACCTGGCCCCTTCAAAGGCTGGCAGCCGCGTGGACCAGGGCTATCATCCCAGGTGCCCAGAGCTGAGGCTGGAGGGTCACAGGTCAAGGGCAGCCCCAGCCTTGGAGTGAGACCCTGTCTGCCTCCACAGAGCAGAAAGGGCCAGGGGAGTGAGCGTGAGAGCGCTGGCCAGAGTGCAGGCCCCTCGGCCTAGCGCCGGGACACACCCTGGCTGCCTCCCCAGCACGCTCAGCACCAGCCCTTCACGCGCCCTGTCCATTCCACCCCTGCCCAACCCTTGAGGCGGAGCGTGTTCCCCACTCCCACCCCAAGTCACTTGTTCACCCCACAGACGCCCTCTGTCCCCTGGGTCAGAGCAGACCCCTAAGAACACCCAACACGGCTGGGTGGCAGCGCAGACTGTGTCCCTCCAGGGCCCACGCTGACATGCAGAGACACGCACACATGCAGAGATGCACGCACGCACACACACGCAGCACACGGTTTCAGGTGGTGTCCAATGAGATAGATGCAGAAGCAGGTCTGCGGTGCGACCACAGGCCCTGTGACAGCGCTGGAGGAGCAACACCCAGAGCCTCCAGGGCCCAGGGGACAGGAGGGGCCCAGAAGGAGAGTGGGGGGTGCTGCAGCTTCCCGGGGAGGTCGGAGAGCTTGGGCCAGACAGCACTCAGCAGTGGCCTCTGGGGCTCGCTTTGGCTTTCTGATGGGAAAAGCTTGTGGCTGAGCAGTGTGACTCCTGCTCTCCCTGAGGACAGAGACAGTGTGACTGACCGGGCCCTCATCACCTCACGGCCATCTGCCCCTGCCACCTGCCTCCTCCTTGGGGCTCCCCACACCACCTGCCTCCCACACTCAGCTTCCCTGGGGCGGCACACACCCATCTCACCAAAGCACCTCGAAAGGACTCTGAGCCCCTAGAGCAGCGGTGCTTTAAATGCATTTGGTCGAGCTACTTCATGGTTTTGAAGCGGAAATGCATGATTCCGGCTGGGGTGCGGAGCTGCGTTAGATGGCTTCCCTGGCATATCAAGGCCCTGGGTTCGTCCCAGCACTGCAAAAAGGAAAAAGAGATATGCGATTAACATGCACTGTACTCTGTTCAAAAAGTTTCTTTAGGAATTTAAATACCCTTTGCTCTTCTTGGCCTTTGAATGCTATTGCCAAAGCATGATTTGTTCTGAGGAGAAGAAGGTCGGGAATTTGCCTGTGAGAACAGGCCCTGGAAGGCTCCAAACGGCCTCTGTTGATGACCTCCTCCATGCTGTAAGGTGAATAACTGCCTTCCTGGGCCTGTGTCCTGCACAGAAATGAGGGCAAAGCACTCAGTACTTTTCCCTCGGAATTTCTCTCCATGGGAAAGTCCCGCATCAACATGAGTCACTCTGTAAATGTCAGAGCCAAAGTGCAAACTTGCATCGCCCCCGTCTGACCTCCCTCCACCCTGCCTGGCTAGGTGGACAGGAGTTTCCACATGACATCAAGGTGACCTGCTGAGGCCGGGCAAAAACAACTTTTATAACTAGAAGCCTTGTTTTCATGGGTAAATAGGCTTCAACAAAAAGCAGGCATTGGTAAGAAGTGTGGGGAATTTTTATTCTTAAAAAAAAAATCCATTTGACGAGCATTTGTACATCCAAACTTACTGCTCACACTGCGTGTGGCCTGCTTGCCTGAGCTGGAGCTGAGCTGTCCAGGGTGACTCGCCCGGCTTCCAGGGAGACCTGGTGGTGTGGTGGTGTCTGCTCCAAACTCAGGGGGAAGCCCAGCTCCCGAATGGGGCCAGAAAAGCCCTTCTCTGTAGTTTCCTTTTTGATGATGGGAGGAAACTGTTTTCCTTGGAAAATGTGTCTTGCACAGTCATTTAAATTCCACAAGAATTGGGCCAGGGATTTAGCTCAGTGGTTCCACTGCCTGCCTTGAAAGCACAAGGTCCTGAGTTCGATCCCCGGCCCAGTACCAAAAAAAAAATTCCATAAGAATCAAGTAAATTTCCCTTAAAGACATAGAGAAAGACAAATAACACTTGCAAATCCAGACTTCTCACAGCAGTAATTTCATTTTTAAAAATACGTAAGATTCAGAGACATGAAGGATTTCACAGCCTTAAAACTTGGAAAAATGCTGCCTAGGAGACTCCAGTGACAGGACAGATGAAAACAAACAAAACTTTTGCCTTGTCGTCACCAGGGCCCTGACTGATGCGGGGCCTGAGCTTTGTCCCCAGCATCCGGCAGGCGTCCACTTGGTGTCCACCTGGAGGGCGGGGTCCGCTGGCCTCACCGCACATGGGCAGCACTGCTCCTGTCCGTGCTGGGCAGCCTGGTCCCTGCAGCACTGGGCCTTCCTCTTTGCAGGCCAGCCCTCCCTGCCGTGGCCTTGCCCAGCTCAGCAGCCTCCTGTGCCCTGAAGCACCCGCTCCCACCCCGTTTCCACCTGCTCCGCATTCCTGGGGGCACAGCCTTGCAGCTTTAGCCAGGAGGAGGCGCGAGCTCCTCACCAGCTGCAGGTGGCCCAGTGGGAGGCCTCCTTCACCCCACAGCCTCACAGTTTGTCCTGCGGGACCTCGCCGTCCCCTGAGGCTCCTCTGCCGACATGCACAGGCGCACTCGGCCCGGCTGCTCAGCTCAGACCCAAGCGTGACAGGGCAGGGCCTGCAACACGGGCCTCTGAGGTGGGCAGGCAGAGCACATGTGACCCATGCAGCACCCCAGGGAGTCTTGGGGCTCCCTGCACTTTCCTGGACACATATGCACACGTGTGTGCCCTGCCCTCTCAGACACGTGTGTGCCCTGCCTCCCTCCCTGGCCCCCCAGCAGGAGGAAGGGAGCCGGGCCCTTGCGTGCAGGCCCGCCAGCCCCGGGTGCTCCATGCTGGGGTCCTCCTGGGGTTCTCTTGGCCCTGGGTCAGCGAGCCCCTGCCCTTCTGCCAGCCCGGGAGGGGTTGGTGGAGGAGAGAACTGGTTGGGCCTCCTGAGGGAAGGGGCCAGGCTGGCTGAAGGGCGGAAGAGGGTGTGGAAAGTGACAGGGAGGTGCTGGACACTGCCTGGTCAGGGTGCGTTCGAATCTCCACCCTCCCTCCATGGTTTGTTAGCTTCTCTGCCTCTGTGTCTTTCTCTAAAGTGGGTGGCATTTGGGGGAGTGGAGAGAATACTGTAATTAGTCACTTCACAGGGTTGTCAGGCGAGTGTGAGATGTGTGGAAGCACACAGCTGTCACTCGTGATCCCCGAGGGTCCGTGTTGACAGTGATGATGGTGATGTGCTGATGGAGTTGGGAGCCCTAGACCACCCTCAGACTCAGAACTCACTGGAAGGCCTCGGAGCCAGAGAAGCTGAGGCAAACAGCCTCGATGAGTTCCAGTGAAAGCAGGGGAGAAAAGCAGGGGCCAGCTGGGGTGCTTCCCGGGAGCTGCAGGCCTCTGGCACACACAGGTTTGGAGACCTCGCCTCACCAGCCCTTCACAAGCCCTGACAGGGTGAGGAGGCTGACAACCGTGCTGATGGCACCTAGCAATGACACTGGCCAGGCAACTGGACACAGGGCGCGGGGATTAGTGCAGTGTAAGCTCATCTTTAGCTGGAAATAAAGACGCACCCCTGTCGTCCCAGCAGTCAGGAGGCTGAGGCAGGAGAATCACAAGTTCCAGCTCAGCCTGGGCAATTTAGCAACTTAGCAACATCCTGTCTCAAAATTTAAAACAATAAAATAAAAAGAGTTGCCAGGCCGAGGATTTAGCTCGGCGGCACAGCACCTGCCCAGCAAGCGGGAGGTCCTGAGTTCGATCCCAGGTGCCAAGAAAGAAAAAGAAAAGGAGTCAGCAGTGTAGCCCAGTGCAGATGCCCTGGTTCAGTTCCCAGTAACCCAGAAGGAGGAGAAAGAGGAGCAGCAGCAGGGAGGAGCTTGAGGAGAGTAGAATTGGCCTCATGGTCCACAGGAAGTGTTGCACTAACCACCGCTATCAAAAGGCGAGGACACAGAAGCCAGGGGAGTAAAGTTGCCTCTGGGCAGGAGAGGAGGAGCCAGGAGGAAGTGAGGAGACCAGGGCAGTGCGGGCGTGGACTGCTGAGACCTAGGAAGAAAGCGGTGTCCTGGGCCAAAGGGCGGGCAACTGGGTCACACCCAGTTTCGGAGGACGGCGCGGCTCGCCCTGCCCTGCGCCGTGAGCTAAGCTGACTGACTCCAGTGGCCAGACAGACTGGGGAGGTATCCAGCAGGGCTGGGCGGGTCCCGAGCCAGTGTCTGAGAGAGGTTTTTGTTTCGCTTACGGTGCTAAGGGTAAAACAAGGGCCGTGACCTCCCCTGCCGAGCTAGCCGGACTTTCTGTATTTTGTGAGATGAATGTGAGTAGAAAAACTGCTCTTTGGCACCTTCACAGTTGTCCATCCCTGGGGAAGTGGGGTGCAGCTCAGGGGCAGAGCACGAGCTTAGCATATGCCGGCTGGACCGATCCCAGCATCCAGAGGAGCAGGAAAAAATCTTCATAAGAAAGTTCAGCTCTTCAAAACACCACCATAGGGGGGCCCAGAGGTGTGCTCTGCTTTGAGGCCAAACCTCAGGAGAGACTTCCCGGCAGAGACAGCTCTCAGGACTACAGGGACGAAAGAGAGGAGTCGGATCCTCAGGCTGTGTCCGAGGCCAGTGGGGAGACCACTGCTTTAACAGGCAGGTGGTGAGCACCACACTGGGGCGCAGCCGCCGTGTGCGAGATGCCTTCAGCCCCCAGATATAGGCATAGGATTTATAACACTTTCTGCGTACAGTTCTCTTTGGGACTCATCCCAGGAAACAAGGAGGACAGACAGCCAAGCAAGCCATGGTAGACTGAGAGCCTGGTGCCACACCTCCACGCTCCTAAGATTGTCACTTGAAAGCATGACAGAGGGCCGGGATGTAGCTCAGCGGCACAGCGCCTACCTGGCACGCGTGAGGCCCTGAGTTTCATTCCCATACAAAAAAAAAAAAGACATGACCGAGCCTGAGTCCCGGGAACCAGCAAAACCCTGCTTCCTCTCATCAGAATTTTTAATGTAAAGATCTGCCACACCTTCCCTGGTGAAGTGCTGCAACCGTGTCGTGCCGTACGTACCAGGTGCTTACTGCGCTTTCCTTCCAGATCCCGAGAGAGACCCCTGGAACAGCAAAACCTTGGTGTATCCCTATCTCATAGCCCTCCGTCGTCTCCTGAGAGGTGAGCTCCCCATGAGCTAAGCGATAATCACACACAGGGCAGACGCAGCAGCAATGCCGGCTGCGCAGTTCCCAAGCTGTCTCTCGGCGCCTCAACCGCACAGGGCCTCTCACTCAACCTCACAAATCCTCTAACATGAAGTGTGCAGGGCTTTGCTGATGACCGTCGGAGGTCAGGGTGTTGTTGCCAATGTTGCAGTTCTTCTCCTTAAGACAAGATAAAATATGAGGGCTGAGGCCGGGGATGTAGCTCAGTGGTGCTGCCGCCTGCCTCGAAAGTGCAAGGTCCTGAGTTCAATCCCCAGTACCAAAAAAAAAAAAAAACCCAAAAAATGAGGGCTGAGCCAGGCCTGGTGGCACACACCAGCGTATTTTTGTAAATAGAAATTTAAAGACACACGTGCAAGGAGTGTAGGGCGGATTACCCAGTCTCTCTGCTCTTTCCCAGTATTCCAGTCAATGTGACGAGATAGCACACACTCTCTGACTCCTGCGTAAAACAAGGTGTGTGAAGGACAGAGCCTTGTGCCACACATGGAACTCAGTGAAAGGTGGTTACAGGTGGACACACACCTGCCAAACACCAAATTTTAATAAATAGCTGGGCTATGTGGTACACACCTGTTAATCCCAGCATTCAAGAAGCAGAGGCAGGAGAATCCCCACTAGTTTGAGGCCAGCCTGGGCTACACAGTGAATTCAAGGCCAGGCTGCACTACACAGCAGGACCCTATCTCAAAAACAAATTTAATAAGTTATATACCCCACAAATGAGCTGGGAAGTCATTTTTGTGCAAACATTAAAAATAAAGCCCATCCGCACTTTGCAAGATGAATTTTTAAAATGAAAAACAAAACTAACCCTCTTACCATTTACAATCATTTCTTGTGTCAGAATTTTTTTCAGGTTGTGTCACCACAGCAAATTTCCTATGTGAATGTCATTCCTAGTACATAACTGTCATCTCTTACCTGCAGTTTCAAATTTTCATGCTCCACAGTAGCATAATCACTCATATATAAATATTGCCCTTATAAAAATAAATGTATCCCACGTTGAAATCCTGTACATAGGTTTGAGTCTCCCAAAACATTTTAATCCTCCACTAAAAATCTTTAAAAACTTTTGACCTCTTCCAGCTTCCCTTTTTTTTTTGGTACCGGGGATCGAACTCCGGACCTTGCACTTGCAAAGCAAGCAGCGGAACCACTGAGCTAAATCCCCGGCCCCAGCTTCCCATTTTATAAGTGAACAGAGCCCAAGAACAAATACGCAGCTCCCCAATGTACTCATGGCTTACCAGTCTGACCTCCAGCTGAGTCTCCTTCCCAAGCATACAACTGAAGGCTTGGTACACGGTGTTTAGCTATTCTCTTTTCTGTTCTTTTTTCCAGGTGAAAAGATGACTTCTTAATCATAACTCCAAGCTGATATTCTTATACTATTGTGGGGCGGGAGGTACACAATTTAGAAACATGATTCAAGCCTAATTACATTAAAAAAATGAATCATTATTTACAAATCACTTCAACTCCTCAGCCCAGAGGTCAGAAAGGACTGCAGGAGTTTAATGATTTGTTTCTGAAAGGATCATGGAAAAGCTGCAGTAAAGGCCCATTCCTCCTCTGTGTCCTGCCGACCCAATAGACGCGTCTCGCAGCTGTGATCGCTGGTGATGATGGTGATCACAGTACCGGGGGACTCCCCTGGTGGTGTCCTCAGGGCACCACTATTCTCGACCCCAGGGCGAGCCAGGCTTCTGACAGCACAGGAGTGTGGTTTCCGCCTGTAGATTCACCATTCCACTGGTCCCATTCCTTCAGGATTTGGAAGGGAAAAACTGCAAAACATTTTGGTTTTGTGTTTGGTTTCATTGGTGAGAAACATCTGATCTGGTGCCAGCACTTCAGAAATGCTGCCTGCCTCCCTGTCCGTACACTGAATTGGGCGAGGAGCAAATGAATCTCGGATCACGGTCACACTTCGGTTTACAGCAGGCAGGGAGCTTTGAGTGGTGCCGAGCTCACTGGCCTCACCGTGCTAAGCTCTGAGTTCAATTCCTAGCACCTCAGAAATAAAAATACAAGCATTCAAAGAGAAAGCATGCCGACCCATGGAGTTCCAATGGGTTTTAGGAACTCTCTGGAAGAATCAGCAGATAAACACTGAGCAGAGTCATGAGGAAAACGGCAGAATCCACAGCTCAGGTCCCCACCTGGCAGACCTGATGGGGAGGCTGCAGCCTCCTTCGAATGGAGGGACAGGCACTGTTGGCCAAGGGTCCTCCTGCCGCATGGGGCTCCACTAGGCCCAGGAGCCCAAGCGAGAGAGCAGCACCAAGGAAGGAGATTGGACCAGGGGGTCACAGGCAGAGCGGGGACTCCGTGGGAGTGGAGGGGGTGAAATAAGCTGAAAGTAAAGCGATTTTAAAAGCTCTTTTTGCAAATAAAGCCTTGATCATGTAATCTAATAAAATGTGAGACATTTGTTTTATCATTTTAAATAATAGTACAGGTGGTTTGTATTTTTGAGATATTTGGTGCAGCCAGGCGTGGTGGCTCATGGCTATAATCCCAGCCCTCAGGAGGCTGAGGCAGGAGGATCACTGCGAGTCAAGGCCAGCCTGGATTTCATAGCGAGACCTTATCTCAAAAAACCAAAAATAAAAAGAAGGCTATTTGATGCATCGTGGGTGAGGGTGGCTACTGGGCATCTATATTCTTTGCAGTGGGTCAGGACTGCCAAGCACTAAAACCAGAGAGATCTGAGTACAAACTACTCCTGTGGGTTGTGCACTGCGGTCTGGACGGCATGGGCAGTAATAAAGTACTTCTTCAAAAAGGCACCCTGAAGCCACGTTAGAAACCATTTCTGTGGGCTCACTAGCATCGTTAGAAGATGAAGTTTAGCTGAGGATTTAGCTCAGCAGCATAGTGCCTGCCTGGCAAGCACGAGGTCCTGAGTTCGATCCTTGGTACCAAAAAAAAAAGATGAAGTTTACTAGATTTTTTTGAAAACATTGACCCCCATTCAAAAGTACTTAAAAAAAACCCCAATGAGCCTAGAGCTATGGGCTGAGTGTGCCTGGCCCCTAACTCGCACTGAAACCTGACGGTGCAGGGCGAGGGTGAGGACTTGGGAGGCAGCTCTGCTCAGGAATGGGCTGGGCCCTACAGGCGCCCCAGGAGCCTGTGGGTCCCACCAGCGTGGAGGCACTGCAATCCCCATGAAGGAGCCTTGCCAGACACCACGTGCTGGCAACGTAGCCTAGAGTCTCCAGCACCCCACCCACCCCAACCCCGAGCAGGGAGCACTAAACTGCCATTTCAAACCCTACTCATGGTGTTTGCCATCTGCCCCAGCTCACAGTGCAGGGAGAGCAGCTGCCCTTCAGAGACGCTCCTGTGCCAGGACTGGCCAGTCCTGACACCCATGCACGCTTGTCCTGGTCACAGCTGGCCTCGCTGCCCCAGCGAATGTGGGGACACAGTGGCAAATGTCAGAGTTCTAGGGGAGCCAGCTGTGCTTTCCCGCCCAGCCATTTCGCTCCCTCCACCCAGCACTGGGCAGCAGCCTGGTGCCGTCACAGTGAGCACTGAAGGCCCTGACGCTCCCATCTCCTGTGGAAGAAAGGGACCCCAACCCCAGCCCGGAGCAGCAAACAGCAACACCATTGCCGCTTGTGCTGGGGTCGACAAACAGCAGAGCTGCTCTCCAGCTTTCCCACATCAAGAAGTCGGGCACGAGGCAGGAAGAGGTGGGGGCAGAAGGCACTCCTGGGCTCTTCCAGCCTCCTAGGAAGTCAAGGCCAAGCCCCAGCCTCTGCAGGGCGCTGCGCCGGGCCAGGCCATGCTCGCCGCTGTCCTCTCGCACCTGCTGGGGTCAGGGCTGGGCCCTCTGGAGCCTTCTGCATGCAGCTGTCTGCACCTTCACTGCCACTGTTGGAGGGAGGCATGCTCAGTGGGCCAGCGTCCTCTCCACAAAGCCCTTCACTGGCACCTGTGTGCTGTCACCCACAGCCAGTGGTGAATGCTTTCCCCAGAGGGAAGCTGGCACTTCCTTTGGGACCCTCCACACTCCGGCCAAGCTTCAGGGAAGGGCTGGAAGCAGACTGGAGCGAGGTGTCAGGGTCATAGGCCGAGACGGCAGAGGCTGCATAGCCCCGTGGACCCTGCAGCACCAGGCCTTGCACCCCAAGGCGCAGCTCCTGGCCCTGCCTCCACTCTGCGAGCTCCTGTCCATGTCCCACGCTGGCTGCCGTGACAGTGATGGCAAGCCCGTGGCTCCATACTCATTCCTTCATATTCCGGAAGCAGAGCGCAGGCTTTCGGGAGCGTCCTCCTGGCCTCTTCCAACAGCTCCCGCGACCCTCGGTGTCTCAGTGTCCCTCAACGTTAACTCACCCTTGCTTGAGGGCCCATCCTACCCCAGTGTGACCGGTGCCTCCCCCCCGACCCATTGTCCAAGTCAGATCGAGTTCTGGGGGTGCAGGTGCTCACACTGGGAAGCTCGCTGCTCAGCCCACTCCCCGAGGCCGATAGAGAGTTGTGGGAGGAAGCAGTGCTTTCCTCTGTGCCCTGCAGTGCTCGGTTCTGCTCACGTTCCGTCTCCTCCAGGGCCCTCCCTTTCCGGATGGCTCCACAGCTGACGCCAGGGACCAGGTCCACAAACCCTCACCCCAGGTCCACTCTAGCTCCTGACAAAGGCAGCCGGTGGGGTGCTAGTGACAGCAGGAGCAAAGGCGAAAGCAGGCTGCAGGCTACACTGGATCTGAACCTGCTGCAACAGTTTCCTTACATGTGTGCAGACAAACCGAATCCCAGCCCTTGGAGGCTGAGGTTCGTGAGTTTGAGGCCAGCCTGGGCTATAGAGCAAGATCCTGTCTCCCCTCCACACGTGTGTGCATGTGTGTGCTCACACATACACACACACTCACACGCTCAGTTCCCATTTTCCTAGCCTCATCCAGCTAGTGCGTGCCAGGTGGAACAGTACAGAATGGTCCTGGGGAAATGTGACTCCATCAGGCCGGACTCTGAGGGGGAAGGGGCCCGGCCACAGAAACCCAGTCCTCACCCAGTTACAGTGGAGGTGTTAAAGGCGGTAGGCGGAGGCGCACCATCAGCGTCCGGGGCCAGATTATTCTCTGCACAGCAGGAGCAGGCCCCTCAAAATCCCAGGGATCCCTCAGGGCCCATGGAGGCGCAAGGGCAGAAGGCTGAGCGGCAGTGACACACGAGGCAGACCTCACAGCCCCAGGGTCAGACCCACAAGGGGCACCAGCTCCCCTGGCTATCAGGAAACTTCAGAGATGGCTCCAGGCCTCGGCACAGGTTTGCTTGCTCAGTTTGGGCCCCATCTTCACTCCATGGGCCTGAGCACTGGGCCATGGGACCAGTGCAGGTGGGAGAGTGGGCTGCAAAGAGGAGGAAAAGAGGGGCGGCCACACCCTCCCGGGGTCACCCTGCATCCTCCCTACCCCCAACCCTGGCTGGAGACCCCAGAACCACTCTGGTTGCTCTGAGTCCTCCCCACACCAGAGTCTGTGACACCCCCCCCCACTTCTTTTTTTTTGACACAGGGTCTCGGGCTGCAGCCCAGGCTGGCCTTGAACTCCCAGTGATCTTCCTGCCTCAGCCTCCTGAGTGCTGGGATTACTGCTGTGCCTCCCCTGACTTCCTCAGTCCACATCAGTTTCAGGAACCTGCTCTGCTGTCAGTGTCCTCCTCGATCTGTGCTCACTGCACTTTGCCGGTCCTGGTTCCGGCTTTGGAAGCTGACTCTCTGACCTGAGGCGAGGAGAGAACCAACCACGCCCAGCAGATTTGCTCCGCTGGGAAGAGTCTGCGCATGCCTGCAGACAGGAACGGAGCAACATCACTCGCTCAAGAGAATGAGCTTCACACTCAGCACATCCAAGCACAAGCTACGGACTGAATGCAACTAGTAGGTAATTAATTAGATAATTAATTACTAGTAGATAATTACATCTCAGGGAGAGTCTATAAAAACCTAACTTTAATAGGCCAGTGTAAATAACATTAAATGCCTCTGTCTCTCTCTCTCTCTCTCTCTCTGGTGAATGAAACTCAGGGCCTTCACACTGAGCTACATACCCAGCCCTTTAGTTACTGTTTTTGCTTTTATACAGGGTCTCACTATGTTGCAAAGTTGCCCTGGGCGGGGTTGAACTTGCAATCCTCCCGCCTTCACTTCCCAGAGTGCTGGGACTCTAGGCGGGCATGAGCCACCACAGCTGGCTAATAACATTAAATGAATAACTAAGGACAAACATGTCATTTGACATATAGATTCATGATTTGGATTCTTCAAATGCAAATTACCTACACCTAGGATGCAAACTGACTATTCTTAGCTCATAGATAAAAGTTAATTTATGGTTCAATATATCTTCTATTTTATACTACATTTCTTTTTCTTTCTTTCTTTCTTTCTTTTTTTGGTACCAGGGATGGAACTCAGGTCCTTTCGACTGCAAGGCAGGTGCGGTGCCCCTGAGCTAAATCCCCGGCCCTATACTACATTTCTCAAGAATCTAAAGTAAATTACCAGCCGGGCATGGCTGTGCATGTTTGTAATCCCACCACTCAGGAGGCTGAGGTGGGAGGATTGGTGTCAGTTCAAGGCCAGCCTGGGCTACACAGTGAGATGCTCTCAAAAGAGTGGCTGGATGCAGACCCTGGGCTTCTTGGGTCAGTTCTACTGTAGTCTGCACACTGAAGGTAATGCAGCCCCACTCACAAAGTTGCTGTGAGAAATTATCCAGCACAGGTGAAAAAAGTGCAGCAAACGGCCGGCTCCTCTCACACAGCGGCCCGCCGAGGCCTCCTCGCTGGCAGCAGGACTGTGTGCTCAGCCGCCCAGCCCGCTGTGCGTGGTGCGCTTCCCATCCTGTCACAAGCACAGGTTGATCGGGAGAGGAAATCGGGCTGGGCTTCGGGAGTTTCTGTCCGGGTTGGTCGGCCCTGCTGCTTGGGGCCCGGCTGGGAGCGTGGAGGGACCAGCCCCTCCCCTCCCAAGACGAGGTGGCGCCAGGAGGGCGGGGAATGCATCTCCCTAGTCGCCAAGCTTCCCTCTCACTTCAACCTATTTAGAAATCAAAACCAAAAGGCGTGTTCACTTAAAAGAGGGTACAGACATTCCTCATGTGATGACTGACTTCTGTTCCTGAGACGAGGTCGTTAAGTTCCTCTAGGTGAGCAACTGTACACGACATGAACACTACAAGACAGTATTCAGAACAAAGACATGGCAAAAGGAAACTCCAACTTGATGACTTGGCTTTTATTTCCATGACTCTTCCATGCAGTGTTGTAATGTATAAGAGAACATAAAACCACAGTACTGTACTGTACTGTACTGTACAATCAGCCAGTTTGGGCGACACAGTGAGATCTTGTCTCAAAAAAAAAAAAAAAAAAAAGACATGTTGTAAGTCTCGGGATAGCACACCTCCGTCATAAGTCTGAATGGCCGTTAAGCAGGCAGGCTGTTAAACAATACCAATACTAAAATACTCAGGTAATTAAGCAATGCTTGTTTTAATCTTATGTCAAAGGTTATTAATATTTATGGAGTAACTATTACAATCATTGAAATTATTTGGAAACGCACTGTATCTTAAAACGTTTTTATTATGAAAATGTGCAGGGCCCGGGGATTCAGCTCAGTGGCATGATGCCTGCCTCACAAGTACAAGGACCCGAGTTCGATCCCTGGTACCAAAAAAAAAATGTGAAACCAATGAAAATATTTCTAGCCACACACATACAGAACATTTACATATGTGTGTATTCAAATACATGGATACAAGACACAGGGCTGGGTCAGCTCAGTGGTGGAACACTCCCCTACCACATGTAAGACCCTTGTGTGTGTGTGTGTGCGCAAGATATTTTTTTTTTTGGTACCGGGGATCAAACTTGGCAGAGTATTTAAGCCACATTCATAATGTATTCTACAATCTTCTCATCTCCCACAAGACCTAAATGTGGGGAGCGGTGTCAGCCCAAGAAGCTCCATCTTAAATTTACCCTCCGTTGTAAATAGTTAGGAGATTATGTTATGGAGAACCGTGCCCTTGCCAACTCCGATGCTTACTTTCAGAGACTGCCTTAGAAACAAGATGACCGCTCTGTAACCTCAAGAAACAAAGTAGCCCTTGAGGGCGGAGAATGTTCAGAAAACTGGTAAACAAGGAAGCAGGTGTTTTTTGTATAAAGGTCATGATTAATGACCTAACTCACTGAGTGTATAAAAGAGAGGTGTAAATAAACTTGCTTGCTCGGTCTTGGGAGCCCTCCCGACTCTGTCTCTTCTCTTGATTTTTCTCAGTCCTCCTTTCCCCCATTCAAAAACTGTTCGACTGGTGACGGCTGGTCCTCACACCTAAAGCATAGGAATTCCCTCTTCCTAGATCACTTTCCAAACCATGTGCTTTTTGAAACAGGCCCTTGGTCATCTCCTTATTTGGATAAGAACCTATTGTTACTTGCTTTTGGGAAAAAAAACCACACACATACACTCTTAATAGTATATTCATTTCCATCACCAAAGTTAAAAGCAGTATCAAGTTCACGTTGCACCTAGCACCTTCCACTTGAGTGGCTCAAACTTTTTATTCCAAAAGTACTACTAGGGGCTGGGATTTAGCTCAGTGGCACCGTGCCTGCCATGCAAGCGAAAGGTCCTGAGTTTGATTCCCAGTACCGAAAAAACCCAAAAAACAAAAGTACTGGGAACTTTCAATAATGAGGAAGGTCGGCAAATCCTCTCTCCAAGACAAGTACAAAAACTGGGCAAAACTATCTGAAACCATAATTTCAAGACTTGCGAAATCAACTAAAAGCAACAAATTGGGAAGTGTTTATTCATAATAAATCATTAAATTTAAGGTAATAACAGGATCTGTAACATTCTTGTCTAGAACAAAATAACAAAGATTGTAGCAAAGGGGCCAGGGATTTAGCTCAGTGGTTTCCGCCTCCTGCCTCACAAGTGTGAGGTCCCGAGTTCGACCCCTGGTACTAAAAAGAAAAATCATAGTAAAAATCAATAAAATAGGCCCAGGGATTTAGCTCAGTGGTTTTGCCGCCTGCTGTGCAAGCGCAAGGACCTAAGTTTGATCCCCGGTACCAAAAAAAATTAATAAATAAAAATCAATAAAATAAAAAATGAAGCTGGGTATGGTGGCGCATGCCTGTGATCCCAGCACTCAGGAGGCTGAGGCAGGCAGATAGCTCCAAGTTCAAGGCCAGCCTGGACTACATAGTGAATTCAAGAGTTCAAGCTACTTTGAACCACCTAGCAAACAAAAAGAAGGGAGAAAAATAATTGTTATAAAGAATCAAAAAAATAGGGCCAGGAATCTAGCTCAGTGGTGCTGCCACCTGCCTTGCAAGCTCAAGGTTTCCAGTTCGATCCCCAGTACCAAAAAGAAAAAGAATCCCAAAATATGCTTTTGAAAGGAAAGTTTATTCAATAGGGACTAAAAAAAGGGAGACTAAAATCAGAGGATTCTAGCAGTGAGCTGAGAAAAGCTGAGTTTATCACATCTGTGTGTGGTTGGGCTGACATTGGGAGAGAGAAAGAAAGCAGCTGGCTGGGAGAGATTTCATCTGTGAGTGGATGGGCTAACACCAGGAGAGCGCGATATTAGCAACTAGCAGGAAAGGAGTTAGGCTTCTATAGGTATTGAAGGGCTAAGGAATCTGGGCTGAAATGTTTACGACTTGGACGCCCAAGGACAGTCTGCTCTCCACTTCGAGGCCATTTGCCTTATTTACTGAGAAGCTGCTGTTGTTTGCTGAAAGCAGCCTGTTTGCTTTTTCCCGCTTTTTTGTGAAGGACTCACTTAAGTCACGCCTGGCAATAATGAAACCAAAAGATTTCTTTGAAAACATCAACAAAATTGATAAACATTTAACTACACTGAAGAAGGAGGTCTCACAGCTAAGAATGTTTAAATCCCCGAGGAGACTTTGAACCTGGATTTTTCAGCAATGAAGAAACTGATAGGACTTTGGGAATTCTTGGAGATGGACTAAATCCATTTGCATGAAGGGATGTGCTAAGTCTCAGGGGAGCCAGGGGCAGAATGTTATGGCTAGTGTCTAGATGTCCCACAAAGTCTCCTGCGCTCACAGGTGGGGCTTTGGAAAGGTGACTGGATCATGGGGTAATACTAATGGGGGATGAGTCCACTGATGAGTTTAGAGCTGGGTTTGAGGTTGGGAGGTGGAGCCCGGGTCAGGAGGTGTGGCGTGGCCTGGAAGGGTCCTCTCCTTCCTCTCCTGACCCTTCTCTGCCAGGCCTCTGTGGCATGTTGCCCAGCCTTGGGGCCAGCTATGGACTGAAACTTCTACATACTGTGAGCCAGTGCCAGCTGTGGTGGCGTAAACCTGTAATCCCAGCACATGGGAGGCTGTGGCAGGAGGATCCCTTCTAGGTCAAGGCAAGCCTGGGCTACATGGTGAGTTCAAGGCCAGCCTGAACTTCATAGTGAGACTGTCTCAAAAACAAAAATAATGGTTCCGATGCCTGCCTTGAAAGCGCAAGGTCCCAAACTCAATCCCCGGTACCAAAAAACAGAACAAAAAACTGTAGCCAAAATAAACCTTTCCTCCTTTAAATTGTGGGTGTCAGGTATTGTGTGAAAGTAACTAAAACAGACATGTCCAATATGCTTTAATTTTTTAAGAAAATAACTAATTTTTTTGTCCAAAAGTGCTTCCTGTAATCCCCACAATGGTCGGTAATAGAACTACTGAGGTGGGGCTGGTTGTGTAACTTAGTGGCAGAGTGTGTGCTTAACATGTTCGAGGCCCTGGGTTTGATCCTCAGCACCAAAACAAAAGCTAGATCACCAATGAGTTGGGAAGATGAAAAGCAAGAGTAAGAGAGCCCTGTGTTCTTGGCAAGATGACTCCAGAAGTGTAAAGAAAGGGATAGGAAATTATTGCACAAGTCCTATATAATTGGGGGTAACGGGAGCCTCCGTCAAGATGGTACCAGAAAAAGGCGATGGGAGGACTGCTGCAAACGCCGAGAGTGACCTTTGTCTGCGTCACTACTGGTCTGTACCCAGTATTTGGTGAGTAAAAAATAAGATCTTGCGGCTTGGCCGTGTGTTGCAGTGGTGGAGCTGGCCTGCTCTAGGTTCAAACCGAGCTCTTCTACTAGAGCTGTGACCCTGACCAAGCTCTTTGCCTCTACTCCTCAGCTTTCCCATCTATAGAGCAGGGCAGTTGTGGGCCCTAGATCCTGGGGTAGCGGTGAAGCTTAAATGAGGTTAACACATACAGTTTAGAGGAGCTTGCGCCTGACTACACTTACGTATCATATAAAATTAGCTACAGTAATTTTTAACTGGTGAAACACTGTCCCTGATATTTCAGGAGTAACGGTAGTTCAGACAAAACAACCATCCACAGCACTGAGTGAGATGCAGCAGTGCGGGCTGGATTCAGGGAACTTTGCTAACCCCGTTCTTCCGGGCCTCTGCCCGGGTCCCCCACGTCCCTCCCGCAGGGCCCCGGCAGGCCAGGTCCTCTCAGCTCCAGTTGGAAGGCACATCCGGGACTCAGCAGGTGAATCTGACCAGGAACCAGGTGTGACAAAGCTGGCTGGGAAGTGCAGGAAAGGAACAGAGCCCTCAGGGACCCGGCGACAGCCAAGGAGGCGCAGGGGCAGGCGGGGAGGCGCAGGCACCACACCTAACCATCACCAAGGACCGAGCAGCGCGCGGGGCGGGCGCAGGGCAAATTAATCCGAAAGAAAGGTGGACCGTAGAGGCCGCGTCCCAGCCCGCGATAAGAAAGAACAGCAGAGGGCAGCGGGCGATGCGGACAAGGCCTGTTTTCGGGGTTCCGCGGCAGGGAAGCGGAGGCGTGGGGTGCAGACGCTCTGGGGCTCCGGGTCCTGGGAATGGGTAGGCGAGGCCGGAGGCCCGGACGGGGACGCGGTCAGGACCGGGGCGGAGGGCGCGTCAGGCTACGACGCCGGCGGGGTCCCCGCTTCTCCCCCTCCCCGTGCTGCGGGGCGGAGGGCCGCGCAGAGGAAGTCTGGTGGAGGATAAGGGCCCAGGCAGCCTGAGCGCTACCGGGAACACAGTCGGAGTCGCCCGCTTCCTTCCTTCTCTGACTTGCACCCTACACAGCCAGGAACGAAGAAAGCAGAAACTCCGGGGGTCGTCTGGGTGGAGCGGGGTGCTGAAGGGAGAAGTCGCGCGAGAACTAAGCGGCCGGAGCGCTGGTGTAGCGAAATCTCGCGAAAGCTTTGAGGAAGGCGCGGAAAGTGTGCAGGGGAAAATCTCGCGAGATCCGAGCTGCCAGGGCCAAAATGCAGAAACGGAGGAGAAATCTCGCGAGAGCTGCGTGGCCGGGGCAGGGGAGGTTCCTTTTCCCGCTTCCTTCCTCCTTCGCGTTAGTTCCGGTCGCAGAGGGGACCTCGTCGCAGTTGTCGCCGCCCCAGGGATCTCTGGCTCTTTTCTCTTCGCCTTAAATTCGGTGAGGCGCGGCGCCGCAGGTCCCGGCCCCGGTGGGCGGGCACGGCGCGCGGGCCGGCGGCATGGAGGGCCTCGGCGGGGGCCGCGGGAGACGGCCCTGCCCGGCGGGGGGCGCCCGGGGCTCGGCTCGGCTCGGCGTCCACGCGCGTCCCGCGCCGTGGGGGCGGCGGCGAAGGGCACCGCGGGCGCTTTGTGATGGCCGCGGCTCTGTGACACGACGGGGCCCGGCCGTCAGCCGTCCCGCCGGGCCTGCGACCCGGGACCTGGACGGGGAAGGCGGCGCGGGCGCGCTGAGGCCTCGCTTCTCTCCTCCTAGGGTGTCTTTTATGAATAATCAAAAGCAGCAAAAGCCAACGCTATCGGGGCAGCGTTTTAAAACCAGAAAAAGAGGTAAATACGTTTTAATATCTTCTTCATACTTCAGGATTCTTCTGTACCCTTGCTGCTCTGACGATCCGTGCGTGATACTAATCCCAAGAGAAAGTAACGGGAAAGAACCTGAATTTCCGGTTTGCGGCCGTGCCACATCCACCCTTAATATTTCTGCTGCTTTCTCAAGCTTTTGAAGTTTCTAGTGTTGGGTATCCCTTTTTTTTTTTTTTTTGGTACCGGGGATCGATCTCGGGACCTTGCGCTTGTGGATGGGTATCTCTTAAGTAGGCTGTTGAGTGTTTCTAGTGTTGGGCCGGGGATTTAGCTCAGTGGTTGCGCGGCCTGCTGCCCAAGCACAAGGATCTGAGTTCGATCCTCGGTCCAAAAAAAAAAAAAATCAGTGGAGTGTTTCTAGTGTAGTACGGCACTTTTTATATGGCCTTGTTTCATTGGCCAGCAGTTTCTATTAATGCAGACTTGCTTGAGCAAAGAGGTTTGGTTTTTTGTTGTTGTTGTTTTTTAAGAAGGAGCTTCTAATGGCATTAATTTCACCCAACTTTTGCAAGCATGTGTGTGAGAGAGGCTGTCGGTGTGGCCTGGTGGTACATGCCTTACGTAGCTTGCATGGGGCCTAGGGTTCAGTCCTCATCGTAATGTCTTGAAGTATTTGTCACAAATGTAATAAATGAATTATCTTAGGGCTGTGGACATAGCTTAGTGGCTGAGCACTCCCTGGCATGCCTGAGGTACTGGGTTCAATCCCCAGCACCACAGAAAAAGATAAAAAATGATTGTAACCACTTTTCATATTAACGGGTACTTAAGTGAAATTTTTCACTTCATTTCTTTTACTTGTTATAATGACACATTTGTGATGCACATAGTATTAAGTGAATATTAAATTTGTTATCAAGGCCTTGTGCTAGTAGTACAGAGTTAAGTAAGATGTGGTCTTGGACATATTTGGTGTTAAGCTGAGTGTTTTCCCAAAACATTTTTAAATGTTAGTTTGAAAGCAATTATTTATTTACTTATTTGTGGTACCAGCGATTGAACTCAGGACCTTGCCGCCTGCAAGGCAGACACAGTGCCACTGAGCTAAATCCCTGGCCCCTGAAAGCACTTACTAACCTCATGTGACAAGTTTTGAGGAAGTGAGGACTGGGTCAGTTACTGGATATAAATTGGTTTTCTGCCTTTGGTGACAGACACTTTGTGAGATGCCTGTTACAGAATATTTATCATCTTTCTCCAAACAGGAGATGTAAACTAGAGCAATGCAGTGGTGGTAACAGCTGTATCTTGTGTGAATGTGGTTACTGGTACCACCTTTATATAAATGGCGGCAGTTACCTTTATGGTTATTGTCAGAGAGTTGCCCTTCCCTGACTGCAGAGAAAGATCACTCTTCGCCTCCTGTTGTTGAGGAAGGCTGGTTAGGGTGGATAGCCCCATTTTCACAGGGCTGAGAGACCGTCCAAAGACACAGAACTCTTCATACTAAAACCAGGGAAGTCTAGGGCAAAGAGGAGAATTTGCCGCCTCTTGCTGTGTGAAAATTGAAATGTCATTAACTCTGGCGAAGGGCTGGAGGTGAGGCACAGAGGTAGAACTCTTGCCCAGTGTGCGAGAGGCCCTGGGTTCCATCCCTAGTGCCATACACACAGTCTCTGTGCGCAGTGTGAAAGCAGCTCAGTGAGAGGGATAGGTGTGCCCAAGCACTGTGTGCTTCCCACTTTACGTTCCCTCATATTCACAGCAGCTCTGTGAGAACAGACAGTGTTCTTAGCTGCATTTCACAGTAGAGGAATTCAGGCAAGAGGAATGAGGCTGGTTGCTCAAATCCAAAAGGTTCCATAGTGGTTGGGATTGCAGGCAGGCAGTTTATCTCCAAAACTCGGGCTCTGCACTGCTAACCAATATGTCTCTTGGTTACCTAGTTTTTCTGACTCAGTTTTCTTTCTGAATAATGAAAAAAAAATCCACCTCTTGACATTAACAGAAAGCAGTGTACCTAGTACTGTTTCTAGCATATTTGATAGTCAATAACAGACTTTCCAACGATTCTTAGACTAAACACAGTACTCTATGAACATCCAAGTTGCGAACTTTCACAGGTATACTGTATAAGGCTCACTTTGTCCAACTTATGAGCAAATCTGACTTACGTTCTCCTGGAACAGAACTCATTTGTAAGTGCGGAACTTACTGTACCAGATGAGTGGTCATTAACATTTTATGCACATTTAAAGAAAACTAAGAGCTCTGTTATGGGAGCAAAATTTCACAGGAATAAATCCAAACACTAGCACATTGAGCTCCCTTAAGAGGAGTGTTTGGGGGCCGGGGATTTAGCTCAGTGGTTCCACCGCCTGCCTGACAAGCGCAAGGTCCCGAGTTTGATCCTGGGTACCAAAAAAAAGATGTGTTTGGAAAAGTAGAAGAGCCACACATTTGTGTGCCTGGGCCACCCGGCCTTGTATGTGCATAACGGTGAAGAAGGTATGGTTAGTCTCCTGTCACGGTTTTTTGCTTGTTGCAAGTCTTAATCTGTGTAGTTTGTGTTTGCTTTTTTCAGGTAATGAAAAAAATGTAATTGTGAAGAATTTAGTAAACTTAAGTTTCATAAGGTGATGGTTTGTGGCACTTTGGTTAGCCTTTGACACTAAATGTTTTGGGTTCCTCCCCCCCCCCCCAGATGAAAAAGAGAGGTTTGACCCTACTCAGTTTCAAGACTGTATTATTCAAGGCTTAACTGAAACTGGTACTGATTTGGAAGCAGTAGCTAAGTTTCTCGATGCTTCTGGAGCAAAACTTGACTACCGCCGGTATGCAGAAACGCTCTTTGACATCCTGGTGGCTGGTGGAATGCTGGGTGAGTGATTTGGTGGGCATAATTTAAGGAATTCTGGCAAATCTAGAATATAACCTTTTGGACAAACCTGCCAGGAGGGTACTTTTTGATTGTGTTGTACTTTGTTTCCTTCCAGGTCAGAGTAAGTTATTAGGTGGCCCTACCCTTGAGCCTTGTGTTTGAAGTCTGTCACACAGCTGTCACCCTTGGAAATAACTTTTCTTCTCTCGTACCCAAGTTCCTACAACATCCTCAGTTGATGATTTTTAAGTCCCTGTCACCAAAAACAAATCTATTTTAAAAGATGTAATGGAATATAACAACTACTCAGGATGTTTTCAGAGTATTATTGTATCGACCCTTGGAGCCAAGCAATGAGGAAATCAACACCATTTGTGTACATGCAGAATGGAAGCTTAGAAAGACTCTACATGATACCTGGGAGGCTGAGGCTGGAGCCTGCAAGGGTGAAGCCAGCCTGGGCAATTTAGCAAGACCCCGCCCCCAAGTGAAAGGGGTGGGGATTACCTCTGCCTGGTCCTTGGTCCAATCCCCAGTACCACCACCAAAAAAGTACATACAGAGCTGGAGACTTAGCTCAGTGGTGCCACCGCCTGCCTCACAAGTGCAAGGTCCCAAGTGTGATATATAGATATAGATATATGTATATATTTTTTAAATTTATATGACACACGGTGGAATTGGAAGCTTAAAATTCATACCTTCTAATTCACACCTAGTCACATGAATATTTCTTCGTTGTGCTAATGATTTATATAAGAAATGTGAAATGTTTTTACTACTACTCATAGTACTGCTATTTGGCAAGACTACATTTTTTTTCTTTTGGATTTTTATTTTGGAACCAGGGATTGAACTTGGGACCTTGCACTTTTGAGGCAGGTGCTACTACACTGAGCTAAATCCCTGGCCCTCTTTTGGCTTTTTGAGACAAGGTCTTACTATGTAGGCTGGAGGAGTCCTTGACTACACATGCTCCTGCCTCACTCATTGTTGGCATTAGAAGCTTGTGCCAGTGGCCTGCCTAAAAAACTTTGAAGAAATATTTACTAAGGGAAATTTCAGACACATCCTAAAGAGTGTCTGGTGTTACCAGCTTCAGTTACTAACAACTCAGTCCTGCTTTGTCCATACCCACAGGTTTTGTCCCTCCTTAATTTGCTAACAGCAGTCTCCAGCCTGGAGGTGTTGACAACACACCCTCTTTGGAAGCTTGGAAGGCTTCTGTGTGTGCAGTCACAGGTTGGCTGAATGTGCCCACCAGCTGCGCTCAGTGAGTGCTGGGCCTCTGGTGGGTTCTTTCTGGGTGCATGTAGGTGTTGTTATCTATTCCAGCACAGGAAACCAACCAGCCACATCCCTGCTGATGAGTGGTATTGCTTTTAATTCATGTTTGTTTTTTTGTATCGGGGATCAAACTTTTAGGACCTTGCGCTTGCGAGGCAGGCGCTGTGCCACTCAGCTAAATCCCTGGTCCTAATTCATGTTTTAGAATGTTACCTTTTTTTTATATTGAAAACCTTTTTGGAAGACAAGGTTGAAATGATTGTGGGTTTCAAGTGAAGGTCATGTGCATTTTATGTGAATGCCCTCAGCCCCGGGTGGCACCCTGGCCGACGACATGATGCGGACAGATGTCTGCGTATTCGCAGCACAGGAGGACCTGGAGACCATGCAGGCGTTTGCACAAGTGAGTGAGAGGCCGCTGCACCATTTCCACTTAGCTCTGACCCACCCGCCTTACACTCTAGGGGTGTTCTTCAAAGGTCACAGGTAGGAATTTCAGTGAGGGAAGTCCATCTTTAAGGGTTAGGAGTGCTATCCTTGGTGTGGTATGGCAAGTCAGAGACTTTAGATATGTTAGGGAGAGTCAGACATAAAAAATTACAATAGCTCTTTGTTTCTGGAATTGGCGCATGTTTAAGAAAAACATTCATCTGAAAAGGCATACCAGTTTCCTGTTAGATTTCCATAGTTGAACTATTCTCCATACAGCTCTTTTTTAAGATAAATGAGTTCTAGGCAGATTAGCTTCTTAATCAAGATCTCCTTTGAAGGTGTCATGCATAGTATGTTTTTATTACTAAGAGCAAAGAATTTAAATGCATCTAACCTGGAAATTAGCTACATCATTAGGAAGTGGGGAACTGTTATTCTGTTCATGTTGTGCAGATGGGTAAATGACTTGTTTTTGAGCAATAAGTAGTCCTTTAATGTACAACATACAAACCCACTGAGAGGGGCTGTGAAGCGTTAATGTGAGATGACATAAATGTATAAGCTGTTACAGCTGTTCTAGAAATAACTTTGACGTCCTTCGTAGGTTTTTAACAAGTTAATCAGGCGCTACAAATACCTGGAGAAAGGCTTTGAAGATGAGGTGAAAAAGGTATGCAGAGGGGCCAGGGATGTCGTCAGTGGTAGAACACATGCTTATCATGCTTGATTCCTGTGTTCGGTCCCCAGCACCAAAATAAAAAGAATAGGGCCAGAAAGGGTAATGTTAAATCCTGACTCTGTCATGGATGTGATTTAATTTTAGATACGTAGGTAGACTCATTGAATTGTAGTTTTGGGGTATATAATCTGAGTTGATTAAAGTTTTCTAACTTGAGCCTGGTATAGTGGCGCACACCTGTATTCCCAGCACTCAGGAGGCTTAGGCAGGAGGGTGGCCATGAGTTTGAGGCCAGTCTGGGCTGTGTAGTTCAAGACCAGCCTGAACTACACAGCTCTGTGTCCATAGGGCAGAGGATGTAGCTCCGTGGTAGAGCCTTCACCTCACATGCACGAGGCCATGGGTTGCATCCCAGATATCACCAGAAAAGAAAAATTTAGCCTATCTGATACTTGAGTCTCGTTAAATATTTCATAAGTAGTTGGGCAGAACATCTGATAATACCTCTGTCAGGACTAGGCACTGCCATATTAAATCATGTGACATTTGTAAAGCCTCTGAGGTAAGCTTTGCTATCCCCATTTTAAATGCGAGACAGTGGAGGTGCAGATTAAGTTGTTTGCCCAAGGCCCTGCTGCTGATCTGAAGTGAGACGCAGTGGGGGGTTAGGCCCAGCCCCACACTGATAACCAGTACAGTGCGTCACTGCAGTTGCTCTTTTAACCTTGAATTATTTGTTTTATAGCTGCTGCTGTTCTTAAAGGGTTTCTCCGAATCAGAGCGGAACAAGTTGGCCATGTTGACGGGTGTGCTGCTGGCTAACGGGACACTCAATGCGTCTATCCTCAACAGCCTCTACAATGAGAATCTGGTGAAAGAAGGTGATGCCCGTGGGAGACCGGGCTGCACCTGGCCACGTGGGGGAGCAGCGGGAGCTGAGGGGAAGGGCAGGGTTTCATGTGTGCTTTCACGTGCTCCCAGCAGACAGCAGGTTGCGGGTGAAGGGTGTGTGGTTCTGAGCAGCAAAGCAAGCAGACTTGCTGCTCACAGTAGCCCACAGAGACTCGCACCAGCGGGAGACAGGAAATCTTTGGTGAAGGCTACGGAACATTAGCTTAGCAAAGAAACCCCAGTTTAATTTTCTGCTATAGTACTGGGTGTGTAAGGGTCCCTTTAATTCTCACAGCAGCCTGTCACGTGTGGAAACTGTTGTTGCCCTTGGAGTCCACATCAGGGAACACGGAGGCAGCACTTGGCAAATGAGGGCACAGAGCAGGGTGCTGTGGTGACCATGGCCAAGGACAGTTAGGGCTCAGCAGGGGAGCGTGAGGACAAGCTGGGGAAATTGAGGCAGGGTCTGAGACTTGAAGCCCAGCCCGCTTCGGTTGGTCAGTTCTCTCCTCTCACAGGGGTTTCAGCAGCATTTGCTGTGAAGCTGTTCAAATCATGGATCAATGAGAAGGACATCAACGCGGTGGCTGCGAGTCTTCGCAAAGTCAGCATGGACAACAGGCTGATGGTTGGTGGCATTTCCTCTGGCCTGGCTTCACCTGCGCGCATCATAAGAGGAAACGTGTTTCAAATCTGAATGTTTTTGTTAGTACGACTTGCAGGCTGCCTTAACGGGTTAAATTCCCCTTGTAGGAACTTTTTCCTGCCAATAAGCAGAGTGTGGAGCACTTCACGAAGTACTTCACCGAGGCGGGCTTGAAGGAGCTGTCAGAGTATGTCCGGAACCAGCAGACCATCGGTGCCCGGAAGGAGCTGCAGAAGGAGCTTCAGGAGCAGATGTCCCGCGGCGACCCGTTCAAGGACGTAAGCGCCCAGTGTGGCTTGTGCGGCCTCAAGTTTCCTCTTGAGAAATGCTCATCACCAGAAGTCTGTTACTGGCACAGGCGAGGAGCTGCAGGTCTGCCGACTTCCTGAGCCGGGATGGCACTGTGCTGATACCTGACAATGGCAGCGCTTGCCACTCGGGGCTTTTCCCCCTTGGCCGCCTCCTAGCCAGTTTGTGTAAAAACTGAGGTTGAAACTCAGGCCCCTGCCACTTCCAGAGGGAAAAGTATTTCTGTGCACTTAGAAAAGGCCTGAAGTTGGTGTTTAAAATAGGACGTGTGAAATTACTGAATGTCTCTATTGTAGATAATTTTATATGTCAAGGAGGAGATGAAAAAGAACAACATCCCGGAACCGGTTGTTATTGGGATCGTCTGGTCAAGTGTGATGAGCACGGTGGAGTGGAACAAAAAAGAGGAGCTTGTAGCGGAGCAAGCCATCAAGCACTTGAAGGTGAGGTCAGGGCTCCGGTGAGCCGCTGGGGAGGCAGGTGGCGCCCTGATGATGAGCACGTCTAGGCCTGACTCGGGGTTTGGGTGGTTCACAGGTTTAAAAACACAAGTTTTAAAGTGTTATAAGCCTAGCCACGCAGGGTTGGCTCATGCATACCTGTAGTCCCAGCACTCTGGAAAGCCGAGGGAGGACAGTCAAAATTTTGAGCCCAGCCAGAGCAACTTAGCCACTTAGTGAGATGTCTCAAAAAGGAGCTGAGACCGAAGCTAAGTGCAGAGGCCCTGTGTTCAGTCCCCAGTACCACACACTAGAAAAAGTATAAGCCTGCAAGCTGATGTTTGTTTCTGAGCAAATCTTGGAAAATAGGAGGGCTCTTTTGTTTCCTCTAAAACATCAGTGCTATTTAGCAGTTGCCTGAAATGCTTGTAGAAGCGTTGCTTGTATGATATTTATGCTTGGACTTTTCTCTGTTCCCATTTTAATTTCTGGTGAGCAAAGCAGGCCATAGTGACTGTCAGGGCTGGGCCGTGTCCTATAGTGACTGAAAACGTGGGGTGATCTGTGCGGTGGTGACAGTCTCTCCTCCTTCCCTTGGAAAGCAATACAGCCCTCTCCTCGCTGCCTTCACCACCCAAGGCCAGTCCGAGCTGACTCTCTTGCTGAAGATCCAGGAGTATTGCTACGATAACATCCACTTCATGAAAGCCTTCCAGAAAATAGTGGTGCTTTTTTACAAAGGTAACGCGCAGTATGCCAGCGCCAGGCCTTCACCCCACCCAGTGTCGCTGTCCTTGTGCCCCACGACCAGTTCAGATGCTTGGATGGAGTCCAGCTCCAGTTGCTGCCCCCTCTAGGGCCCTCGTTTCAGGAACCTGCACTAAAGCTGCAGCAGAGCCCAGGCCTCTGGCGGGACAGAGCCCACAAAGGCATCGGCTGACTGTGGCTGTGATGCAGTTTAGACCTCTGTGTTAATGAGAGCAGCCTCAGTCCCCATGAGTGGCAGGCCTCCACGTGTTCTGCCTCAGTTTCCAAAATGCTTTTGTATCTTGGGATCTGCCCAGTCCCTGCGCCACAACTGGCCGAAGTGGGTTACTGAACACACTCGGCCTCCACCGTTCTCCCCGTGTGTCACAGGCTCCTGCATGGGTTGATAACGTCTCTTCTCTTGAAATTGATTGTTGAAGAAACCAGTGTTTTGAACACAGATTTCTCTTGACGACAGCAGAATAATTGTTCGTGATGCGCCATGCGGGCATTTGTGCCTCTCATTTGCTCTGCTCTGCTGGGTACAGGAGTCACTTGCATCTGCTGATGAGCCATGTCTTGCTCTTCCCAGCCGAGGTCCTGAGTGAAGAGCCCATTCTGAAGTGGTACAAGGATGCACACATGGCCAAGGGCAAAAGTGTCTTCCTGGAGCAAATGAAGAAGTTCGTGGAGTGGCTCAAGAATGCGGAGGAAGGTCCGTCCTGTGTGTGGCTGCCTGGGTGCTGCTGCTGCTTTAACGCGGCCTTGCACGTCTGCACCGCATGCTTGCTCCTGTGACCATTCCTGAGTTCAGGTTCCCACTTAGGACAGGCTTGCAGCTGATCTAAGGTGGGTGGGAAAGTAAGACTTGCGCAGTGCACTGCAGTGCTGGCTGCTTGGCGGCTGTGCTCTGAGCACCTTCCGGAGGGAAGCTGAGAGTTAAGAACATGTGTGGCTTTCGCAGTGTCTCAGTGAGAGCTTCACAGAACTCCCCGGGCTGTGGTAGCGGGCTGTGGCTTGGTGGTGGGCGCTGTGCTCCCCGGAGGTGCCTAGCACCTGACTGCATTTCCCCTTTCTAGAGTCCGAGTCTGAAGCTGAAGACGGGGACTGAGCTCTGAACCTGCGTCCTCAGTAAAGCAGAGTGTAGATAAACGTCATGTCTCGTGTCTTGGTTTGTACATCTTCCTACCTCCCTGCATCAAGCATGATAGAAGGGCTTTCATGGCAAACTTTATTTTAACTGTTTCTATGGTTCCTGGAAAAGTTCAGTTCCTACAACCATGTTTTAAGTATTACAGGAGCTATAGGTTCGAATCCAATGTTGCATTCATTAGTCTTTTCAGTTCTTTTCTACCTCCTGTATTTTCTACTGTAATAATGTAATTTAAGGCCTTCCACAATGAACAGTTCACGTTATTCCCTGGGTTTTCTATATATAAACAGTTTTCAAGATACGATTTGGTTAAAAATAATTTGTTATAAAAATTCTGTTTGCAAATTAAACTGTAAAAGTATCCAAATTCTCAGAAACCAACGATTTGTATGATAATTTGGTTCTCCAGAGAGCCCTGCTCATCATCGAAATCTCTCTGTCGAGTTCATTAGCTCGAATCCTGAGTGTCCAGTCTACTGCTTGCATGTTAGCATTTTCTTGCCTTCTTAGCCCCAGATGTCCTTAAATTCGGTTGTTTGCTGTCTGGTTTTCATCCTTAGTGAAGCCATGGAGAACAGACTTGAGAAATTCCAGAATCAGAGGCGGCAGAGGTGGTGGGGAATCCATTTCCTGCTGAGAAACTTCTGCAGTCAGTTAACAGATGGGTTTTCTTTCCATACAGCCATTTTCAAGTAAATGTACCTTAGAAAAGTCTTATCACTTAAAATATTTTATGCTCAGAGTGCACTTAGTCGGATAGGAAAGAACTCGGAGGGGGCGTGAGTGGTAAAAGAAGTAGCCGTGCGTGCTAAAGCCCGGAGCTTTTGACAGTGGCGAGATCAGCTGCTCCGTTGGGACCCTCAGTGCCTGCTTCCTGTGCCTGGCAGGCTGTCGTGGACAAGAAGCAAAGCAAGGTCCTCTCCCCAGCCCTGTGCACTCAGCCCTGACTCCCACATCTGGCTGGAACATTCCCCAGCTGCCAGGCTTCAATTGCCATGAGCCAATACCTTAGATGATCTTAATGTCTGCCTTGTTTCTGTCTGCTCTTGCTGCTGCCCATCTGTGGGTCTTGGGGTTGTGTTCACAGTGACCACTGTGAAGGGTCTTCGATTCCAAGGAAATGGCCTGGGACTGACACCACCAGAGACTGAGCGGAAAGTCGGCCCTTTTCAGGGTGGCATTCTCCTTAGCCAAGACTGTGGTGTTTAAAACGCATCTTGACAGGAATATGTGATACAATTTGAAATAAAGGTATAATAACCTTAATAAGAGCTTTAGAGCTGATTACATTGTGAATGGAGTAAAACTGTTAAATGAATAACTTAATTTTTCATGCACCGGCAAAAATGTATTCACTAGATTTCTACGTAGTGATCTGCTTTACTTTGTAATTTGTAGCCCTTAAAAGACTTTTTTTTAAAAAATAAAGTCCATCCTTACACTTAGGTTTTATAGACCGGTTTTTTGTGGGGTTTTTTGCAAATTACATTTTGACGCCTAGCAGTGTGCTGTCTGCCGTGAGTGCTGAACCGCCCTGGACTCCCAGTGTGAACGTCTCTTGAGTGCTGACCTCTCCTGCCCATAGTGAGTGGGCCCGAGACGGGTGCTACGTGAAACGCAGCTCTCTCCGGTGCCCGCCTGTGGCCTAAATTGTAATTCTCAGTATGGGTGTTACAATTGTACTTTTGTGACTGGGCAAACAGTCACTGACTTTCCTACCTTGGTGTTTCTGAGGTTACTAAACTGTGTATTTAGAACTGATAGTAAGTTTCTTGATCTTACTCTGGGACTGTTGCCCTGGAGATACTCATTCTTACAAAGACTTTGCAGAGCAGGAAGGCCACTTGTGACCCGGGGCTGGGCTTCTGTCTTGCATCCGCCTTGTCTCGTGCTTCTCCCCCACAGACAGTGGTGCAGGGTGAGGCAGGGCTTTGTTCCCGGGGAGCCATGGCTCCCCGTGCTGCTGATCCACACCCAGCGTGGCACTGTAGGGAAGGCCCTGTCCCAGTCCCTGTGCTCTTAGTGTAGCTCACCAGCCTGGGCTCCTGGTTGGTGCGGACCCTTGCGCATGGCAAGTGATAGGAGAGCCTGGCTGGTGCTGCGGAGCAGAGCCTCTGGTGTGCGAGGAATCTTAGGTTCTCCTGGGTACCTTTGTACCAAGTCAGCCCCAGCCTCATTGTTGTGCTCCCAGACAGGGTCTCACTCAAGTTGGAGTTGCCAGGCTGGGCTTGTGCTGGAATCCTCCTGCCTCAGCCTCCCTGAGTGCTAGGATTGCAGGCATGTGCTGCCACTCCTAGCCTGAATGCTGTCTTCCCTCGCATGAGGTACTAGTCCCTAGATCCACACAAGTGTCAGCTCACGGTGCTACAGAGGCCCGAGGGTTAAATACTTCGAATAAAAAGGCGGTGCTCATGAAGTCTGGGGGAGGTGTGTCCTTCCGACTTGCGAACCCTGGGTCTGACTGGCTGTCGTCTGAGGCTGAACTGCAGTGGGCAAGTATCTGGACTCGGTCCCAGCCCCAACCGGAACTGAGCGAGAAGAGCCTCCCTTTCCTGCCCCTCCATGGGTGCCAGGGGTGAGGCTCACTCCCTGTCTGCGCTCTTGCAGTTGAATGAGACTGCGGGGTGTGGTGGTGCACGCCAGTGATCCCAGCGCTTGGGAGGCTGAGGCAGGAGGCTTGGAAGATAGAGCCAGCCTGGGCAACCTAATGAGACCCTGTCACAAAATAAGGGGCTGGGCCAGGGATTTAGCTCAGTGGTTTCATAGCACAAGGACCCAGGTTCGATCCCCAGTACCAAAAAGTAAAAATTAAAATAAGGGGCTGGGGATGCAGCTCAGTGTGGAGGCCCTGAATTTATCTCCGGTGCCTCAAGGAAGCAAAAAGCACAACACAAGGCCAACCTGACTCAAGACAGGCACAGAGAGTAGAGCTGGGCCTTGGCTGGGGTCCTCCTGACCACAGAGCCGCTGCCAGCTCTGCCCAGGCCGAGAGGCTCTGTCCACCAGCGCAACCCTGCCCTGTCCAGACAACAGCTTTCTCACCAGGGAAGGGAGGCAGTAAGCTCCAGAGGCATCGCCTAGGGCCTTCAGCTGCAAACCGCACATGCCCCTGACAGCACAGAAACCACACAGGTGGTGGTGGTGGGGTATCCAGCCAGGGAGTGCTGCAGTTAGGGAGATGAGAGCCAGCAATCCAGTGCTCAGGAGGCTGAGGCAGGAGGGTTGCTGAGTTCAAGGCCATCCTGGGCTACACAGGTCCTGTCTCAAAAGAAAAGAAAAAGGAGGCAGGAACCAGATGGAAATTTAGAACTAAAAAATAAGGGAAAAGAAAATTAATGGATGGGGTTAAGAGCAGAAGGGAAGGAACCAGAGAGAAGTCCACTCTTAGGGCTCTGTGGGCTGGGCTGGGCTGGGCCTCCCAGCTGTCACTCAGCGGACCCTCAGGAGCAGGTGCCGAGTCAGGCCCTGACAGCGGGGCCTTCGTGCTCAGCTGCACCCCACTGTGGGCCTTGAGTTCTGAGCCAGGCCCTCGCTGTCAGGCTGGGCTCAGCAGAGGCCCCAGGCGCAGAGCCTTGTGGCGCTGTAACGAATGAGCTAACTGCACGTCACGGAGCTCCCAGAAGGAAGGAGCGCCGGCAAGGAAATAACAGGACTCAGACCTCCAGAAATGAGGCCCACAACTCCCGTTTTTGTGAGTCTGACTGGCATTCGGTGACACTGATGTCACCTGTGCCTGCCACAGCAGAGTGGGGCAGCAGCGCCTGCAGGACCATGCCTGCCCTGCCTGAGAAGCATCCCCGGATCCCCATCCGGAGTCCACCACTGTCCTGGGGCCCGGAAGCCCAGGCGTCCGAGGCTGCCCCTGGAGTAGCAGCAGAGTGCATGACCTTGAGCACTCACGGCCGGCTGGGCCTGCTCCCTGGAGCCGGGGCCTCCCTCCACCTCTGGGGTTGTTCAGTGCCAGGTGCGGAGCCCACCCAGCCCAGGCCCCAGAAGCCGGTCCCTTGGCGCTGTGCAGGTCACGAAGCCACGCAGGTGGCAGAGCTGAGTGGGAAAGAGGCAGCGAGGCTGGGTGGAGTGGGCCAGGCAGTGGGCGCAGGACTGTCCCAGAGGACCTGACCTGAGAAGGCCAGGCAGACTCGGCGCCCAGAAGACGCCTGCCTGTTGGGTCATCTGAGGACAAACCCTCGAGCCGCAGTGCTGCGGGGAGCGCTGCTGTTGCTGGCACAGGAGCAGCAGGCCCACCACTTGTGACAAACACGGCCCGGCCTGCTGGAGGACTTGGGGGTCTGCTGCATCCGGCTGGGCAGCGTTCATGGACAGCGAGTGGTGGGCGGTCCAACTCCGCTCCTGCTGCGCATCCTTGTGGTGCCCTCCCAGATCATGCCAGGCCCAGCACACGACTACAGGTGACGGCGTGTGGCCTGGCAAGGCCCCTGCTCCGCGCCTGGCAGCCTCCCTGTTGGACCGAGGCTTAGGTTACTCAGGCTTTTACCTTCCCGGCAAACACGGGACCAGTGCACTTCTGCTGTCTTGGGACAAGGGTTCACTGTGCTGCCCAGGCTGGTGTGGACAAGCCATCCTGCCCCAGCCTCCAAGCAGCTGGCACTACAAGTGCACGGCACTGCACCACTACCCACGCACTTCTGTGGGCAGACCCCAGACCAGGGGCCGGGTACCATGGCCGGGGACTGGCCCAGGGTGGCCGGGTCGGGGCCATGCTGTCCCCCTGGCGTCCACAACCACAGCTGAGCCTTGTGCCTCGGAGCCAGTGGCGCCAGGACTGCAGAGGCCACATGAGAACAGAGCCCAGCAAGAGCAAACCAAAGCCTGGGTGGAGGCCGAGTCAGCTCACTCCCTCCAGCCCCACCAGCCTGTGCTGACAGAGGACTGGTCTTTCAACTCGGAAAAAACACCAAGTGCCCCCATCGGAGACAGCCAAAGGAAGTGAACGCACCTCGCGGAAACAAGTGGCTGGCGAGCACATGAAAGACGCTCACCTCAGACACCAATTCCTACTAGGCCATCAAGAACACGGAACATCAAGAAGCCAGCGAGCCTGTGGGGAGAACCCTCGTCGGTGAGAGCTTCAACTAGTACCACCACTGTGGAAACCAGCATGGACATTCCTAGAAAACCTCCGACTAGAAATCCCATTTCCTGTCACAAAACTCCGACGACTGCTGACCCTCACACACCCGCATTACAGCCACACGGGTAACAGCTCACCCACGCCCGCAGCCTAGAGCGCACAGCGGAGCACTGTGCAGCACTGTACAGCCCTAATGGATGAACTTGCATCCGAGGAGGATGGATCTTGATGTACCGACTTCAACGTTTAGTGAACAAGTCTGACACAGGTGAACTACTGAATGATTTCTACGCAAGACCAAAAAGCCACAAGGCGGTAGGAAACAGGTAGTTTTGAAGATGGGGACTGGGGTGAGGATGAAGATGACGATGAAGAAATGGAAACAATGATGATGACACAGGCGTGCCACCCCCTCCCCTAGCTTAGCAGACACCAGTGAAGGCGGCTGAGGTCCTGGGCCCCACAGGGAGGGCAGATGGAACCAGGCTGAGAGCCGCCCGGCTCCTCACTTGGCGATTCAGACTCCCGACATTCAGCCCTGACTGGACCCGGGAGAAGTTGCCTGAGGAGCCATGAAGCCGCACAGGAGAGCTCAACCCTGGCAGTATTCCTTTCCCCTCACTGCCGGGGTAAGGAACCCACAGCCTTCACGGAGCAGCAGGCCCAGCCCTCTTGGACCTTGCGGCAGGGCCCACCTATATGGTTACATTGCCCAGGCTGGACTGGAAATTTAATTTTTTTTTTTTAGGGGTACCGGGGATCAAACTTGGGTCCTTGCGCTTGCGAGGCAGGCGGTCAAACCACTGAGCAAAATCCTCCACCCTTTTTTAAAATTTTTTGAGACAAGGTCTATGTAGTTCATGCCAAACTCAGAGCAACCCTCCTGCCTCAGCCTCCAATGTTGGAATTTATTATCCTTCCTTAGCCCCCATAGGGCTGGTTGGCTGCACTACCAAGCCCAGCTTCCTCTTCTCATCTGGTTCCCCATAACTGGCTTCTAGTAACTCCAGAAGGCAGACCTAGGTGCCAATTTTTAGTCCCCTAAAATTTCCAGACTTGATCACCGTGAGTTCAAGGCCAGTATGAAATGAAGCACACAGAGACCGTCTCAAAGCACAAAAGAAAAAAATCCAAAACCCAAATCAGCACCCAAACCGTACAAACCCCAGAAGTGACAAAGAAAAATGGTGCCCAAAATGGTAGTCATATAAACTGTATTATGCACAAAGTTTATTCTGAATAAATTGTTTTATAATTGCTGAAAGACATTCTTTACTTAGCTCTAGGTACTTAAATTACCCAAACAGTAGCAAGCAATACAAAAATATAAGAAATTTACAAAGCTGTATGAAATAACTTAGTATTTAGAACTAGACTGATACAGTCTGTCATATTTCTGCAAGAGAACTATACAATTACATACTTAGCTATTTTTTTTAAGTGGGTAAAAGAAAGGGTGCTTTAGGGCTTCTTTGAGCGTGATTCTTTTCACTGGATCATACTCCAGCATCTTCTGAATGAGGTCAAAGAGAAGCTCATGTTCGGCATCCTGAGAAAGCATAAATTCCTGGAAGGGTGGAAAAAAAAAATATCAAGCTTTTCTTCCCATGATACAGCCAGCCAGCCGGGAGGTGGAGCCGAGCTTGGGGGCCTTGCTCACCTTCAGGGGTTTACAGCGCCGTGAGACATATCTGCCAGCAGAACTGTGCTCATCCCAGTCCAACCGGTCATGATGGAAATATTTACGTTTCCTAAAAACAAGTCATCGTGCATTTATGGTCATAATGTCGACAGCAAAAACATGGGAACACATAACAAGTGGCAGTAAGGACAGAATCGGGCTGGAATAAAACCTACCGGGTCTTCTGTATCATATGTTCTGGCAGCGGTCCAAGAATCCTTTCCATCATTGCTAAGTGCTCCTTACTATCATGTGTCTAAAATAAAAATACAGTTTTAAAATCTGCTAACACGCTGTGCATCATTCTCAGATGAATGCTCTTATTTGAATCCAGATTCAGCAGACAGGGAAAACTACTTGAGGCCTAAGAATAACATGAAGTGGACGTACACTGCAACCACTGACTACCTGCCCATCTCCCGTCGGCACTGAGAAAGAAAGGCTACATAAATGTGTTGGTAGCCGAGTCACAGTCCTTGCCCCATCAAGGAGACTGCTGCCACTTACTGGGAATACTGTGAACCCCAGGTAGTACTCGATGAGAATGCACCCGATGCTCCAGACATCACACGGCTGCGACCACCCCAGGGCTGCAAAGCAAAGCATGACGTCAGGGAGAAAGTCCTTGCCATTTCTTAAAAATAACAAGCTACTTAATAAAAACACTGCTGAAAAAGAACATGTGTGACAAGCTGGAAAGGCCCTAAGGAACTCACTTCCACAGGGTGAAGATGTCACAATGGTGCTGTGCCTAAGAACTTGGGGTTTGGAGACTCAGGCTCAACTGCGGGCCTGGAGATGTGGGGAGGCTCCTGGGCTGTGCACCGACCTGTGAAGGAGGGCTGCACTCCAAGCCCTCTCAGTCACACATGACGAGACAGGGTCGCAGGCGATGGAATCCCATCACCTGTGACAGCAGGGGATACTGCATGTCACACGTGTGTGGCCACATACAGCACTTCCCAAGGAGCACGCAACGCTTTCCGCATTACTACACTCACCAGGCGCACTCCTTGTAAAAAATCCTGGCTGATACAGCTCAGGGGTTGAGTGCTTGGCCAGCGAGAGGGCTGCACACACTCACAGCAACTGCCCACACCCGTGTGCCCAGCCTTCTGCATGCACCACTTTCTCCTGGCTTGGATCAATCTCTTGTTCTGTTCACCACGGCCTGGGGATCGGCTGCACCACACACGCCAGGCTATGTGAGTGGACTATGCCGTGTCTACACAGTGTGCATCAGAACACACCCACCTCCCACAACCACATCACAAATGTGCAAAGCATGCTGAGCTGGTGAACTGGAACCACCCAAAGCTTAAAATCCTTACTGTATTTTTAAATACTGATCCTTTCAAAAGAAAAATATTTTTTAAATCCTACAAATAAACTGGAACTTTCAATGAAGCAGGCTCTTGAGGTGTAGCTGACGACTGACCTAAAATAACTTCAGGTGCTCTGTAATGCCTGGTCGACACCAATGTACTGTGATGCTCATCATCATAGGTTGCACTCCCAAAGTCTACAACTTTAATATCTGGATTTATTAAGGTGCGTTCATCACGTTTCTGAAAATCATAAATGGCCATGAAAACAAAATATTAAAAGTATTGAGATACCTACTAAAAGCCCTGAAGCTGTACTAAGACTTACCATTTTGGGATTATATGCCTCTGTGTAGTCGGACTGCACAAATAAGATGTTTTCAGGCTTTAAGTCTGTGTGAGTCAATTTATTACTGTGCAAAACTGAGAATAAAGCAAAATAAAAAAGTTGCTATACTCTGAAAATAACCAATCCACCCCAAGTCCTAAAACATAAACCAATGCCTTCCCACACGCCCAGCAGTGGTCAGGAGCATCTAAGTCAGACTGAAAGCTGCTCTCCCCTTTAAAGTCCACAAACAGCTGATTACTTAAAAAGCAGAACACAAACTTCCTCTCATGAAGTCCCGTAATTTTTGGCCATTTCCAGAACAGCCACATATATACCCTTTCACTGGGGAATGAACCCAAGGCCTTCTTACTGAGCCACATCCTCAGCTCCTATGAGGCAGGGCCTCACTAAGTTGCCTAGGCTAGGCAACTCGTATCCTCCTGCCTCAGCCTCCCTGAGTGCTGGGATTACAGGTTTGTGCCTCCATGCCAGTCTTTCTTTTAACTTTTCACTTGTTTTTTTGTTTGTTTGCTTTTTCGGTACCAGGGATCCAACTCATGGCCTTGTGCTTGCCAGGCAGGTGCAGCACCACTGAGCTAAATCCCCAGCCCTCCTTTTAACTTTTAACTCACAAAAAAACTGTTTTATACCTACAGTACATTTGGCTATATGCATACAGTATTGTGAAATGGCTAAATCAAGTTAATCAACTGATACATCACCTCACATACTTTTCATTTCTTTGTGGCAAGGACATTCAAAATTTCTCTCTTCTCAATTTTAAAAAGTACAACAAACGTACTGTCTCCAGGCTCCTGGTAAGTGCCACATTAGATGGGAGGGGAGGGGCTCCCTGCTGGGGGCAAAACCTTGGAACTGGTATGTAAGCACATGTCCCACCTCAGAGCTGCATCCCCAGTCCTACTAGTCCTCTTTTAAAAAATCTAAATCACAGGGCATTACTCTCAAGCTAACTTGGGGAAGCTATGCCAAGAACTCACAGTTCACAGACTTGCATATCTGATAGGCCATCTTCCTGATGTGATCTAGGCAAAAGGGTAGAAATCCATTTTCCTTAATGAAGTCGTAAGTACTGAGCCCCAGCAGTTCAAACACAATGCAAATGTGACCATGATGCTCAAACCATTCCAGCATCTGCACACAGCGGCTATGAACAGAAAAAATAAATGAGTACAGCTCTGCACAATGCAAATCCACTCAAGGCCACTGTGCAAGTTCTAATCTGATACTTACAAAGTACTGCTGGGGTCCGTTGTATTTAAGTGTTCCAGAACCTGAATTTCTGAGCGAGCAGCTTCAGAATATCTATCCACATTTTTAACTATTTTTACTGCTACATGTCTACCTCCCCTGTTAGAAAGAATAAGTCTAAGTTAAAAAACAATAAATGTGGTATCCATTTCTTTAAAATTTATTTTCTATTGGGGTCAGGGATTTAGCTCAGTGGCACCGTGCCTGCCTCCCAAGCGCAAGGTCCTGAGTTCAATCCCTGGTACCACACACACACACACACACATACTCAATTTATGGTTGACCTTTTAGGTCTGGAGGAGTATATGTAGGTAATTCTCACTACAATTCAAAACCAGGCTAATCGAAATGACCTTTGATTGTAATACTGAATGACAATCTTCTTTTTGGGATACTGTGTAGCCCAGGCTGGCCTTTGACAAGTTACCCAGCAGTGCTAGGATTACAGCTGTGCACCTCACCTGGCTGTGCAAACTCTTCACTAGATCACAACTCAGGAATAATCTTTGCGCCCCTCAACAATACATCCACAGTTCTAGTTCAGCAACTACGGTGGGATACCAACACCTCACTATGGACACCAGCAGCTCCTTCCTACTGTGCACAGGATCCAAATACCCCAGACACCACGGTGGTACAACACAGGGTGCTAGGTCTCAGCCTCCTCAACCTCTGTTCACCCGGGAAGCTTTGCTATTCAAAAGACTAACGGGGATCAAACTGAGCCTCCTCCTAGCCATATCCCCAGCTGGCCAAAGTTGCTATAAAAGAGAAGTTTTAACCTAAAAGAGAAAGTTTTAACCCTAAGTTTGAAGGACATGGATAACGAAACTTATGACATCAATCTCAAGGCTGGGCACAGTGGCGCATGCCTGTAATCTCAGCACTCAGGAGGCTGAGACAGGAGGATCACCTGAGTTTGAGGCCAGCCTGAGCTACACGGTGAGTTCAAACCCAGACTAAATTAGTGAGAATCCGGGCCAGGGATTTAGCTCAGCGGTGCTGCCACCTGCCTCAAAAGGGCCAGGTCCCAAGTTTGATCCCTGGTACCAAAAAATAAATAAGTGGGAACCTGATATATATATATAAAAAAACAAATAAACAGATAACCTACCAACCTTGGCTGTGCTATCAGAATAAATTATAGCATTCCCTAAAGCTACAGTACAGGATCCTTCAAACTGCCCTGAAAAGAACTGGGACAAGCAAAACTCCCATGAATTCCAATATAAAACCAAGACTGAGAAACACAATCTAAAATGGGGGGAAGGGGCAGGAGTGGCAGTGTAGTCTGTAACCCCAACACCAGGGAGCCCAGGTAGATCTCAAGTTCAAGGCCACTTTGAACTACAGCATGACTCTCTCTACAAGACTTTAAAAAAAAAAAAGGAAAAAACTGGCCATAATTGTAAGACTTCTCAAATAATTTTATCAGCCTAAAATTGGCATATACACTTGTTTTCAGTGCTACACACTGAACCCAGGGTTCTGAGCTGGATCTCTATCCCAGAAGGTGTAATGTAGCTATTATTTACAAAATACAAAGGGCAAGTACCTTAACTGGGAGCTCCTTAAAACCAAATCAAGAGACCCAAGCCAAAAGGGTCAACAAGCTTAACTGATTTTCATTGTGATTCACCTCAAGTGTAATTCTACCACAAGAAACTTACACTCCATGATCGATGCACTCCACAACTTTTCCAAAAGCTCCTTCACCTAAAGTATCAACAATTTCATCTAAAAGAGAGAAATAAATGTGTCATACCAGGAAATGGAAATTATGTACTTAACATTAAAAGGCTATCAATGCAGATTATTCTAGTTGATACTACAAATTTCCTTATCACTAGACATTTACTTATTGGTCAACACCATCAAAAAGTATGACTATTTTTAGGTCTAATTTTATTCTTAGGCTAATTTATTAACTTGATTTACTGTTCTGAAGCTCTGTACAACAAATATTAAATTTCTAAAGAAAGCAAAAACACAATCCCCCCCCACCAAAAGAAACAGAAAAACAAAATAAAAAGAGAAAGAAAAAAGATCTCCAAATCCCTGAAATCTTAATCTATATATAGATTATGTTATCTGAAAAGTTAATAAGTGTTGAAAAATATTCTATACATCTTGCACTTAGTACGTCTCCACTCTGACAGATCAGGTGACCCTCCTCATCATCCTCTACACTCCTGGTTCTTTTCCTTCGGTGACTCTTCTGGAAACGTCAAGTGGCGGCACCAAGATCATCCAGCCAATCAATATACCCGAGTGAATTCAGGGCAGAATACGAAATTCATTCAGCGGGGAGATATTCAGGCATTCAGATACACGCCAGGCCACAAACGGTTGGCAGGAGCAATTTCAAATTCAGTCCCCAGAAATTCACAGGGCACATAGTTTATGTTAACAGGAGAAAAACATGGCAAGGAACAGATTTTCAGATAAGATACTCAAAGTGGTAAGGCAACAAAACATAAATACAATTGTTTTTCTTTTTAAAAAATGCTTAGTTGTAGCATTCACTGAAACAATTTTAAGTTTCTAGGGTCCTAAAATTTAATGTTGCAAAACTGTAGGATGTTAATATTTACTTGCTAAAGAGACTGTGGCCAAATTAAAGATTTCCCAGCTAATCTATGAAAACAAATGTTAAAACAGTAAATAAAATCAAAGTCTTAATTTTGGGAAGAAAAAATATTTGGTATACTACAAGTTTAACACTACATTACGTATCATCTCAACTGATCTCCAATTAATACATAACTGATAAAATTCAAATCTGTTGCAGTTTGCTTAACAAAAGATTAGGAAACAAACTTTATTAGCTCTAACCTTTACTCATTCAAAAACAAATGCCTATTTTTTGTGATAAGGCATGAACTTATCAAAACAAATCAGATTTTATAAACTACCATAAAAACCCTTTCAAAATATCTTGCAATCACTTTAAATTGTCTCCACTATTTCAATGGAATAAAAATTAGTACTCAATAATTAAATCTACTGGACTAAGTATGTACTGTATTTCAGGAATTTCCTAGCCAATACATAAACAAAGAATCCTACAAATCAGTGTTGAGATGACTGTCTCTTAAACAGAATTTTCTCAAACACAAATTGAAGTCTCCTCGTTCCACAATGGAAATAAAATTTTCAAAATATTTCCAAAGAGCTCATACCCCATGTGAATGATGATGAGAAGTACTGTGGTGAGTCCTGTGTTTACTTTTATAACTACTTCTTCCACTTCTACCAGAGGATTTGCTACTATGGTTCTGATATCTGCTTTCATGGTCTTGATGGCGACGTCCAGAATCCCATCCTTGACAGTAGTCGTTTCTGTATTCATCAATGTAACGTCGACTATGATAATCCTTCTCATTTATAGATCTGCTTTCCAAATAATAGCTGCAGGAAAAAAGTTATTTGCTGTTTTATGCTACAAACAATCAAATTCTCAACAGTTGCCATTTTTTGGCAGTGGTGTCACACTAATGCCAATGACCTAACACTGAGCTGCATTCCGGCCTCAATTCAGTTCCCTCAAGTCAGACTCTTGCAGAAGGTGGGGCACCACAGCCTACAGTCCCAGCAGGGCAATTTAACCCTGTTTACAAACAGGGCAAGCTATCAAAATTTTCCACTAGAAAAACAAGCCAGGTGTGGTGCCCCAAGCCATAATCCCAGCACGCAGGAGGGTGAGGCAGGAAAATCCCTGTGAGTTTGTGGCTAGCCTGAGCTACACAGTGAGTTCAAGGCTGGCCTGAACCAAGCAGTTAACTGATAGCCACTTTTATCACGAGAACTCATTTTCCTATCAAGACACCTCGTCCTTTGCTCCTGGGGTCCTGGGCCTGCCCACCGCCAGGAAGTGGCCGCCCAGCCCGACACTCACCCGTCAGAAGCTTTCGCGGCATCGAACCTGCAGCGCTTGCTCTCGCCAACGCCGCTGTGGGACCTCCTCTTCCTTTTGTGGCTGCTGCTGCTCCTCCACCTCCCACAGTCCCAGTGCCTCTCGTCCCAGTCCGCGCAGTAGGCTCTCTTGGAGTGTCTCATCTGCGGAAAGGACACACCTCGGGTTAGGTCCACCCCAGCCGAAGCTCCCTGCTTGCTGCAGGGTGTGGCGGCCACAGCTTCACAGAAAGCCGAGGCGCGCCCGGGCGGTGTGCGGACCGTCTCTGGGAGGGTGGGGCCCTGTTCCGCGCTCTCGGGGCAGCAAGGGCCATCCTAGTGCTGCCCCGGAGCCAGAGGCCGCACCTCCCGCTGCAGCCTTTCAGACGGCTTGCACGCCAGAGCTCAGAGGCCGTCTGCCCGCGACCAGCAGCCTGGAGTCCGCCGAGCAGGACTCGCGGCCACGGCGGCGCCGCCAGCAACGAACGCGTCCTCGTCCTCGTCCTCGTCCTCCGCCCCACGCGGCCCGTCCGCGCCAGGGCCGCAGGCTCGCCGGCAGGGCTCTCCCTCCTCCCGCGAGGCCGTTCCGGGCCGGGCAGCCATCTTCCCGGCCGCCATCGTCCCGGCCGCCATCTTGGCCCTCGCTCCCGCCCTCGGCCCGGCCGCCCCGCGCTGCGCTGCGTTCCGCGGGGCTGACTCCACCTGGGCACCGACGCTGTCCGCCGGCAGGACCGACAGCGGCGCACAGGGCTCGGCGTACGAGCGAGTAAGGACAGGGTGTGGAGACGGCCCCCACCCGCCACAGCGGCAGGAAAGCACAGGAAAGGGTGCTGCACCTTACCGTGCTGTCAGAGACCCCACGCCAAGGTACAGCGTTCGCGAGGCGACCTGCAAACCAGCCAGCCAGCCGCGAGGACCGCTGTCTACAAAATGGAGCTCACTCGCTTAAGGCAGGCTCACCTCGTAAACCGCGGCGACGCCCGGGGGCGGGGCGTCTTGGTCTTTTGTGCGCAGGCGCGGGGCGGGGCTTGTGGGCCAATGTGCGCAGGCGCGAGGCTCAGCGGGCGAGTGGGGCGGGAGGGACCAGGCTGGCGGGAGCTACGTTGGTTCCGAGTGGGTGTAAACGGCAAGCGAGCCTCCGTGCTCACTGAAAACCAACTTTGTGAACACTGGAAAGGGACGAGTGAAGAGGGCCGGGGATTTACCTCAGTGGTTCTGCCGCCTGCCTCGTAAGTGCAAGGTCCTAATTTCGATCCCCGGTACAAATAAGAGTAATTAATAAACTAGGGGGCCAGGGATTTAGCTCAGTGGTGCCGCTGCCCACCTCGCAAAGTTCGATCCCTGGGGGGGTGGGGCCAACAACAAACCTAGGAGGTGGGCGTGGGGGTGCACGCCTGTAATCCCAGCCCTTGGGAAGCTGAGGCAGGAGGATCAAGTTGAGTTCCAGGCCAGTTTAGGCCATATAACTACAGAGTGAGTTCAAGGCCAGTCTGAACTATATAGAGAGACCCTGTCTCAAAAAAGAACAAAATAGGGCTAGGGATTTAGCTCAGTGGTTCTGCATAAGCGCAAGGACCCGAGTTCGATCCCCAGTACCAAAAAATAATATTTATATATATATATGGAATTCCATTCAACTCAGTTATTTCTAAATATCTTCCTGAAAGTTAAAGACACAATGATATGTGCCTACTGGCAGGCCTGACGTAAATGAGTCCTTCACAAATGGGACAAAGCAAACAGGCTGCTTTTAGCAAATAGCAGCAGCTTCAAAATGAAGAATAAAACCCCCTGGCGCTGAGAAGTCCAGTGATTGTCTATATACCTGAGCAAACCATCCTTGGGTATCCAGGTCGTAAACATTTCATTTCACCCAGATTCCTTAGCCCTGCAGTACCTATAGAAGCCTAATTCCTTTCACGCCAGTTACTAATACCGTGCTCTCCTGGTGTTAGCCCATCCACTCACAGATGAAATCTCTCCCAGCCATCTGCTGCTTTCTCTCTCCCAGTGTCAGCCCATCCACACACAGATGTGATAAACTCGGCTTTTCCCCACTCACTGCTAGAATCTCCTAATTTTAGTCCCTCTTAACTGGAATAAACTTTCCTTTCAAAAGCAAGTTTTGACAAGTGGATTTTTTATAACCCATACAGGTTGATAGCCTCTCAAGTCATAATTGCCAGAGCCTGCAATATTGATTATTCCCAAAACATGCTGTAAGCAGTGCAGGCTGCAGAATTAACTCCCTTGATTGGCTTACTGTAAGAAGCGAGTCTGACTGAAGCTACGTGACTCACAGAAGCATCTCATGGGCACCGCGGTATTGTGCAGGTTAACATAACCTCCCCGCTAACGGCCACCGCTGAGGCCAGAGTAATGGCCTGTGAAGCTGTGGGGCTGATACGAGATAACATCCGTAGCTGCCACAATTAGTGCCTTCATAGCTTTAAAGACAGTGCTGTAATTACAACCATATGTTCTGTCTACCTTGCTTCTAATTTGAAAATGCCTTGACTCTTCCCTTCAAAGCCTTGCCTGCATTGGTCTCCATGGTAACTTCTTGTACTGCACCTTTGCCCTGACTGACAAAGAATGAAACTCGGCGGAAGAGACGGGCCAGGGCCTTTTGCCAAAGGAACATCGGCTGTTTAGCTCACACTTGCTCTCTGTCTTAGGTTTCTTCAACCTTTCATGGAATACTGGGCAGGGGGCTAGAGACCTACTGCAGGACTCTCTGGCACACAATAGCTTAATCTTGGAAGCAGCCTGTATGTTCATCAATGAATGGATAGTGAAGATGTGCTATTTGTACGCAGTGAAGTACCGCTCTGCTATAAAGGATATGAGGTGTTCGTAGGAAAATGAATGTACCTTGAGCCCATGATGTTAAGTGTAGTAAATCTCAAGCTTAAATATCGCCTGGTTTCTCTTACATGAGAAATCCCAAATAAAGAGCAAAATAAAAGATAAACAATAGGAACTACAGGGATCTTTTCAAGTGGGAAGAGGATTAGGAGAGGGAAGGGAGGGAAAGGGGATGCAGAGAGTTGAGATATGTATCTGTATCACCTCCCCACAAGGAAGGTCATCGTTAAGTAATGCAAATGTACTAATAACCAAAAGAAAAAAATACACCACCACACAGTGATACATGTGTACCCATATTTATAGTAGCACAAATCTTGGAAATGGCCTGTGTACCCATTAGCAGATGAAGATGGGCCGGAGATTTAGCTCAGTGGTTCCATCACCTGCCTCGAAAGAGCAAGGTCCAGAGTCCGATCTCCGGTACCAAAAAAAAAAACAGATGAAGAAAATGTCCTATACAGTGGGCCCTTGGGTTATGAACTCAATTGGTTCCTGAGGGCTGGCTGTAACTCAGTTTGGTCAGAGAAGGCTCAGGCTCCTCTACACAGCCTTCAAAGTCTCTCTCCTGTGCACAGCAGATCTCAGTGTCCTTAGAGAGCACTGGCCCGGGATTTCTCAGTGAGCCCCACACAGGAAAGGGTGTTGTCATGCTACTTCCAAAGCTCTTTAAGGGTTAAAGCTGTATCAGACCATCTGGAAGCACAAGTGGCTGGCATTTGGATCCTAACTCAAGACTTTGTTCATAAGTTAAAACTAAAATTCCAGTCATAACTCAAGTTGTTCGTATGTCAGGCCTGTCGTAACTTGAGGGTCCATAGTATATACAATATTGAGTACTACTGTGTCATAAAGGACAAATTTGAGTCATCTGTAGAGAAATGGATGAACTTTGAGACCGTAATGGTAAGTGAAATAAATCAGACACAAGCTTAAATACATGTCACCAGAGCCAGGTCCTAATGCAGTGAGGAACTGGCTCCTTATTCCTTGGTCCTGGATTCTTTGTCCCTTGATGAAAGAATTCAGTGCAGACACATGAGTCCAGAAGTACAGGAAGACTTTATGATAAGGCAGACAGTTCCACCTTCCTGCGGGAAGATGCCCGAGCCCTAAAGGTCTCTGCAGCAGGTGCACTCCAAGTGGATACACCTTTGTGCACCCAGTGGTCCCTCGGGATGCTGCTTGTCAACACTTGACTTAGAAGTTGCTTTGGAATTGCAAAATGCCCAGGGGCTTTAATCATGTCAGGAATTTACAAAAGAAGAGAATTTGAGAAAGATAAATTCTTAATTTAAACCAGGTCCCAGCCCAAGATGGGCTGTTTTGTAAGGAACATTTTCCTTTTTGCAGTCACTGGGTTGGAGGCTGTGGCAGCAGGAATGCGCGTGCCCTGTTCTGGTGTCCACACACTGAAACCCAGTTGGAGTCCAGAGCACAGAGCCTCGCAGCAGTTCGGACCCGAACATCGCAGCTGCAGTTCTCATGGTCCAGCCTGTCCAGGGCAAGGCCTCCAGGAGCTGAGAAAGGGTGTGCAGACAGATCCTGACAGGGCCTGGTCAGAGTAATGGGGAGCAGTCTGCCTGTACCTTACAAGAGCAGCCTCCGGGTGCTCTCGTGTTTTGTGGAATGGAGCTTCTTTTATTAGTTCTAGAATAAAGGCCAGTAGATTTCTAACTAAATTTGTTTTAATTAAATTTTATTGGTAATCTTAGGTATACAGTGACATCCATCATTGGGAATTTGCAGCTTTACATAATCTCTCTTGGTTCTTATTTTTCCCCCTCCCCTGCCCTCACTTCAACCCCTCCATCCCTCCCTATTTACAAAGACTTTGTGTCCATTTTTTCATTTTTTCATATTAATTCCATTCTCTTCTTTCCTTTCCTTTCCCCTAGCCCTCCCACTTCCCCTTTGCCCCATTTCTTCCTATTTCAGATTATCTATTACACCTTTTGTTTCTCACACCAGAGAAACTATTCGGTATTTACACGTGTGTCCTATTTATTTCACTTAAGACTATCACCTCAATGTGCATCCATTTAGCTATAAATGTCTCTAATTTCTCATTTTTGATGGCTGAGTAACATTTTTTTTTTTTTTTTGGGTGCCGAGGATCAAACTCAGGACCTTGTGCTTGTGAGGCAGGCAGCAGCACCACTAAGCTACATCCCTGGCCCTAAATTTGTTTTAATTTTGCCTAAGACAAGGAGAAAAAGGAAGGCCTCATAAAAGGGAGAAGAGGTTGAAAACCTACCTTTGAATAAGAGCAATCACTAGATTACTGTTAACAAAGCAACTGCTAGTCCTCCCCCAGTACCTCAACTTCATTTTGTCGCTTTAAAATCCTCACTTATTCCAAGGTTAGTGGAAAATACACAAAATCATCCAAGACAATGCGGCCTGACAGTGTTACTGAACTGGTTCATTCACCTGAAGATTAAAATGCATCTGTACAGGAGAGCAATGTGGTCAGACAGCAGTATATGGCTGCACAGCTATTGTAGGATGATGTCTCATGTGGAATACTCACTCCCAAAATTGCTGTGGTTGTTTTCTATTTTTTTTTGTACCAGGGATCGAACTCAGGTCCTTGCACTTGTGCAGCAGGTGGCGAAACCACTGAGCTAAATCCCCAGCTTGTTTTCTACTGTTAAGCACCTTCTCTTACTGGATTTAAAAGTGATAAAAGTGATTAATACCTGAAAGGCTGCATTATGGCCAAGATCACAAAATAAAGCTAAGTATTTCACAGTAGAAATCCCATCACAGCATCTTGTGAAAGTTATCTGAATATATTAGCAATACACTTTTGCAAATCTCGGGAGTCACAATCTCTGGAAGCTAGTAGCTAATCATAGTGGGCTTTTCATTATTCCAAGAATATATATATATTTGGAGACAGGGTCTCACTATGTAGCTCAGGGTGGCCTTGAACTTGTGGAGATGCTCCTGCCTCAGCCTCCCAGATAATGGGATCACAGGTGTGCGCCACCACACCCGGTTTATATTTTCATTTAATCCTGACAATTTATAAGAATGTATCAGTTCCTACCATTATGTGACCACCACTACCATAGATACAAACTGAATCTAACTAAAGCATCAACTTTCATCTCACTAGTGAGAGATAACTAGTGTGTCCAGTTTGCTAAACTGGTTAAAAGTTCAGTTCTGCCTGGTAATTCACCTGCTCTTACGCCCTCAGCACCTTAGACTGTGCGCCCAGGCCTGTGCTGTTCGGTATCCTCGGCTGGAAGCACTTCAGTGTGTGATTTCTACTAGCTCTGGCTGTTACAGTACAAAGGGCTGATACTTGCCCTCAGGGATAACAGGCCAGTAAGTGCATCTGGCTGAGGGACCAAGGTTATGGGGCAACTGAGATAAGCACTCTGCACCAAGCACCACACCCCACTGGGATCTGGCAACTTCTTTTGTCTATCCACATCAAGGGCAGGAACTTTTCCCTTGAAGGGGAGAAAGTAAATATTTTAGGCAGCAGGCCATCTTTTTTCCCACAACTAGTCAAAACTGCTATTGTTGGGCAAAGAAACCAGAGACTAGAAACATGCACTCTGACTGGGTAGGGCGAGGCCCCTAGACATTACTCACAAAACAAGTGGCTAGCCTCGAGGGTACAGTTTCCCAACCAACCTTCAGTCTGGATAAAGAACCTGATGACTTTCTTTTTAAAGGGAGAGCCAGGCATGGTGGGACTCGGCTGCAATCCCAGCACTCGGAAGGCTGAGGCAGGAGGATCACCACAAGGTCCAGGCCAGCCTACACAGTGAGTCCATGGCCAGCCTGAATTACACAGTGAGACCCTGTCTCCCCACCCCATCCCCCCCAAAAAAGGGGAGGAAGAAAAGCTGTCAGTATTCTAATTGTCTTAATAGCAGTTCCACTTCCTGCCAGCTGATGTGTCCCACTGGGATGGGTTAGACTGGTGGGTCCCGAGGGAGCAGCCAGAGACCAGCAGGGGACCTGATCCTCAGGAAGCCTCATCAGGCCAGCAGTCAGGCCACCTCCCTGTGTGGACACCTTGATGGCTGTAGCTGAGCACACTGCAAGAATAGACTTAAGAACAAAAAAGTCACTGTATTGGCACCATTTTTTAAAAAGTGGCAGATTAAAATGTAGAGCAGTTTGACCTCTCCCCAAAAATGGCAGTTTAGAATAAAAAGTAAGTGAGGGGCCGGGGATTTAGCTCAGTGATTCCGCCGCCTGCCTCGAAAAGCGCAAAGACCCGAGTTCGATCCCTGGTATCAAAAAAAGTGAATCCCCATAGGTACAAAAAAGTCTTCACAATAATGACCTCTTGAAGGTGACCAGAAAAACCGAAACCAAAGAAAATACCACTGACATGTTCAAGGAGGAAAGGAATAAGGTATAAGAAGTGGTAAGACAAACTGGCCCAAAGTAGAATATAATATTATTAATTGTAGAATCCAAAATAATATGAAACAAAACATGAGATCACTGGTATAAAAAGTACCTCAGTTTATTGAGACATATAAATGCTAATACTCAAACTAATTAAACAACACCTGCAATCCTAGCTCCTCAGAAGGCTGAGGTAAGAGGATCTCAAGTTTGAAACCAGCCTAGGCAAGAGTTTTGTTTTAAGGCAGGGTCTTGCTTTGTGGCTCAGGCTGGCCATGGACTCACTATGTAGTCCAGGCTGGTCTTAAACTCACGGCGATCCTCCTACCTCAGCCTCTCAAGTGCTGAAACTACAGGTGTGCAGCACCAAGGGCTGAAAATGAAGCTCAGTGGTAGAGCTCTTGCCTCATACAGGTGAAGTCCTGGGGTTCAAAGCCCAGTAGTGGAAAAAAAAAAGAATTAAAAAAATTAATTAGTAATCCCAACATTTGGGAGGCTGAGGCAGGAGGACTGCCTAGAGTTTAAAGCCAGTCTGAACTACATAGGGAGACCCTGTCTCAAAAAATAAAACAATTAATTAGACCAGCCATTGGGAGAAAAGAGATAAACCCAAATGTGAGTATTTGGTATTGGTTGTAGAAATAGCACAGTCTAATCAAGGTGATTTATGCAGCAGGGGGAACATGGTTCTCAGCAAATCCACGAGAACCTGGTAAACGACTTTATCAAGTGAGAGAACTGAAGCTTCCAGATCCTAGAGAACGGTCCTACAGGCCTCATGTGACCCTCAGGATGGGCTCTGATGAGACGATGTGTGAGGGTGAAAAAGCAGAGCTGAGTTAGGCTGCCTCAGTCACATGCTGAGGGGCAGAATATTGGTCAGCACGGATGAGAATGCAGCCTGGGCCCTGACGGGTGCACTGTACTCCTCAGGGTCCTGGGCGGGTCAGCTGGGAAATGCTCAGTACTGTTATCAGGCTCAACTTTACTGTGAAGCTGGAGACGCCTGCTAGACCACCTCTGCGATCCTGGTCCTGCTCTTTCTAACGGCTTAAAGGGAGTGATTCCCGGAGATGATCCTAGCCTATGGGCTGGCCATGGTATGTAGCCAGCATGCTCAAAATTGCTTGCATTTGAGACTCAGCACTTAAAAATGAGTATTTGCGTGTAAAAAATTTTTTAAATATCTTTAATGTTAAAGCTAAAGAAAGCTGGACATGGCAGTGCACACCTGTAATCCCGGTGCCACTCGGGAGGCTGAGGCAGGAAGATGGCTGAGTTCGAGGCCAGCCTGGTTCCATAGTGAGCTCAAGGCCAGCCTGGACTACACAGCGAGGCCCTGTCTCAATCCCTCCCTACCACCAAAGAGTGGAAGGACCCATTGACACCAGGAGAGGATGCGCTGTGTGCACCGAGGGCACGCGCTGGGCTTCCTTCCTGATGCCCTGGCTGCACACACAGAAGGAAGAGATCCTGGGTACCGCCGGCCCACTGGGGTAAGCCTGAGGCTGCTCCAAGACACCCACCCAGGGTCCATCCAGCGACTGTCTACTGAGCAAACGGGTTGGCATGAATAGTTATGTCCTTGATGTGCACATCATTGAGAGGCCGGTATGTCTTCTCATTTACTGGGAGCTTCTCCAGTTCATCCAGAGAATCCAAGCCATCTATGACTCTGGAAGAGAAACAGAATCATGTGTGAAAATTTCCTCAGATTAAACATACGATCTGCCAGGTGTGGTGGTGCACACATCATCCCAGCATTTGGGAAGCTGAGGCAGGAGGATCACTTCGGAGTTCAAGGCCAGCCTGGGCTATGTCATGAGACCCTGTCTCAAAACAAAACAGAAAACTCCAAAAAAAGAAAAGGCTGAGGACATAGCTCAACTCAAAGGCCCTGGGCTCAATGCTCCAGTATCACAAGGAAAAAAAAAAAAAAGAGGATGGGATCACATCTTGTAGTTCTTTGAGTTTTCTTGTTGGATATAAAACTAGAGAATTCAGGTTGCCCAGGTGGGCTCCAATTTGTGACCCTCCTGCCTCAGCCTCCTGAGTGCTGGGACTATAAGGATGTACCACCAGGTTGGCTTCAAAACCTCATTTTTATGCAGTTAGTCAACAAGAGCAATGAGGAGGAGGAACATCCTCAGCAGCGTGCCTCACCTATGTTTAGCCACATCCAGTCCCAGGGGAAGTGCAGATGGTATGACAGAGCTGGCCAGCCTGTTTGGCCCTCCGTGCTTGTGCCTGGGGACTGGCACGTCACTCACATAGGGCCAGGGACACCAAGAAGGCGGGCTCCCAGCTCCCTCCCTGGTGCCTCCTGCCCTCCTGTCTCTAGCTCCTTTCCTGGTGTGGGAGGTGGGGGTAGAGGTGGAAATGCCAACCCTCCAGTCTCAACCTGTCCAGAGCCCTGGGGCTGCCGACAGCCACCCCATTAGAGCAGCCTGTGGTTTTCAGAGTTGAGCTATGGCTGAAAGGGCTTAGACAAATCACATGCTATGCCTTCCACCCTGTCACTCAGGAAACTCCAAGGGTTCAGGAGCTCTGTCCCAGGAATGCAGGACGCAAACCAAATGTTACGTCACTGTCACACAGGCTGAGGACATCTGTGCTATGGGAACGACACAGAAGAGGCATTCGGGGTGGCTCCATTACTGCTAGCCCTGCCCTCCACTAGGTGGGAAGCAGGGACCACTGTGTTTTCTCTGTGCAGGTGCTCTGCTCTCCTTCTGGCCACGCGGTCAGGAGGCCGAGGTGCAGCTCAGAGCTGAGTGTGGGCCCAGCCCCGCACAGAAGAAACCCTAGTGGTGAGCGGAGACCACCCTCCAGCAAACCCATTTCATGCTCCCATCGCGGAGAAACCCTGAGAGCTGCCCTTCAAGCACATGCTTTGGAAATCTGTCTGAAACACCTGCGAGGCTTTGCTTAGATCAGCAGCTTTTCGGGTTACACTTCTTGGTGCAACTCAAATCAATTTCTAGGATTCACACATGCGTTAAAAATGCATGTGCAAGTACATAGCACTTCAGGTTCATGAACCAAAGGTTTACTACAGTTTGGTCACAAGCTCAGCCAGGCGTGGTGGTGCACGCCTGAGATCTCAGCAATTGGGAGCCTGGGTAGGATTGCTTCAGGTTTGAGACCCTGACTCACTACATAGTCCAGGCTCCACACAGCACTTCAGTTGTTAGTTGTGTGCCTGTCACAACTGCAGGGCCGGGGATTTAGCTCAGTGGTGCCGTTGCCTGCCTCACAAGCACAAGGTCCAGAGTCCGATCCCCGGTACCAAAAACAAAAAACAAAAACAACTGCACCTGCTCACTGGCTTGCCAGCAAACACCCCATCCAGAACTCACTTTCCAAACACGGTATACTTCATGTCCAAATGGGGCTGTTTGCCATATGTGATGAAGAACTGAGAGCCGTTGGTGTCTGGGCCATTGTTAGCCATAGAGACAACACCTCTGACGTTGTGCTGCGAAGACAGACCAGAGCATGAATCTCAGCGTTGCTCCCTGTGCATTCCAAGTGGACATGCATTCTTCACCTCCCCGCTACTGAAGGGGCCAGGAAACACTGCACTGGCATCTGTGCAGATTAATCCACATTATCTGCATGCGTCAGAACATATTCTCCCGCTCATCTCCCTGTCTCCAGAGGGCCTTCAGTTCGCCACTGGGTACCAGTAGCAACCCTGACAGCAAAGGACAGTGCGCTGGCATGACACCCAAGCCCTACGCTCTCTTCTCACACACTGGACTCTTCTAGTGTTCATCTGTGAGACAGGGAGGTGGGCTGATGCGGGTCGCACTCAGGATGCACCAGGTACAGGGCCAGCAGACGGTAAGCCGACACTGGGCAGGACAACGTAGGGCCGAGGAGGTCTTATCTCTCCAAGGCAGGGACGCCTGTCTGTGTCCCGCTGTGCGAAGTCGGCTCCTGAGGGAGGGATGACCTGAGGACGGCCTCTCTGGGCTCTGGGATCACAGCAGGGTTCATTTGCAAGGGTCTGTGCCCAGGAACTAAAGGACCTGACTGACAGGAGTTAAGACCAGGCCGAGCAGTGCTGCAGGGGGGCCGAGCAAGGCCACTACAGATCATGCCGCCGATGACCCTGGCCACAGCCGTCTCTCAGGTGACAGCAGCATCGAAATACCAAGGCTTTGTCTTCCTGAAAAGTGACTAGAAATCAAGTCCAACATCTGATACACCAACAGGAATAAATGTACCATTTACAAGTTAATAAAAATAAGTGCTGCTCCCTTATTTGAGCTGTAGGAGTTAACACTGGCCATTTCACTGCCGCAGCCTCCCCACGAGGAGCCACAGCCCCACGCCATTCCCATGCTGCCCACACGCCAGACAATCCACTGCTTCCATGGCGAGCCTCTGCACTCCACAAACCACACAACTGCAGTTTCTGGGAAATGCTCCTAACACTCCACACTGCTGAGTCTGACCCATGAGTACACACAGGTGTAGTCCACCCATCTTTTCATGGTGGTATGGCATTTCGCACTTTGTGCACTAAAATGCAGCCAGTCCACAATCACTGCACACAGGCCGTTCCCAGACATTCGCTGTCACAAACAGCACACCAGACGAGGGGATCATGAGCTGGGGGTCATGAGCTGGGCGTGTGGTAAGAGTCCCTTTCCGGGAGACACTCGGAACAGACCGGGAAGCCGCCCGCCTCTGTGGTATGAGACCGGCGTTCCTAACCCTGCCTGGGAGGATGCCAGGCAAACTCCCGATGCAGTCCACACCCTCTGCAGGCCTACTGCTCGGGCCCTCTGTTTTGCAAGAGGTAAGGCCTTGATCTTTTTTTTTTTTTTTTTTTGGGACAGGGTGATCCATGCTGGCCTTGAACTCACAGCAATCCTCCTGCCTCTTCCTCCAGAGCGCTGGGATTACGGGCATGAGCCATCATGCCTGGCCCTAATCTTTTGTGGTTTTTAAATTCCCACAGGTGATTTTGTCACAGCCAATATCTGGTTTTAACTGGTACTCTGAGGCAGCCATTAATTAAGCTCTGAAAAATTGTTCAGTTTCTAATTCCAGAAAAGGCTAACTTCTCAAAGTTTATCACCTCCCAAACCCAACTCCAATAACAAAGTTAATATATATCCTATGACAATAAAGCAAAAAAGAAGAAAATATATCCAATTCTGTCATCCAGAGACATAATCAATTTCAGAAGATTTGTGGTTACATATGTGAAAAACAGAAAAAAAAATTTTTTTACCCAACCCCTCAGCAGTGCTCTACTACTGAGCTACATCCCCAGCCCTTTTTTATTCTGAGACAGGGTCTAAGTCACTAAGCGAGCCAGGCTGGGGTTGAGCTCACCATCTTCCTGCTTCAGCCTCCCCAGGTGCTGGGATTACAGGTGTGTGCCACTGTGTCTGGCTAAAGGGGACTGATGATGGCAACACTGCAACACCGATGCTAACACCTCAACACTGTGAGCACGAGGTGGTCCCGCCTTTCTCCAGGAGGCCTGTGACTCAGTCATTCCCCATGAACCGTGCAGCCAGGTATCAGCCCCTTCAGCAGCACTAACACTTCAGGCTGGACTCCTGGTGACTGAAACAGGCTGAGACTCCAGCCCCTTTGTCCATCAGTTGGGCTGATGGCCACTGGGACCCTTGACTCCATTTACCAAGCGTGCAAGCACTGCAGAAAACACACTGAATGATGTCGGCCTGCGTCCCGAGGCACACGCCCGAGTTCCAAGCGCACCAGACTTGAGAGGTGAAGTTCTGAAGCGGGGCTGTACCTTAAGATATTCACTGTATTCATCCTCGAACTTCTTGCCCCAGATACTGTTCCCGCCTCTTCCGGTACCTACAGGACATGACAGGAAATGGGAAGTAGTGCTTAAAGTTGAGAAGGGTTCAATTTTATTTATTTATATATTTTTTGGTACTGGGGATTGAACTGGGAACCTTGCTCTTTCGAGGCAAGTGGCGGCACCACTGAGCTAAATCCCCAGCCCTGTTTATGTTTTTTGAGATAGGGTTTCACTACGGAGCCCACACTGGCCTTGAACTCCAGCAATCTTCCTGCCTCAGCCTCCCATGTGCTGGGATTACATATGTGTAGTACCACACCTGGTTTAGGGTTCAATTATTATTTTTTTTTGGTACCGGGGATTGAACTCAGGACCTTGTGCTTGTGAGGGAGGCACGGCACCACTGAGCTAAATCCCCAGCCCTAGGGTTCAATTTTTAAACTTAAAGGCCCTTTACAGCATACCTCTTTAAATACAAATAAGATTTGATGACATCTAGCATTTCCCCATATTTAATTTTATAGATTAAAAAATAAAATATTCCTACCAGATAAAAAAGCAAAACCCCAGCCTCCTTATTGATCCTGCTCAGAGTCAACGGGCAGGTGGTAACAGTTTCTGCTTCAAACTCTTGCTGTGGCACAGCAGCCCAGTCATGAAGACCTCACATGCGTTTTCATTCTTTCTATCTCTTCTCTGTATTACACACCCCGTCCCTGATCTTAGTTAGTGGAAAGGCATACCTGTTGGGTCTCCCGTCTGAACCATGAACCCCTTGATGTTTCTGTGGAATACACAACCGCTGTAGTAATTACTAGCACAGAGAGCCAGGAAGTTCTGCAAGAAGTGCAAAGGGTGAATGAGGAGGTACAGCAAACACTGGAGAGCAAGAATAACGCACATGCTGGGAGTGGTGGCGCATGCCTATGATCCCAGCACTCAGGAGGCTGAAGCAGGAGGATCACAGAGAGTTCAAAGTTCAAGGCCAGTCTCAACTACATAGAAGACCTTGTCTCAAATAAACAAAACCAAACCAAGGGCTGGGGATTTAGTCGAACAGTGGTTCTGTTGCCTGCCTCAAAAGCGCAAGGTCCCGGATACCAAAAACAAAAACAAAACAAGAAACAAACCAATCACAGTTCCTGGAAACTCCGAAGAGCATGCTGGGCCCTGGCTTTCAGGTCTTTGAGTCTTGCTACACAGCTCAGGCCTCTGGCCTCTGGCCTCAGACTTGAGGTGCTCTTCTTGCCCCACCCTCCCCAGTGCTGGGATCACAGCCCTGACTCTAGGTATTACTTTTGGATGCTGTCACATCCCAGCCTAGAACGTGTCAATGATTTCTTTCTGCCCTGGAATCAAACGCACAGTCTTTGGCAGGACCTAAGGATCCTCACATGGTCCTGTTGCTCACTCTGTGGTCTCATCAGCACATTGACAATCATCTGCTATTTCTACACAAGGAACCCAGGACTTCATGCATGTGAAGCCAGCCCTTTACCACTAAGCTCCTAGAATACTTCTTTTGTATCTTTTTATTTATTTATTTGTTTGTTTGTTTTTTGGGACCAGGGATCGAACTCGGGACCTTGTGCTTGAGAGGCAGCGATGGAACCACTGAGCTAAATCCCCGGCCACTTTTGTATCTTTTTAAAGGGTGACATCTTCATACCTTCTATGGTCAGTTTATGTCTTTCTCTTTCCCTCTCCCTTGTACTACTGCGGATTGAACCCAGTGCCTTCACAGAGACTCACCCCCACCCTTATTTTTAAATTTTGTTTTTTTTTGGTACTGGGGATTGAACTCAGGTCCTTGCGCTTTTGAGGCAGGCAGCAGAACCACTGACGTAAATCCCTGGCCCCAATTTTTTTTCATATATTT